TCTCTGTAACGGTCTGTGATGGTTTCTAGAGACTTCATACATCATAATACAGACTGTAACAGAGAAGCTCCACAAACCACCAGTGACCTTGATAGTCAAATTCCAGAAAAGAAGTTTCATCGTGTTTCACATTTTAATCCCACAGGGATTGCGCTAACAGCTTTTTAAAGATAGATCAAGCTACAAAACTAATTGCTAAAATTCGAAAGTGTGAAATTATTGTTCGTTATGCTAATAGAATTGCTCATTTCTATTCAAATGGGCAATGTTCTTGTCAAGATCATTTCTGACATTTTCTTTATCTGTTCTGATTTATTTTATTACTTTATAAAATTGTAAAACATATATGATCTAGTGGGTGCGGGTGTACTCGAAGATAAGATTCAAGCGCATCCACACCCTAGTTGTACTTCAATTTCCATCGCCAACATTAAATATTCATTGACGTTCTATTTTAATTGTTTTGCTATCAGCCAATGTAGTGAATTCATCAATAATAGATGAGAATGAGATTTCCGGATGTAAGGGCGCATTTAACAAAAAAAAAGAATCTAAGTAATATTTGCCCTAAAAGTTGATTAAATAACACCGCAAGTAATAAATTGTCTATCTTGTGTAGGTCATGTTCAACATTGGAAGAACATTATCTACATAATTATAAATGTTTACCTTCAAAGACTGTCATAGCGATGATAGATTCGGTCGTGTTTGCTTATAAAAAAATAAATAGACTGCGTCAATAGAGTTATTTCAATATCTTATTCATAAGGTTTTAATCGGCATGGTTGGCGTATGCTATTGTAAGACATCGAAAACAACCATCAATGACTGGCATAACATAAATGACTGCTCAAATGGAAGACTGAATTTCACAGAATCATTGGAAAATGACATCTTTAATTTATGCCATCTATTTATCACAATCAATTTTATCGTTAAATATTCCTTTTGACAAATAAATTCATTTCTTCTTTATGAAATCATATTCTAATGTAACCACGTCTTTGAATACTAAAACAATTTTTCTATACTGAAATAATTGAGACAAAGAAGGATTTGAGTATAAGATTTTATTAGTAATTTATATTTTGTGCTCAAATCAAAAGAGTTCAAGCGGTTAATTAATATGTCAAAGACTTGTATTATAAATCTGAATAAATACAATCGGAAATAAGAAGCTTTATAGCACACTTTCATGAATACCATCCATTGGTCCAGAAACTAGTTCTATTGGCCTACGTCGTTTTTTTTTCTAATTTTAATTGAAATATTCAATAAGAATAAATATCCTGAGTCGAAATTTATTAATCTTTGCTCTACTATATTATCAACTAGATAGGATTTGTAAGCACTTCGAAACATATGATTGATCTTACGAGGGAACGTCTCCAAGTGATACCAACCATTCAGATTCATATTGTGCTCATAAGTAGGACCTAGTGAGACTAGAAAAAGTCTAAAAGATTTCGTGCCATTATGCCTTTCTGTCAAAGTTATGACGCTTTTCCTGAATTCTCGACCTTGGACAAGGAATTTATAGAAAAACTGAATGAAGGAATTTCGAACTGAAAATTTTCCTAACAATAGGTCTCATCGATGTTAGAAGATTCTAGAAGTTTCAGTGAAAACGGATGCATCATTCTCAAGATATTGAATATTGAAAAGAAGTCAATTTTACTACATTTTTTTGGAAAACCACCGTTTTCATCAGTATGCAATACCTAAAGAATGATGCATCCGTTTTCACTGAAACTTTTAGAACCTTCTAACATCGATGAGATCTATTGTTAGGAAAATTTTCAGTTCGAAATTCCTTCATTCAGTTTTTCTATAAATTCCTTGTCCAAAGCCGAGAATTCAGTAAAAGGATCATAACTTCGACGAAAGGTCTAATGACACGAAATCTTTTAGACTTTTTCTAGTCTCACTAGGTCCTACTTATGAGCACAATATGAACCCGAATGGTTGGCATCCCTTGGAGACGTTCCCTCGTTAGTTTTTTTTAACTTAGAAAGAAAAACTTTTCTTTTTTCAATATGCACAAGAATTGTTTCAGTATTAATACATATGGGTACGAGGGAACAAAAATGTAAGGATTAGTCAACGATTTATTATAAGCAATACAAGATCTTCATAGGTGTTAAGATTAATTTCCTCACTTTTCACTTAGATTGACAATCGTGTGAAATCTTATTTCTAATGAAGTCGTTTTTCCCTATGAACTCAAGAAAAATTACAAGTTCAGAAAAAAATGAAACCTTTTACAAGGCACTGGTTATAGTTTGAAATTAATTTTGCCTTTTGACACATTATAAAATTGGTTTTATCACTTGTAGAAACCATTGTTCAATAGATTGACGATGCCTTTTTATATGCCGCCTCAAGATAAGACCTAATCATTTTATAAACTTATTTCAAACAGATGAAAAAATATGCCCTTATGAAAAAAAAAGGATTGTGGCTTGAGACATAGTTCACATTTAATTATGTTTCATGAATTTGTTGTTTAGCTTTAAAGAAAATAGTGAAAATCTTATGCGACAAGTGTTATTTGATTCTGTTTGAGAGCAGTACGATGAACAGGATGTGTATGTTAATGTCAGGTACTCTATCCGCTTAGATTAAGAGCAACTGAAATAGAAATGTGATTACATATTGTAGAATACTGCAATGAAAGAAGAGTTCTTCAGGTATTTGTTTTCGAAAGGTTTTTCCAAGTGGTCTGAAGCTGTTGTTATCACGTTCGACCCATTGACGTTGCAAAGGAGTTAGATTCGCACTGGAAACCATTAACAATGCCAAGTAGATCATAGAGAAGAGCATTGTCGCTTTCCGTTGATATCGAGCATTTGAATTTACATGTTTTTAATGATTTCACATTACTATGCATGCATAGTTCGACATCTTTTGTCTATCCTATTCCTTTCTTTTTAAACTAAATATAACTTCAACAAAACATTGAGAAAAACACTCGATTATTTTGTAGTTACTTTTATCTTACAACTTGAAAGCAAATAATTAGCCACTACGAACAATGATTATCATGACGAGAATTTTCTCAAAACAATTTACTGTTCTGCCCGCAAAGAAGAGATCAGCATGACTTCAATACGTCGAAATGTGAGCTGCGTCACTGTGCACTATCGTGCGTCAGTTGTAATCCACCCATACTTGAACTATTTAAGTTGCACTCCTTCTCACTCAAGTTTGTGATAATTTTCTAGGCTGCATTGTGGCTATATATTTTACTAAAAATAAGTTAAAGTGTGAAAAAAAAATAAGTTAAAGTGTGAAAAAAAATATATTCATACCATCAAATCGAACAATGTCAACAGTCTCACAGCAATTTCAAAGCCGATTTGATTCACAATGATGCAGCAGCTTGCAAATATTGATGACAAACAAAAGGGTTAGCATCATGTCGTTTTTATTTTTAAGAAATTTCTAGTCAATTTTTATATACAAAAACCAGTGCGATAAATTTACCAGTAATCTATCTATTTATAGAAGCTCTTATAGTAGAACAGGTTTTTATTATATCATGATGCATGCGAGAAATTGGGATCATTCCTAAGAGACTAGCGTGCTTACTGTTCATGATTTCAAAACGTAAGTCGACGCGACTTTCGATAATGTCACAAGGTTCTAATTGAGAATAAATGACACAGATGCTGACTCATCTGAAAATCGACGTGAAAATGTTGATATCACTACTATTATCTCATAATCTCGTTTGATCAATATTGCTGTTGTTGTTGTTGTTTTCCGTATCAGTCAATAATCTATTAACTAACATTTTTATGGTTATTTAATAGATACCTTTAGTTTTATTTTTCTAGTTGATTTTAATGATTTCTACTCAAAAGATAGAGCATATCGATCTATATTTATTATTAAAAAAAGCCAAAGAAAAAAACATTTTCATATGGTTAATGATGACAAAGCTTACAGATACCTATTACGACTTCCTTTTTAATAATTTTGATTGTGTGCTTTCTGAACAAGGATCGCCGCTCGTAACAAAGAGAATGATTATATAGGCGAATTCTTCTACTAGTACATGGTAGTATCTTTATGCATGAATAAAAATCTACTGGGTATAGCAAGTGACAAGGCATATACATAAGTGAATGAAGAGTGACAGCATACGAAAGAAGGGAAGAAAAAAAGAAATGACTCGAATATTGAAGAATTAAAAGTTTCACATGTGTTGTTTTTTAATTGAAGAGAGACCACCATATGTGTTCTATTGTTAGAAAACGAGTATTTCATAATTGATAATATAATAAATTGATAGATTTTTGATTGGTTAATATGAATTTTGCCAAATAGGAAAAGAGCGTGCTTTTCGAACGGTTGAGGGAGCAAATCTAATAATATACGATCTACAGGCTACGAAGTGATATATACTTCATTTTCCCCTCTCTCTATTTCTCGTTTTTGACAGCTCAATCCAGTTCTATTACATTTTATAACACAATTCATGTCACATTGATATCATCTAGTCTTTTTTCTATCGAATTCATCCCTGCATTGCTATCTCATATCTATATCCGCTCCGAGCAAGACAAGAGATTGACATATTTTTCAGATGCCTTTAACAATCAACAATCATTTCTCGAAGTACGTAACATGACTCTACAAGCGATAAGCAATTGGTTGGTTGTTCTTCTCGATAAAAGAAAAAGAGAGTAAGAGAGAAAAAGCATGTTGCTACAGATGAGGTCGTTATTTTCGACTTTGCTATTCATTTAATTGTGTAGCCTCTTTTTCTTCACGATAACACTTTCTTTTGCTATGCTTCTAAAATTTTCAACAAAGTCTGTTATGATCAATCCGTCTAGATTTAGAAATGTGTAGACAAAATGAAAGTTTTATTCCTAATCTACATATAAATTCGTATGGAAATAAAAAAATCTTTATTCAGAAAATGGTACGTACGTCAGTGCTTATTTATATATTGTTTTTTTCGATAGATTCGTGTTGTAACATGAATAAAGACAATCAACGTTAAGTTACAAAGAATAAATCATCCTATCATTAGAGTCAACTGTGCGTAATATTGCCAATCTGCGCCATAATATCTCTTGAGATCGATAGCAAAACAAAAAAAAAAGCGCAGAAAGACAAAAACTCAGTGTGTCCAAGGAATTGAATAGTCTCAATGCAATTTAATTAAAAGACTTCTCACTGTGATTGTTCCGTTAATAACTTGTTATAGAGACGAGTAAAAGTACGTTTATAATTTGTCTCATTATCATTCGAAAATAATCGAGTTCAAAATTTTTATCTTACGTATACATTTATTTTGTCTTGTAGCCAATTTGTCCGTCCAATTACTATATGTCAGATGGATAAAATTTCATGCTTCGCTACATTTTGTTATGTTCGGAAAATAAACATTAACCAAATGAATCTAAGACGCAGAAGAATATAATGAGGGTAACTTCTATAGACATCACTATTCGTACAGTATAAATCAGGACAAACATCTGGGGAACAGTAATTACTTATTTATAAGTACAGAGTAATTACCAAGTCTTTCGAGATAGGTAACTCTTTAGCAATATCAGATATCGTCAGTTTGAAAAATGAGAGCGATTTCTCTTTTGATAGAAATATTTCTATAGTATCATCTGTTGTTTACGATCACAGATAAATGAAGCTTGTTATATTTGCGTGCTTACATATTTTTATCTATTGTAATGTAAGTACGCTTGAATTATCAAAACAAAAATTATTTTTCTTGTTTGCTATACTTTCGACAGAAAGTGATGAACCCAAGCGAATAGGGGATATTAAATAATATCTGAATTTTTTGCGTCGCCAATCAGCATTTCCTTTCTTATTAAACACTTCTATGAAAAAACAATTATTCATTTATCTCTATGCGATAGCAGCTAGATAGTCTTTCAGACTATTCTTAGTTTTGGTCATGCCACAACTGTAACCTTATCTAACTTGCTAACATTTCATTAGATAAAAGAAGAAGAAAAACCTTTCTCGTTAAATTTTATTAATAAAATGTCTGTTTTGGATTAAAATTAAAATTCTATTGTTTATTTCCTAATTTTATAGTTCTGTTGTTGTAGTGTGAAGAAAAATCGATTGAATTTTAATCAAAAAACTTCGCATGTGCTATCCTGTTCGGTTTTTTAAAACTGCATCGTGCATCCGTTTGACCTGATCTCAATTCATTTTTCTGTCATTGTTGCCTTATTTATTAGTGTCTATCATAATTAAGTCGAGATAATAGAATTCATCTTGATAGATCTCAGTTTTGTCAACAATGTACGTATACATGCTACTCTCTGTGTTACTATGTGAATAAAAAGTATGCCAAAAACAGTACGTCACCAGATGAAAGAAAAGCTTTGAGAACATGTATTTCTATCAAAATAATTAAGTTTTCTTGTTGACTGTTACATAGTTTTATTCTTATTATCATGCATTTGTGTTTCTTTATATTTTGCACGAAGATAAGACAGAATTCATAAAAGACGACGATTCAACTCTTGTTAGAAAACATCTGTATCATCGTCATCATCTTCAAAACATTCATAAGAAATGAAAACAAACTGCTGAGAACTTCTAGACTGTATGGAACATTTGACAATTGTAGATTAGAATTTTATCACTAGTGCTAATAGGATATAAACGAAAAGTACACTAATTATTTGACAATACGATGATTGTACAACAATCTATGATACAGCATAAAAAACTGTTTGTGATAAATTTATGGTCATAAAACGACACCAAGACCATAGAAGGATAAAAAAAAAGGAATTCGGCATTCATTCCTATACCCTTTTTAATAATCATTCATATATGGATCAAGGTAACCGAATGGTTTATAAAATTCCTATGCTTCGGACAATAATATTAGTTTTAAAATGTGCATGCAGATATTCAGATTTGTTTAATAGAGATACGAAATGAAAAGGTAAATATTGTGAATTATGACCAGTGCGAGTGACTCGAGTCTAGGATAGCTCGTACTATTATGCAGACGTTTTTTATGAACACATTCTAATTATACGTTTTTTTTAGAGAAAATTCTCAGTGAATAAAAATGAGAAAAGAATCGGAAGAACAGAATCTCTCTCAGCTTAGAATTACAATTCTTATTTAAAACTTATTTATTCTCATTAAATACCATATAAGAGTATCAGACTACACTGCCTCCTACTTTCTCATTAATTATTGAGTTAGCATGGTATTAAGCGCGAACGGTATGCTCTAGCTCTCTAGATAAACTATTTCATGTTCTTTTATTTCCAAGATATTCTTCAAATGCCTACGAAATGTATGATAAGAGGCCACGTAGCGCGTATATTTGAAGTTATTCTGTTCGACTATGGTTTTGTCTTTCAGTTACTATTAGCAATGGAAAATATTTATATTCATGTCTTAAGCATTAGTATTCTACCAAAGTCAAATCCCTTCATCGTGAAACCTATCCAATATTTTGGCGCTGGTATTAAATAATTCAAAGGCATCATAATAGGAATAGGCTTAACTTAAATTAATTATCTGTAGCTACGTTTTGATAGGTATTTAAAATGTCTATTGAAAACTTTTACTGAAGTATGCATTTATTACGAGCTTGCCGACTAGCCATTTATTTTTCAAGGAATTATAGTTCGTTGCATTCAATTTCTCATTCAGAGTTTTTTTATTTTTGTAACAAGCAACAACAATATGTAAAAATAGTCAACCACTTCTATTTATCATCGAAATATTAGTTTTCTCAAAAGGCGTTTTTACGCAAGATAATAATTATTAATATGATTCTTGTTTTCTATTGCGGAAAATAAAAGACTAATTAAAATAAATAGTGAGCTTCATAGCACTTCGCCATTAGCAACAGTTAACGCCATGGAGAAAGAAAGTTTGGCTCATTTAAAGTTTTTTCTGTCAGTTCAATAAAACTCTTTATTCCATGTATTTCTCTATTACCTTCACAAACTGTTGATTATAGGGAAACGACGTCTACTTCTTCAGTTTTATTACTCTCTCTCTCTCTCTCTCTCTCTCAGCTGTTCTCATTTTTCAAGCCGACACGGCATTAACATACGTGTGATTTGATACTAAGATGCTACTTATTTACTTATTTCTATTTCTATTTCTATGTACGTTGTCATTATTCAACATAAATTTATGATTATTGTAGATGATAGAACAAGTTCAAAGTTTTTGCATTTTAATATTAATACTATAATTATCAGCACTCATCATTTTCTTTATTCAATATGAAAACGAAAGAATTATGTGGATTTATGATACGAAAACTAACCCATATTTAATTGCGATATATGTATAGATATTTCTATTTATTACTTAATTACATATGACGACTCGGCCAATATTAAGATATGTTCGAACTTGTCCATTGTAATGCATCAATTTTAGCACGACAAACGACTGATCCTAACCTGTTTTTTGTTCGAACGTTAGTCAAAAACTGGCTTTGGCCTATAATAACCTGTTTCGGTAACTATTATTGTTCTTATTTTTCTGAAAAAAAAAGAAAATATTTGATCAAATACTTCATTTGATTTCTAAACTAAAGATTTTTTAGGGAATCTAGATTCTTAAATTATATTTCATAGTTTCATGTCTTTTACTATCTCTCATAGGAAATGAATTGATTTCTCTAGATACAAGCAGAAGTAAAATATCTCTATTATTAATTATCATAGGTGTAACTGGTAATATTCTGGCCATAATTGTTCTTACAAAACGTCGTATGATAATGTCATCAACAAATAATTATCTAGCTTCGTTAGCTCTTGTTGATATTGCTTATCTTATATTAACACTTATACTCAATACATCTCAACATCCTTGTTTTACTAGTACATCAATATCAGCTATACTTTTAACAATATTTCGACCAATCGCAGACTTTTCATCCAATACAAGTGTTTGGCTTACAGTTACATTTACTGTCGAACGTTGGGTTGCTATAAGTTACCCATTACAAAGTCGAACATGGTGCACTGTAAGCCGAGCAAGAAGAATTATAATCAGTGTTATGTGTGCTGCATTAATATGTACGTTGCCGTCGGCTTTTGAAATGAAACTTGTACGGATTATTGAAATAAAAAATTCAACAGAACCCAATGAAAAACCATTAGTTATAAGTCGTATACGCGCAAAACCTACAACATTGGGCAATAGTTTGCTCTATCATCAAATCTATTTTAATTTTGTTACGTAAGTATTTTCTTGTTTTCGTCAAAAAATAAAAGAAAACAACATCCGTATGTTTTTCACGTTAGGCACACGAAAATTGTTAATGTTTCTTGGAAAAATCTTTGCGTTTCATAAGTACACATTGTTACTAATGTGTTCAATTTTAGTTTTTTTCATAAGCATATACTTTATAATGACTACTGATTAATGCGGTTCACGTCAATTGTGTAGCAGTTCGATAATGAAGTGAATTTAATGCCGTTCAATATTAAGTCAGTGACGGCTTTCAATTAGATTCATGCAGAACTTAAATTATTTTTCAGACTCCTTTTTATCTCTAAATTGAATGCGATTACTGTTTTTTTCTTCCTATAGATTTGCTATTATTTGGATACCATTATTACTTCTTGTCATATTCAATACAATTCTAATCATCTATGTTCATCGTTCAGTACAAAGTGAACAAAAAAATAAGCAAGGAATTCAATTACGTCGACATACTCAAGGAAATCAAGGCGAACAACGAAAAACAACAATTATGTTAAGTAAGTTTTAAAAATCAAATACCATTTCTATTTATCTGTTTTTATTTTAAAAAAATTCAAATTTAGTTGCCGTCGTTATTGTATTTACTGTTTGTCAAATTCCACAAGCAATATCTTTAACCGTTCAATCATTTTTTCCTGTCTTATCTCAAACACCAAAAGTTCTTATCTACAACAATTTTGCAAACTGTTTAGTTGCTTTAAATGCTTCAATAAACTTTGTACTATATTGTTGCTTTTCCGAACGGTTTCGCTCAACGTTTAGTTCAAATTTTGCTTTCCTTACTAAATATTGTACACCCTATATGGCATCACATTGGAAATTCAAAATCGATCATAGTCGTCACTCAACATCAACTGATAATATGTCATATAATTATCTATATAGTACGTCGAATTATTTACTACCTGGACGCAATTCAAATGCTCGTCTATCAAATGTGAGCAGCGATGCTGATCGAAAATATGCTTATAAAAGTTCGACTAACTGTTCGCATCAACAATTTCTATCATTAAAGCAAAAATCATGGTCATCATCATTATCGAAGTTTAACGTTGATAAAAAAGGCAACGCAAATTTGAAGAAAACATTAACTAAACCAAGTAATGAAATGGTATGGATATTTTTTATTTGATTTTATAGAATAGAACTTGAAATACTCATATTTTATACTATTAATGGTATGACGCGAAAACATATTCTAATTCATCTTTTTTAATAAAGATGAGAGTGCATGTGATATAAGTCAAAGTGACAAACAATATGCATTCACAGAGAAATAACCACCGATGATATTTTCTTAGCCGATTGACTGAAAAGATATAATTTAGCATGCACAGTTATATTGGACATGCAAATCAATGAATTATATTTTTAACTGCGTTGATCACTGCATGTTTTGCTTTCTAAATGATAAGATTCGATCTATTTTATTGTTGACAGATGAATAGATAAGAAAAGGAAAAGAACTGCATTTTGCATGCACAAAAAATTCACATCACATTCAAATTAGAAGCATAAGTTCTCGCGAAATTCTCTTAAATAAAAGTTAAATTCAATGAAAAAAATAATAACCTATGCATAGAATAAATAAATATCTGTTTATCTTGTTATTTAGTATCTTAGTTTATCGCCTACAAGTGTTACGAGAACCTCATCATTTATTCGACAATCACCTCGATCGATCGCTCGTGATCATCCATGTAGATATTATATTGAAAAAATAATCCCGTCACGTTCATCAACGAGTTCTTTTACAAATATTAAAATTCCTTCGAAACACTATTCATTATCAATGTGCTCATTACCTCGGCCAATTCTTATGGAATGTTCAAATGAAAAAGCGAACAAGAGATTTAGTATTACATCTAGTGGTTTAACTGAGAGACCAACATTTGATTCACATCAATCATTAGATTACCATAAAACCGAAGACATTTGGATAAAACGTCATTTATCCAATAGTACTTTAGAGAAAAATGTCGATCAACGAAACCCATTACTATGGAAAGAAGTTCTTGATGTTACTGTTTAAAAACCTTTTTTAAAGTTTATTTTCAGAAAAGAAAAAGGAGCAATAAATGTTATCGACAAATGATTCAATTCTAGTTTCTACTCGGTCTAGCTTGTTACAATGGTTTATTACACAAGTGAAAAGAAATATTCTCACGTGTCATTTTCAAAGAGATAAATCCAGTAAAATTGCACAAGTTCTATCAATATGATAATTTGATCTTTTTCAATTACATTTCCAACGAAGATAAATTTAGATTTTTCATCTGGGGTATTGAGAACAGAATGAAAAAACAAGTGCAAATAAAATTCTTTCAATTCCAAAGATCTCCGACTACAGTACAGGCAATCTAGCATTGATTTATCATTTGTAATCTCGAACGTATAGGCAAATAATGATCTAAAGCGGATAATCGAAAAACATTCCGTTTTAACATTCATTTGGAAACATGCCTTCAATTTGTTCTTTCATTACGCTTAAATGTTCTAGACTCGATAACAATCATATTCCCACGAGATAAATCAAGCAATAAAAAAAAAGGAATTCTTGATTGAACATAAATATAACCGTTCTAATGCGTGATAATCAAAGATATTGATCGTTTCGCAGCATGGGTAAAAACGCCATTCTCATTATCACATATGAGTAACTTAAAAGAAAAATATCAAATGTGAACTTTATTGAAGGTCATCATGTTCAATTAGAAGGAATTTTTTTTCGCTCTCTCTCTTTCTCTCTGCTATTCTCGCTACGAAAATTAACGATTGGTTCGAGCACGAATAACAAGCAGGTGTTGTTGTTATTCTTCTTCCCCCTCGTCACCATTCTCATTTAGGTTTGAATCGAGCGCAAAGTTACAGCATTAATTAGAATATATATCTATAATCCGTGATGTTTTCTAACATGACTATTATTATTTAAAATGATGGATCAATCAACACCAATCACCAAACTTTTTCGAGCACTTCAATTTCGTAAACATGTTAAAGGTAAATAAAAACTTTACTATTATTGTTATTATTATTATTCGATTTTAGCAATGCAAAAAAAGAAAGAAAGAATAAAGTAACTTTGATAATTGTTCCCTAAACGATTTTTATCCCCTAGGGTACATGTATTACATAACATATTGACGAGAAGGTTCATGCCTTTTATTTAAAGATATGAGAGCCGCTACTTCTTTCGTTTTTTTTGTCATAAATGCACAGATGAGATCCAATACATAACATGTAATTTTATTCGTGTTCATCCCCTGAAGCATATCCAGCTGTGAGCATAAAAAACATATTCTATCTTCTATTCATCGATTCATTCATTTTAAATGTGGGCTGGCTGCAATATTCTCAGTGAGTTCAAATGTTTTGATAATCATTAAACTTTTTTTGTGTTGTTTTTATTCATAACGAAAACTTTTTGTCTAATTGGATACTCTTATGTAGACATGTTCTACTCTTTTGTAAACATGTAGACATCTGTGTCATGAATAAAAAGAAAACGCGCTAATACGGAAATCAAAAAAAAACGAAAAGAAATTTAAATATAAAAGAGACGATATTTAAACAGTTTTTCAAGAGGGCACTTTAATTCGGAAATGATTGAACTCAGCAGTTAGTCATGCATTAATGTCAAACGTTTGATCTTTTCTTTTTTATCTAGAACTTACAAGCGCATGTAAGCGCATCAATAAGGATGCTTGTTATGAATTTGTAACTTATCGTCATGGAATACAACGAGATACATTATTCACACAGAAAAAATCAACGAAATTCAATATATTAGTAGGATTTAATCGATTTGGTAAAATTTAAACTTGACGTTTGCTTTTTTGCCAATTTTTAGTGTTCAAAAATTCATAATTATAAGCAAAGAAGTAAAAGTTCATGTCGTCTATCAACTCGTATAAGACCAAAAACTGAATCTTCATCATCATCATCATCCGCAGCAGCAGCAACAACAACAACAACAACAACAACAACAACACGAACTGTTCAGAACAATAATGAACAACCATTTGAACAATTGGCACATGCAACCTCAACATCACCAGCTAATTTATCTATGATTGTAAAACAATCATATAAACCTTTGCATGCCAAATCAACACAATTTAATAAGAATACAATTGCCGTTACGAAAGGTATATTGCCACTTTATTCTATTTGAACAATTCTTACGATTGTTTGATTAAGAAATTTCATTTATTTTTTCGTCTTCTCCTTCTTTCGTCTATACAATTGAACCACCACTGTTTAATTGCTTTCGTTTCCATTTTGACACCTACGCTTCCGTCTCATTTCTTAACGTATGAACAATACGAATATTAACAATCATCGTTTAAGTCAATATTTCTTCTATAAATCTTTGTATACAGACAGGTAGAAGGCTAAGCCGATAATCAAAGACAGTTCGACGTCTAAGCGTTATATTGATTTTATCCACCTTGAATATCGTTTAGGGCTGAATACGTAATTGGAAACAAATAGAAAAATTGTCTATGACTTATTTGAATATTGACAAAATATGCTTTGATTTTTATTTCCATGTCTAGACATTTAGAGAATATAAATGTGATAAATTTTAATTTTTCGATGTAGTCCATAATTTTGGGAGAATAAAAATTTCTGATATTCGTTCTTTTGTTATATCTGAATGTAAATTTTAACATGTCATATTTTCTACGTTCAGGTACACCTGTCAAAGCTCTGTATGCTATATCAAATTGGGTATTTATTGAAATAATTGAAACTTGTCAAACTGGTTTCGTACCTGCCTATTGTCTTCGTATATCGAATGCATCATTAGAATCTTCATCACAAAATAATTTAAGTCTATTAAATGTAAGCATATACGAAAAGCCTCATCCGAATGTAAATGCATCAACATCTTCACAGCCTGGTCGGTTTATATCATCCATCGGACCATGCCATTTTAATATCGAACAAGCATCGTTAACATGTTCACGTATAAACAAATCAGGAACATATACACGTCACTATAAAGATCAATCAAATTTATCCCGACAAATATCAAATATATCGCTTCACGCCTATGATCATGATGCATATGGAACACTTAATTTAACCCCGTGTAAAAGTTTATCCTTTAGTGTATTAGATAGTGAGCCGATTGTACATCATCTGAATACTCGTTTACGTGTTATGGAAAATTATCAGCGGCAATTTGTTGGCGATATAAGTGTACTTGAGTCCGAAGTTGTAACGCTCGTTAATACAACTCAATCCGATAATGATTGGCGTTTTGTTCGACGCGGGGATGGACGTCAAGGTTATATACCGAAACAAATTGTTCTACTGGATAGAAATTTTAATTGAAAACTTTTCCCGTGTACTTTTTTGCTTTTGTATGTGTGAGATTTTATTTCTCAAAAAAAGAATACTATTGAAAAATGACAACAAAAAAACAAAACAAACAAAGAATAAACTTTTCATTTTAAACAGAATGAAAAACAGGATCTATGTTGCTGATGAACGTCCAAGTAAATCATCATTAACATCAACAATGTGCATCGCATATTGATTGAATGAAGATGGCGTTTTACTAGCTTTTAATTTTAACATCTCTTCACGAAGTTTAGCCAATAACGCATGATTTGGCTCGTTTTTTTTAGCACATCGTACTATATCAGCCAATTCATCATCAACACGAACACGTTTATAGGTGTCAGCATTTTTTTCGTATAATCGAATTAACGATCCATACGTATGCAAATGTGGATGAAGTTTTTTTAATAGTTTTTGTGCAGCTGAAATTTAAAAAAATACATTTCTTATTAGAATTTTTCCAGTAAATATTTCAGAGCGAAGGCAAATATCACAAATTCTGACACAGTAGATTTGTCTCCGAAACATGAATAAAAAAAATATTTTACCTAAATTTTTTGCATGAGCTTTATCTTTTGCTTGTGCTTCTTCTCGATGTTCGTTACCTATTTCTAATGTTATATGTGTAAACATTGGTTTCTTTGTCATGATTTCTTTTATGTCGCATTCACTGCGACTTAATACATTATATGTTAAACTTTTTTCAAGCATTTGATATGGCGTTGGTTTTCCAAGGGAAACACAAACATCATAAACATTTGCATCGGATATACCATACTCATCAAGCAATGTACTAGTAACTGGTTCTTGTTCATTTGAATCATTATTATTATTAGTGTTATTATTATTATTATTATTATTATTATTATGATTATTATTATGTACACTTGAAGGTGGCTCTTCATCATCAATACAGCCTTCTTCATCCATAGATCCATCGGCAATGAGAATATCTCTATTTATTGCTTGTTGTTGTTGCTGTTGCTGCTGTTGTTGTTCTTGTAATTTTTTATATTGCGGTACAAGAATAACTAGTGATTCTTCTGTGGCATTTAATTTAGCTGTACGCTTATTGCGACCAATACCTGTACCATAAATATTATTACCGACAAGTACACGACAGCCAAAGGGTGAATTAGATACATCTGTTGTAAACCAATCGTAACGAACAGAAAGTTGCAAACGTTTAAGTGCATATTCTTGTAGCAATGCAATAGGACTTTTACTTGGATATAAATCAATAGTAACTTTTTTATTATTTAAATTTGATGATTCCGATGCTGATTTTATTAATGGTTTAACAGGTGGTTTTGCTGGTTTGATAGTAGTTGCAACGATAACAGATTGATCGTTTGTTGTTGATGATGATGATGATAGAGGTTGAAGTTCAAGTACTTGTGTATTAGCTGGTATATTCATTTCACGACGTTTCATTTGTGCTTGACGAATATATTTCCATTTATCACTGAGCGATGGAAAAAATTTGAATTCACCTGGCTCAAATGCTAATCGACGTTGACAATAAGAACGAAATTCATCCGATGTTAATGTTCTATAGCGGAGTGTATCATCTAGCGTTGAATTAGATAGAATTTGTAATGATACAGGTAATGGTTGTGGTTTTGTTGAACGTTTTACTATTGTGTCAGGTGGTATATTATTTGTAGATTCAACGGTTGTTTGTTCAGATGGTGAAGATTCTTCAAGATTTGCGCCGGTTGAAGCACGAGGAGAAGATATTTCACCTGAAAAATTATCATCATAGAGAGTGAAAAGAAGTGAACAGATTTTCGTACCTTCTTCAACATCTTCTTCACTACGTTTTCGTTTTCTATCGGATACTGAATTTGAAGAATTTTCTTGTTGTTCATTTTTAAATGGGCATTTTGATTCATCATTGGCTGTTGATGATTCTTCTGAACCAGTTTGTTCTTCTTGTAATTGTTTCAAATAAAGGCAAGGGATAGATGCAACTGGAATTAAATGATGACGAACACTGACGGAGCCAAGAAAATATGGACGTGATAATGTTACAACACGAGTTTGCTTATGGAAATATATTGGAAATCCACTAGTATGAAATACTTCACACCATCCATCGGGTAAACTATGTTTATTTTTTTCTTGGGAATAACCTTTTACAGTCCATCGATTATACAATTTTGGTTGTCCAGATGCTTGTTGCGTTTGAGATGTATCCGTGGATTTATCCATCACGCTCTCGTCCATTGAATCTTCTAAATCTTGACCTTCCATTCTAGAATACTCAAACGAAAGGAAATAAAGTAGTGTCATTAATCAACTTTACGTTGACTAAATCTTCTTGTTTATTAACAACTTGAAAAAGAATGTAATAAGGAAAAAAAAATAAAAAATTATTTTTTGCAATTTCCACAATTGCCAGTACAAGCACTGATTGATTGTGTTTCACATTCAGGATTACCCATCGCTTTTTGTTGTTTCTTTTCCCATTCATCAGGTGTATAAGTCTTTTGGGTGAACGCGTGAATTTCAGTCATTTCATTTTTTATGATTTCATTGACTAATCTATAGATTTGAAGAATAGAATAGACCGAATTCTAAAATTTACAAACATACCTCTGTCTTGCAAGTAATTGTTTACCTTCGAATTTTTTCGATACAATGACAGCATCAAATTTTAAACCACAACCACTTGAGAAATCTTCAACGGTCTAAACCAAAGGTATCATTTGAGTACTGCTATAAATAATTTCATTAGATTTAGCGAAAGACACGTCTCGTCGAACATTAGATTGGCTCCGTATGATTTTATTATATCACGTTTTTGTGTAACTGTGCTTTTGATACTTCACTTCTGTACATTAGAATACTCTATAGATCGATCTACCCGATAGCTCTACTTCAACAAGATAACTTTTTCTATAATGAATATTATGCTTACCAAATAAGTTGGCTCAAGTTCATCGCGTAATTTCTTTTCAATGCTATCTTTATTAATTGCCATTGTATCTGAAATGTGTAAACAGGAAAATTATTTTATTTGAAACAAAATTATTAGAAGAGACAAAAAAGATGAATCGATCTAGGTTAATCTTTCTTTACAAAAGTTAATAGGAACAGTCAGATTAATAACTACTACAGAAAACATGCTGAAGTATTGCGTTATTAATACGTCATTTACATCCATTTTCGTAAAAAAGAAAAAGAAAAACAATAAATCGAAAACAAAACATCTTTTAAAAATCTCCTATGATAAATTCTATTATAAACGAATCACGCCAGAAATTCGTCTATGATAAATTTACCATAATTCTCCTTCGGTATCTTTTTCTGGAACTTCAATAATTCTTGGTTTATCAACTATTTTCGCCGTTCGATCACCTTTTTCTACGACACCAATAATCCATGCTCGATAACCTTCTTGTGCTTCAATATCTTTACAAAAAGCAGCAGCTTGTTCATGTGGTAAAACCACAAGTAAACCACCTGATGTTTCTGCACTTTTACCTTGTAATAAACTAAACATATCATTACAAGCTTTTGTTATTGTAGCCATTTTAGCAATAATAGGTAAATTGTGTATGACAAATGAAACCTCATTTTTTTGATATTTTGCTAAATTCTCTGCATGACCTAATAGACCAAAACCAGTTACATCCGTACATGCATGAGCATTATATTTATGCATAAGTTTTCCACCTAAAATCGAAGGATTTCTATTGGATAAAGAAAATTATTTTATCATTTAAATATACCAGTTCTATTTAATCTAGCCATACAACTCATAGCACGTTTATAACCTTTTCGTACTTCATCTTCAGTAACTACCGATTTAATCCGATTCCATCGATCTGGATTTTCAATCCATTGATAAGCATTGACAGCAACCTTAATAAAAACAATATTTTCATTTTCTTATCCGAATACAATAGTGAAACGAACTTGAGTGCCTAATGGTTTTGTCAATACTAAAACATCACCGACAACAGCATGTTCTGGAATGATTATTTCACTTGGAATACAAATAGATGTAGCAACACCACCAACTATTAACCATGGATTAACAACAGTTTGACCACCTTGAACAGATGTACCTGCTTCTTCAGCACAATCCTATTTCAACAACAACAAAAATAACTTATATATTTTTCCTCGACCAAAATAACAAATCATTACTTTGAATCCTTCAAGGATCAATGGCATAATAGTATCACGTTCTTTTTCACTCATTTTATTACTTGTACTTAATAACATTAACATATTATCTACTTCAATAGCACCCATAGCATAAATATCACTTAAGACATTTGCGCACGCAATTTTTCCCTAATTAATAAAATCTTATAGGCACAAATAAGGTTACTTTTGTTTTTTGAATATTTACCATCACATATGGATCGTCAATAAGTGGATAGAAGAAATCAGTTGATTGGACAAGAAAAAGTCCTCCATGGCGCAATGGAAGAACACAAGAATCCAGGCCAATACCTATAAAAATTACTTTCGAAGATATTTTCCTACGAATTATTATATATAAGCATACCAATAACCGGCGATGTTTTAGTCTCTGGCGTGAGTGCCGATTGATTGGTTGAAATTTGCCCGTCACCGAGATTTTTTTTCTCATCATTAGATTGAAATCCCTCGAGCAGACGGTGCAACACATCTCGAGGAACTTTACACCCTCATCCTTTAAGATCGGATAATTTCGTCAGACGAAAATCAGCCGATAAATTATAGTCTACTGGATCAAAAGGTTTTCTCTGCATTCTTTTTGTCTATCTACAAGATCAAAACGCAGCACATTCAAACTGTACATTTAAAAAAGAAAAACGAGAGAAAAAAAGTGAAGACAAACGACTGATCTTCATCATTGACACACAAAAAAAGCAATGCTTTACAATACAATAGCTGAGTTAATTCTCCTCTAAAAGAAAAGTTGCCGCGCATCCGCAGGACTTTGTTCTAGAACGAAAATATTGTATGTTTAAAAAAAATATCGTTTCGCCAAATATCTTAGGAACTAACCTAGTGGACAGTATGGACATTTGAGCTTATTTTGTATAGATAATTTATTCAATGCATCTTTAGATATAACATGACCACAAACGAGTTTCATTGGTGGATTCTGATCTGTCGTTTGTTGTCGCAGAATTGGACAAGCAAATACACTATGGTATCGATGTTCTTGACCAACGTCGACTTCTATTGGTAATTCATCTTTGGATAAAATATGGCACACTTGAGTATTTTGCATGGCATTTACAATGCTAAAATAAAACTTTATATTTAATCCTATGATTCATAAACACAAAATGAGTTTGATTTAAACGATAGAACAGCCTTTCGATGAGACAGACTAAGAAAGACATTAAAATATTCGTCTCAGGAGTTCAACCGAAAAGAATAACTTTTATATCAGACGACGACGACGACGACGACGACAGTTACATCCTCTCTCAAACAGTTATATCACTAAATTATTGCCAAATAAGGAAAACTCAAAATTTACCTCATTAGAGCAGGTAATGCTTGAAAACCAATTTTCATTACAACATAAAGCGGACTATCTTGAGAGAGTCCAACTTGTTGAAATGCTTGTTGCATAAATAATTCTGATAATTGTAACCAAAGATGTGGTTCCAGTAAATATTTATAGGGTGATTTTGATAGATCTCGTTGAGCGAATATAAAAGCACCCATCAATTCATTAACGGCTTGTTCACATCGACCATTTAAAATTGAATATTGTCTTAAATTCGATAGATAAACTTTTGCTTCATCAAAATTTCCCATTTGTAACAATTGTACAAAACGCATTTTATGTAAATGAAATTCTAATAAACTTCCGGCTTTATCTAATTCATTTCGTTTCTTTTGACACCATTCGAGTGCTGGCACGAGATTTTTTTCTCGTAAATTTTCTAAAATCATATTTATTTCTTCTAGAAAAGTTTTTTCTACATTAAACAATTCATTATCTCTTAAATTTGTTTCTTCAATTAATTGTTGAGCTATAGACATGCGTCCTTGTCGATATAAATCTTCGCATATAATCATATAAATTAACTTCAGTTTTTCTGGTTTATCAAATAATTCGAATATTGGAACATTACCAAAATCTGCATGAAAACATTTATCAATTGTTTTACCAATCTTCGATATTGAACCATGTAAATCTTTATGTTTATCACTATATTGTTTGGCAAATGGCTTTATTGTATCACGAATATTCGCTTTCATAATTTGATCATCAGTTGAATTTGAAATCATCATTTCAATTTGTTGAATAACATTATCAATATTACTGTCAATATTATTGTAATATTCTTGAACTGATTCAACAGCTTTATCAACGTCTTTTTCAACAATACCTAACATATTGTTTGTCATAGACATTTACGTTTCAAATTACGAATGGTAATGGTGATGATGACAAACGAAGATTAAACTAACTATATGTATAGTTATTTGCATAAATAAATTTAACAGCCAATCAGATGGTGATGTGTGAGCGACCTCTTCAGGAACAGGTAAAATATTATAATAAATAATAAGACTTTTCAGAAGAATAATTATAAGATAGAAAAAAAGTCTTTTTCAATCAATAGATAAATTTCGTTAGAATGAAAATGATAACTTCTTTGTTTCAGCGGGATGAATGATTCATTGTTGAAACATAAAGAACAAAGACTTCATTCATCGTAATGCTAAACACCTTTGTTCCATGTGTGAAAGTCAATTATAGGTTCAAGAATACATATATAATAAATTGTAGACGATTATTTTTATGTACCCAATACATTATTTGATGTGTGTTGTAAATGTTTCCCATCGATCTCTGAAGAATTGAACTATATGTTGTTCACGCTTTCTATACAACGTGTTTCTATTTAGAAATTTGTAGATTCTATTTTATTTATTTCAATTCAATAGTCATTTATAATGTCGAGCCATGTTAATGATGAAAACAATGATAGTTACAATGATTTACTGCAATCCATTATGCCAATTAGTAGTTATTTAGATTCAGGTTATTTAACATTGAATTCTCCATGTGTTACGTCCCCATCTCGTTTATCACCATCAAGTGTCATTCTCAATCAAGTTGATTCTCCATTATCAGAATGCGACGTACAATCTCCCATTAATGCTGCCATAAGAAAATTTGTTTCCAAAATTGATTATGAACATTATATATCAACGCGAAAACATTTTGATGTATTAACACAATTATACCATCGTAATACGCAACATATTATTGATAGAATATTTGAAAATTTATCGAATAATGATTTAAAATGTTGTTCAAGTGTAAGCCGAAAATGGTGTTCAATATTAAGAGATTATCATCGACGTAAACGAACAAAAAATGTGAAGCGTAATTTATTTAATAGCATCAATAAAACTCCAGTAAAAAAAGTCCAATACAAAACTGTACCAATGCAAACAATAACAAATTTACTTGATGTAAAAGCAGCAATACCGGTCATTGTTGAAACAACAACAACAACTGTAGAAAATAATCTCCCAGCAACACCATCACAGCAAATATTTACATCATCGCCTGATAATACTGTTCATCTTGCAGCAAGTACAATGACATTTCGTTATGGATATTTAAAATATTTACATGGACCAACAGTACCAAAACGTTGTCCTATTTGTGCTTATGTTTCAATTGTTGATGTCAATGATCAGCATGGGTATGTTCTAGGATAATAACTAATTAGAGTTTTTCCCCCCTCTCCATTTGATTCATACTCTTTGATTATTACTTAGTCAATCAGAGATTATAAAACATGATTTTAAAGATTCACCTCGAATAACACTTTCTCAATTTACATTTTAGCATTTGTACGAATCCATTATGTCGAAATAGTTTCTGTCAATGCTGTTCTGGTCCTTATCATCCATCTAGTCCGTGCAAAACAACAACAGGTCCAATAAAATCTCCATGGCGTCAACGACCTACTGTTTCTCCAATATTTTCAAATAAAACACGAAACAATCTACGACGATTACTAATTTGATCATAATAACGAGTTTATTTATTTATTTATTTCTTAATAATAATTTCGTTTTTCTTTTTTGTCGCTATAGTTCGCCTTGAGTTCTTTTTGCTGTTGTGTCATGTGAAATACTGGTCATGTTTTAGCTTCTTCGCCATTTCGTTTTTCTTATTTTCTCGCTAAAAGTTTTTTTTTTTGTCAAATATCTTTTTCTTTCCACTGGTTGTATCTATGATGTATATAAATCGAACAACTGTTATTTATTAAATTGTAAGCTTGTGCAATAAAATGCTGTTCTATTTCTGTGTGCATTATCGTCTGATTAGTTTTTTTCTGTTGTGGTCCTTTTCCCCTTTTTTTAAAATATTATATATATATGGTATGTAAAGAAGAAGAAAAAAAAAATTCTCAGTTGCCAACAAAAAAAAACAAAATCGTACATGTAGCAACAAGTTTTATTTAAAATTAGGCAATAGGCGAATTTTGGAAATTCTGTATCAGCCAACGATTATGCGCTTGAACGAGTTCTAATGCTTGACGTTTAATTTGTTCATATTGACCTTGCACATTTTGAGATTGAAGAGCTTCGTCAGTGAGAAAACAGGCTTGAGAAACACTTTGTAATTTCTTTTCAAGACCAACAAGCTAAAAAATAAAATTTTTTTATTGTAGTGGTATCAAAGCCGGATGCGGACTGAATTCACATATGGCTCACTCAGTAGTCATCTAACTACTTGTTAGGATAACAAAAAAAATAATAGTATGATGTGTTATATTACTTGTTGATGTGTTTCATTATCTCGTAGTTGTGTTTGTGCAGCTTCAAATTGTGATTGCAAAGTTTGTATTTCCATTTTAGTAACTTGCCTCTGTTTACCCATATTACTTTTGTCAGCAGCTAATTGTATTTTACGTTTTTCAGCTTTTTTCTTCAGTCCTTCTAAATCATTGAATTTCTCAAGGTCTTCTTGCATTTTAGCATATTGTTTTTTTAATTCTTTAAGTTCCTCTGTTAGTTTTTGATCAAGAGTTTCAACTTTTGCATAATCTTGTTTAACTTTTCGATGTTGTTCAGCTAGAATAGCTAAAGTATCATTCGATTTTTTCTTTTCGGCTTCATGTTGATCAACATTTGTTTTCAATTGTGTATAATCATCACGTGATATACCTTGATCACCTTTAACAAGTGTACGACTAATCAATGCTAATAATGTTAAATTGGATTTTTGCACATTTTTAACATCGTTTAAATATTGATCACGTGTTTCCTCATAGGTCGAAAAGAATTCATCAATATGCAGTTCACGTTTTTTTAATTCAAGATATTTTTGTTTTGTTTCATCATCAGCTGCTGCTGCCGTGGATTTACTCTGTTGTGCAACTAATAATGATGCTTGAACATCGTCGTTGTCATAGTTTTGTTTCAGGTTTTCATTTCGTTCTCGTAATTCGCTGATTTGTTTATCCATAGCAGCTATTTCTTGATTATCTTCTTTGACTTGTTGTGTTAATTTTTGACGTTCCTGATCTGGTGTTAGAATATTTTTACTTTCATTACTTAATTGATCACGTTTAAATTCAAGTTCATAGATTTGTTCAACTAATGATAATGCTTCTTGTTTAATCACTGCGCCCGACATTTGTTCACGCATTTTATTCATTTGACCTTCGAGCGAAGTTATTTCATTTTGCATTGTATCCATTTGAGTTTGAAAATGATGGGATGTCGATCTTATTTTAGTGTAACGTTGTTTTAATTCAGGATTCTAAGAAGTTTTTTGTTCATAGAAATTATAGAAAAGAAAAATTGAGAATGTTACCATATTTTCTAGAACTCTTTCAGCTTTTTTCTTTTCTGCAGCAAGATCACCTTCGAGCCGTTGAATTCGTTGTTCTTTTCTAAATATGAAAACTTATTATTAAAACTCTTGAAATGACCTTTTGAGATGGGACAATTGTCGAAGTAAGTTTTGTTTTCTTTACCTTTGTTTTTCAAGATAAATTTCATCAATACTCGATTCGACTTGATGATTATGAGCAGTTAAATCTGCAATTTCTTTTTTCAATTCAGCCACTTCGCCTGTTGTTTGTAATCGATCAATGACCTGTACAGAATAAAATTCAAAATAAATCCGGAAACGTAATGTCAAAAAAATAATTCGTACCATATTATAATCGCCTAATTCATTACGTAAAATTTCGATTTGTTGTGATAAATCTTCAGCACTAGAAATAGTTCACTTTTTCGAATTTTTCTATTCAATTTTTCAATATACGAACGCTTTGCTCAATGCAAAATATTGTTTATTATCTTCAGTGAATGATTCAGATTCACGTCGTAATCGTTGAATTTCTGATTCAAGATCCGATACTTTTGATCTAATGATTAATTAAATTATTTTTGTGTCGAAACAAAAAGCAAAAGAATAAACTTACCGAACAAGACCAACGAAATATGTTCGATCTTGTACTTGACGACCACCTAGTCCTCCAGGATTTTGAATACCACCTAATCCACCTCGAACCATCGGTGCATCTTCAACTTTAATACGCATATTTGAACCCAATGGGCCACCACGACTTGAAGGACGTTGCTATAATCAAAAATAGTATTTATATAGCTAGAATCAATCGAACACAGCTGACTTACTCCACTTGCTGTTGTTAAGCGAGTAGCCGTACCTATTGGACGACCACTGCTTGTACCAGGTGCTAAACAAAAGTCAGATTTATAATAATAATTTACACATTTTCATAAAGCAAATTATTTCCATCAAATGAGATCATTTATCGCATATTTTTAATCTTAATTATTCTATACAAACCTTGTGAATTTCTAGATAATGGTGGAACTGCACGCGACATTTTCTCTCTTTCAGCAAGATATGTTCTTCTATGATTAATTTAATATGTCTATAACCATTTTGTTGGGTTCTCTTAGAGAGTTTAGTTGTCTTAGTAACAATTTTTTAATCAATGATAGATGTCGTATGTATTCATTATCATCCATTGCATATGCATATAATATGTATTTTATTTATGTAAAAAAAATAAAGCTATCGAATGAATATTCACAATCTAATCGAGTAAATAAAATATGAAATCCGCAAAGATTTTTTTGAAAAAGTAAAACAACAAAAGTAGCACCCATTCGACAGATGTACACAAAATAATTAAATCGATAGCTTTAAGAAGTAAGTGACAAAGGACGATTCGATCGGAGAAGACGTTTTGCAGTTCGTTCACAATCATGTTGAAATGAAGAATCAGTTAATGGATGAACATCCATTTCAATCTATACAACGACAACAAAAAATGCGTTACTATCAATAGGAAAAGTATGTATGAACCTGAAAAATATTCGATAAAGTCTGTTGTAAAACTTTGACAAATTGAATCATTTCGTTAATGAATAGAAAATAAAATATCCAAGATTTTGATCCTTGATTTCCATGTTCAATTGACTTCAAAAAATAAATGTATAGAAAAACTTATTGGTAGTCTCAAAATTGTACTTACTAATACACAATAGTACTGACATTCAGGATCAACAAGTAATCGTACAATATATTCAAGTTTTACCGAGTCAAGTTGACGAATCAGTGCGTTATCTTGTTCATCATGACATACATATAGTTTTTCATCACTTAACATCACACTGCATGGAACTGTATTTGCTGAATTTTCTTCATCTTTCATTGCCATACGCTATAGAGGAGAAAAAAAAGCAACAACAACTTATATTTGACTATTCTTTCGATGAAAATCATACTTACTCCCTGCGAAAGACCTTTCATAATAGCATTGAGCCATTCATCTTGTTCAGCTTTTGTTTTTGGTGCCATTATTAATTTTACTTCGTTGACAAACATTATTTCAACAGCATGTGGTCGATCAGCAATACGATTCCTTCGACATCCTTGACAATTTTCATCGCTAAAATCATAAGATTGTTTTTAGTTGTTTGTATTTGAAAAGAATCTGTATTGTTACAGTAATGTATATGATAATGCAGGAGTTGTATCTGACTTATGCAAATAGACGTTGAGACGATCAACTCTAAAGACAACACAAAAATTGAATAGTTTGTACGTCAAGAGAGATTTCGTTTTTTTTTTGTTTTCGTCATACCTTAAGGTAACATAGGCATTACGCCATGTTTCAAATGGATGCCGATGGGATTTCAGCGTAGCATTACCAAGACGTCGTATTGCTGTTGCTGGTTCAACAAGTTTCGTGTAAAGCATACCTTCTTTACGTAGTTGTCGTCCACTCATTTGTGGTTCTTCCCAAAATGCGAAATGATAATCAAGTAATTTAACATCATTAATACTCTAAAAAGATCAATAAACGATAGATACATTTTATTGAATAATAAAATTGTTTACATTCTTTTTCATATCGTTAGCTAACATTTTCTTAATTGATAATTCTTGCATTGTTGCTGGTGATATTTTCGGATCGGGATATCGACCTATTTTCGAAGCTTCACAAATGCAATCACAAATGGCTCTGAAAACGTAAGATAATTAGCTCTATTTTCTAGTGAATGATACTGTAAAAAGTTCATTTGACGGAGAATTTTCTTCATGATTAAAATTTAATTGGTAGTTGGAAAATTACCTCGTTAATTCGACACATCCTGTTGTTAACGTATGAAGTTTACTTTTCTTGTTTGCCATTATACGAAAAAACTGTTCATTAGGGCCAACCTTAAATAATAAAATGATTATGTTTATTGTGAAAAAAAAGAAATAAAGAACAGATGAATCTTTACTTCCATATAATTGATTTGTTCTAATCTCACACTTTCGACTTTTTCTATTCGATATAAACCATTAGTTTCGTAGGTTTGTCGAACTAAATAAACACTCATCGTTGTTACGAGAAGAAAGACAGTTTCAATATTGCCATTATTGTGACCAATCGTTGTAGGAAATATCTATTAGAAATTAAAGTAAAAAAAAACTGAAGAATTCACAACTCGTTTTAATACTTTAATTAATCTTTCTTTATTTTCTATTTCATAAACTTCTAATGTAAATTGTAATTGAAGATTAGCATCAGCCCTACGAATAGAAAAATCTATTGGAAATCTTTGTTGTTGTTTTTTTTTTAATTTCTCACTCTAAATCGAGTGAATCGACATGCTTAGGTCGTAGAAGATCATCATTTTTTGGTTCTACACTTAAATCACTTAATCCATTATCAATTGAAACCGATAGTGAAGATAATATTGAATGTTCATGTTGTTCAGAGCTATTGATTGATTGTTCAATTTTTTCAGAAATATTTGTCGGTTTCTCAACAATTATTGAAGGTTGAGTTTCTGCTATTAAAGATTTACTTTCGGTTGTTGAAGGTTCACTGTCAATTGTTTCTGCCACAATAGATTTGTCATCTAAAGGTATGGTCATGGCTTTTTCATCGACGATAATTGATGATATAGGTGAGGGTGTTGGAGGTCGATTATTTAGTATAGGATCAAGTTCACTTAAACTTGAACTAAGTCCTGGTGTTGTTGTACTTGCTAATGGTAATGGAGAATCTGATACTAGAATCGTTAAATTCGATATTTGATTTTCATCGTTCAATGATAAACCATCTATCGACGGATTATCAAAGCTAACAGAGGATGAACGCGAGAAAGTAGTCGGATGAATATCCGAAGATATAAGACTATTCACAACAGATGATGTTGTCGATGCGCGACCGTTTCGTTTAGGTACTCGAACACGTTCTATTCAGAAGAAGAAAAAAAAATTTTCTATAGTCAATTATTCAATATAAAACCGTACTCGATGCAACAGTAGTTCTATTTAATACAGCAGGTGACGATGGTAAATGTTGAACATCATATCTAGATAAGTATGTAGTAAATGTCGGAACATCATTTCGTACGCCTGGCAATGGAAGTCGTTCGGTATCTTTTATATCAACTTGTAAATAGGCTGGCCAACAGCCACGATCAAAATATGCACAATCCTAAAATTGAAATATCGATGATTGCTTTTCTTTCTCGCTTGAATTAAATTTTGTTTTTTTCCTACAATTTTTAAATCAAATTGAATATTTTCTAAACCAGAACATAATGTCGTAAGAGCAATTAATCTCTAGACAAAACAAAAAGGAATTTTAATTAATCGAAGGAATAAAAATGAAAAACAAAAGCCCTACTTGAGTATCGTTAACTATGGAATCGGATGTGTAAAATTTTTTAATTAATTTTTTATTATCTTGAAAACATTTTATATAGCTTTCCGTTAAATTATCATTAAATGCGAAGAAAAACCATGCACGACCACGACCAATATTGGTTTCTATATTTAGCAATGACTCAATCTCCTTCAATAATAATTTTGGAGTAAATTCACTAACACATTTATAGTATCCATCTTGAACAAATCTTAATCTAAATTTGAGGCATTTATATATTTTCTTTAATAAAATATGATCGAAAAGAAGTATTTAGCTAGAGCTTACAATGGAGGTGTTTGTACTGTTCATCACGAAAACCGCTCATATTGGTATCAAATGAAAGGTCTCATTGCCAAACTAACAGGGTTAAAATATTAGCGGCCCGTGGCTTACCTAAAGGGAGATATTCGATTTTTCAGTGAATTTCCTCTGCAGGACCCGCTTTCCCAGCAAAGTCATATTCTCGAATTTGAATCTGAAACTTTGTATGTTTGAAGGTCTCAATGAGACTAGTTTGCCAGAAAAAATTCAGAAGTTTTGGACAAACTATATACGAGATATGAATCTCTCAAAATGTACAACTTCTATCGAAAATCGCCAATATTTTGAGAGATTCATATCTCGTATATAGTCTGTCCAAAACTTCTGAATTTTTTCTGGCAAACTAGTCTCATTGAGACCTTCAAGCATACAAAGTTTCAGCTTCAAATTCGAGAATATGACTTTGCTGGGGAAGCGGGTCCGGCAGAGNATTTGATGACATTCGAAGCAATATAATAATATATAATCTCCTTTTTTAATAATATACAATTTCTATGCTAAACTTAGTTTTAGAGAATTCCACATAGATATGTCTTAAAATAGATAAATTAGCTTAGTAGCCTTGTGACAAGCGACAACTGCATCATATTTCATATAGGAGTTCCGCCGGAATTATACTGAGACTCGCTTTGCAATCATAGAAGCAAAAGAAAATAATACATTATTACCCATAAAGTAAAGCAAAATCAAGATGCTCAAGTAAACAATGCACTTGCCAATCATCATTTGTTATAATTCGAGATGTTTGATTATCGTCATCGACAGCTAATCGATGAATCTAAATAATATTTCATATATGATTATTGATTTAATCGATGAAATCAACTAGACCAACTTCTCGAATTGCTGCCGAAATATTGGTTAAAATTTTATCTTTTATTATTTTCGGTCCATAAAGATAACTCATATTTGAAGAAAATCAATGTATAATCTACAATTAGACGATTGAAGAGTAAAATAAACTATTGTCATATGTTTACGATGTGAAACTATGAGTCATTAGATATGAATCATCGCGAGTTCTAATTCGGAAGATATTTTCTATCTCGTTTAAGCAAATGAATTAGTTCGGTAACATGAGTCAGACATGCCTAAATAGTAGCGATAATGTCATTACCCATTCAAGTAAACTCATAAATAATTATAATCGTTTAATAGGAAATTATTTTCTTGCTTTTGTTTATGAAAATTTGTTTTGAATTTTTCAAGTTTGTCTACAATAAGTTATTAATATAGACTTTTCTTTTTAGAAAATAAATTGAGTTAATTCACGCTCAACGCATATAGAATTGATGCGAAAAACGCATCGTCACAATGGAAATCTCATGATTCAAATTAGCATATAGCTTTTGTATAGACAGAACTATGACGTTTAAACAATCAGCTATATCGTCATATTTAATTATGACGCTTTTATCGAAGCGTCATGTAAATTTGAATCACGAGATTCGATGAACTACTCTTGTAATGTCTTAGGTTAGCATATAGATTCTCGTGACAAAGAAATATAGCGCCATTAATTTGAGTATTAATAAACTAGGTCAACCTTTTATTGAAGGTACTACGTGTGAGCCATTAGAATTTAATCAAAAGATGCAAAAGAATACGTTCATGGTTGATAAAAGCATCGCGGAAGGAAAATATTCTGTCAGTACTTTCAAACTAGAAATCATTTCAATTATCTAGAAAAAAATCAAACAAAAAACTTTTATGAATTATTTATTCGACATTTCAAAAAATTTCAGGTTGGTAGATAACGAGCAAAGCGCCATTTCTTTTAGACGCCGAAGCGAATTCAGTACTTGAATAGTGCTGCTCATGCTCTGAAAAAAGCAAGATTAAATAAAACATCTGACACATAAAGAACGAGAAAAAAGGACGAAAGAAGTATAATCAAATAAATCAACTTAGTTTATTGTAAAAAAAATACAAAAAGAATTTCTCCTAAAACATTTTTTTCTATTTTTATCGAAAAGATAGTGAATGGATAATTGGATTTACACAATCATATTCTGGTACATTTGATTTGATTGTTGATCTTCATTAACAATCGTCCGTATTTATTTAGCATGACTTTTAAGCCACTTTGGCTTTAGTGCACTTTTAACGGCATTCCATGCAAAATGTCCACTTTGTTCTTGTAGATCCGAATCACTGAGAACATCTTTTACAAATTTGCTTGCAGCTATTTTTACATTTTCATCATTTAATACTTGATGAGTAATTTCTAGTGCTAAATTACTTAATAGTTGTTTCGTTTTTTCATCATTTACGAATTCTTTCAATAGTAAATGTAAAGCGTCTTGATTATCTTTTTGTAAAATCGCACGACGAAACAATTGTCCTAGCTGTACTTCTGTTTCTGGCTTTTGCATAACATCATAGACGATTTGCGATGCAAATTCTGATACGTATTGCTGCATTTCACGATCGACCATTAAACGTTGTAGAAGACGAATAAGAGTTTTTTTTGTTGATGGATCATCCAAAACATGTTCAAGAAATGCAAGAGCTTTCGACAATACATTCGGATCGGATAAAAGAGTTTGAATAAGTTCTTGAGATAGAACAGTAACTTGCTGTTTTACGCTGTCTAAAACAATTTCAAAATAATAATTCATTCATGCATAGAGACTTGAAAGAATTAATATAAAAATTATAAACATGCAATCTTGTTTTTGTCACGAAATGATATGAATAGGAATACTTTTGATTTCTTAGACATGAGAAAAAAGGCCACCCTTGTTTTTTGTCACATCCTCTTGAATGAGAATTAATGAAGTATAATTCGACTTGTCAGATTCAAGAAGGAAACAGAAGAAAAAAAACAAGATGTAAAATCTCACCGTGTTCTAGACTGCTCCTTGCTACATCGGCAACTTGTGCAACCGTTTGATTTTTCAATGGTTTTCGAAAAACATATAAAAATATCACAGTCGATATAACTACAATTCCAGACCCGATGACAAGTGCTTTCACCAGGCCACGTTGCTCCTGAAAACGAAGACTTCGTAAGACCATTTCCGATATTTCACTCTTTAATAAAGAAGAACGTTTCGGTGGGTTTGCGGAATCGGTTTTAGTTGATGGTGCTGTATCATTTTTTATTGCCAATAGACATGTTAAATGTATCGGTCGATATTTAATTAATACTAATTGCGAAAGACAATATCCTCTTCGTATAAAACTCAGTCTCGACAGCATCTTTAATGTAAGAAACAAAATTAGATCGTTTGCGAAAAATGAAAGGATTATGACTTTTGTTTTGTTGCATATACAGATAATCAAAGGAATACACTGTCGAAATCAAATACAAAGCAGAAAAAAAAAGATTTGCAATCAACTTCTTCGACTACCATAGACGTCTTACAGAAAAAGAAGAAAAAAAAAGAGATTTAAGTATCGATATATCTTTTTAGTCAGTCGTGTCTGGTTCATCATCGTTTCGATCAGCCAAATGTGCTGCACGAAATTCATTGTAGTGTTTTTTACGTTTTAATTCAAATTGTCTTTTTCGTTCTGAAAAAAAATTTATTGTCAAAATAAATCTCAAATTCTATTAAAAAACAAACCTCGTTCTTCAGTTGTTAGTGTTTGCTCGTCTTCACTACCTTCAACATGCACATGGTGATGATGATGAGGGCGATCAGACGATGCTGATGAATCTCTTGACTGATGATGAACTAATATTGGTTTTATTGAATCAACTGATGAACGAGATGATGATACATTACTAACGAGAAGCAAAACGATATTTAATTCATATAAATAAAACAAAAGCCTATTTACGTTTCATTTCCTTTGCCGTCTTCAGATCCGTACGGAACCGTTACTGTGGCTCCTGGCTGTTGTTTTTCTTCTTGTTCGAGAGCGCGTAGTTCATCTTCGATTTCTTTTTTACGTAATCGAACAACTTCAAATTCATTATAATGCTGTTTACGATGACTTTCAAAATGTTTTCGATGTTCTAAAAATCAATTCATTCATAATGATTACGAATTTTCTTGCTTTCTTTTTACCCAACTTGTCTCCTGCAAGTTCAATATCATCATCCATCGATGCCCCGGGTACAAGAGTAGCATATGACTGAGATGAATCGGATGTAGATGATTTTGATTGGTTCAATCTGAACAGAAATAAGTTTTAGTAAAACAAAAAAAGATGAAATTATTCAACCGATAATAACCGTTGTGCAAGTGTGTTTGGATCGATGCCTATGTTTGTTGCTTCAGGCAATATTTCTTCATCAATAATATCATTTGGCGCATAGGGTGTTTTAGGCTCTTCGATTTTCATGTGACCGTAATCTTTGTCAACTGGATGATAGGTTGCAATGATATTCATTTCATCGAAATGAGGAATTTTATGACTGACAGAAGAAGAAAAATGTAATGAGAAAATATCAGTAGATTGGTCTTACCTTTTACTTTCAGAACGAGTCATACCAGTTGTGAGGCAATGATTCACTGCTGGTAATATTGTTTCACGTAGAATATCTTGTTTTGCATCATCAATACTTTTCTTTGACTTGAGAATACCTCTCGATGGTTGCATATGTAAATTAGCCACCGGATCATGTACTTCCTGGTCAATATTCGACGACATTATACGTTAGTATAATTACTAGTATGAGTTATCACGATTTTACTAATTGATATAGTGTAAAATATTTTTCATCTGGAAATAAATACGAGAAGATAAATTTATGCTTTAGTGATGATTGAAAAAAGAAGACATTTATAGTGCTAGCTACACGATAGATTTGCGTTTCTTTCTACTCTGCGAAATAAACGAGCAGTGCTATTTTCTTTTCTTTTTTTTTGTCCTTCTCTACATGCTCTGCATACAAAAATATATATACGCATGAAGAAGAAAAAAAAAAGACTCGAACGCAAAAATATAGCACGAGTGCAAGTAACATACGAATTGCTGATTTGTTGCTGAGATTAATTACCACCGCTGGTTCCCGTTTTTCTATTTTCATGCATGCAAATAAACTATTAACAAAGATATTTGTTTATTGCTTCAATGTAACTCAATAGATATGAATAATAGTTGAATCTTATCAGTAGAAAAAAGTAAATAAAATCACGTGTATCCAGAAATTCTTCCAATGGAATTGAGTTCATGATTGGCTTCTATATTATCTAAATGAAACATAATCAAGAAATCATCAACACACAATTATTCTGTTTAATATGATAGTTAGACCGATAGAAGCTTAACATGGAAATAAATATTTGAATCTATTAAAGTCGAACATGAACGATTATATTCATTACTACCAACGGCCTTCAATGGTTGATAGCAATAGACTAACGTATACTTTTCAAATAAGTACATACGCGTGTATCTGAATAAACAAAATTTTGTAACTTGATAGAACAAATCAACACAAACTTTCAAGGTGTTTGAGAGATGAAAAATTTTGTCAATGGAATGTTCGAGTAAATTAATAATATAATTCATGATTCTGTATTCCATTACAAAAACAATAAAATATTAATGCTTGCGACACAATTAAAATGTATATGATATGACGACTTGTAAGCTACTATTACGGATTGGTGTAGCGTCAAGGCATGTGCCTGTTGGTGACTTTGATGTTATAGTATTAGATCTGGATGAAAGACTTGAATTTCTAAAGTATCAATTAGCAGTGATGTGAAACAATGTTCTTTGTAGTTATTAAAACCAATATAGATGTCGGTAAATGATCCATAATTTTTATAGAGGTCCATGTGACAGGTTCTCAAGCAATGGTAACAATAAGTATGACTTTTGCCGATTAGGGAGGGGCTAAATCTTTCCCGAAAATTGATAAAATTTAACATCATGAGTACTGCAATAATTTGAAGCGATCAGACTAAAATAAGTCATCTCTTCGCCATAAAGATTACAAGAGTATTATGTTGATTATATGAATTTTATTTGTAATTTATTTCCGTTGCTATCTAACTGAAAATATCAAATTTATCGGACTATTAAATCTACATTAATCACATAAAATTCGAGAAATATTTGTTAAACACGGATGTTATTAATGAATTGTAGACTTAGCATGTTATTTTCTTTCTGTTATGTCGTACATTCATTCAAAATGTGTGCTATGATAACCATTAGGTCAATCTTGTTTTTTCTTATTTATTTGCGGATATGGATATGAAACTTGATTTTGTCCGCATAAAAAATCGACCAATGTTGTTATGTTTGTAAATTTACGACCGATCATCGGTCAGATCCTCCTGATTAGCATAATGAATAACAATAATATCCTAGAAGATTTCAAAAATTGAAACAAAATCAAAATCTATTTTTGAGGCAGTTTGAAAATCAGAAAAGTATTGCAAAGGTATTATGAAGCTCTGAAACATCCAAAACATGTTTCCATGCGGGACTCATCTTGCTCGGTAAACCGATGGTTATAACTGATATTGTAGTTCATCGATAGTTCTTCCCTGTGAAAAAAGATTACGCGTGAGTATAGAATAATGCCTTTATCAGATACAAATTTTGCTTGGACAAAGTAAGATACAGATCTTATTTTTCAGCATCTCGATTCAATACAGCGAGACTTTTAGCGTTGATCTAGTCGCACAGGTGCGTTTATTTACAGATGACTTTGACTACATGGAGGCTTAAAAATACTTGAAATTGTGATCAGCAGTTCAGTGAAAATGTTGAGCACAATATCAATTTCTAATGAATTAAAGTTTCGATTCTATTGAAATTCGAATTTGTTTACTAGACTATCGTACCGATAAGTTAAAATGTGATTTTTGTTTACGAAATTTAATTAACAACATGCCTTCTGATCTCTACTTGTATTTTTTTCAATGTTTCTGTATCCATCAAATAAAAGCTTCGACCTAAACATATAGACTTTCATGATATAGTCAGTTCAATTTTATTCGCTTTAGTATTCTCTTTAAAACGAATAACAAGAAGTAGAGATGATATTTATGTATTTTATGATAAATAATCTTATGTTTCCACTCAGTCGTTCATTTTATCCACGAATCAAAAGTGAATAACGATGAAGCTAACTGAACGCTTCAAGATTCGTCGACCGTTTCGTTCGTAGTGTTGGAGAAGATAAAAGTATTTAAAATGTGCTTTTGCGTAATTTTAGAAAAGCACTTCGACGTAGAGAATGATTCTAAGTATGAGTCGTGATCAATGTTTCGCCCACAGTTATAATAAAAATTGCTAATCCATGAAAGACGCCAGAGATGGATGGCAATAAAACAAATCACGGAGTGTACATTAAATTATCTGTAAGAAAATCTCTATAACTCATTGAGTGAACCTGCTATTTCCTCAATTTTGTTCCGCTTGGCTGATAATAAAAATTTAGCCAAAATATTTTTTATAATATCATATACAAGTGTATTGAATCTAAAACCAAAGAAACACAAATCTTTTATTTTTCTTATTTTGCAAATTATAGAACGATGTTTTGTTTTTGCATCCAATTTAATTTGATTCATATGTTATTCATATTGTATCATCAATCGAAAAGTGCCTCGAAGAATCGCATCTCATCGATTTTACTTCAGTAACATTGGTCTATGCGAATTCTTCTATTGGATAAGTGACTAAAACTATTCTAACGAATCATTTAAGGAAAAACGTCCGCAATCAAGCAGATAGTTGGAACGATATCACTTATGTAGAATGTTGACAAATACATTGTGACTATAACTTTTAATTTTTTTTCACAGAGTTTCGATTATTATTGGCAAAGTAATTTATTTCAAATTCACAATACACTTGAACAATTGAAATTCTACTTTTTCTAAAAAGAACTAGCGAATTCTTCTTTTTTAAACTTTTGTTGAAAGGAATGCATCATTAATAATCTATTTATTTTCCTCATACATGATGTTCATCTCAAATGAGAGACATTACAATACGATTTTTAAAAAAAGTTTTCTCTACAGATCTAATTAATCTTTGCTGTTAATTAAGGTTTTTAAAAGATGACTAAAATTAAAATACTAATCCTACAAATCGACATTATATTTTTGAAGTTCGATTAATCAATTAACTTGAAGGTCGTATTATTCGTTCAGAAACTATAAAACAGTTCATATTTGTTTCCATTTTTGAACGTTTTCAGTCAATTTCAAAAAATGTAAACAGTATATATATGTAGCTAGGCACGAATTACAATAGATTGTCATTTTATCATACTAACAAAGCATGATTTACATGATATAGACATCATTTGACTTTGATGTTCATTGAAATCATTAATGTAGAAATATAGAAAATTTGTTTCATCATTTCAAAATGAAATAAATGAGGAAACATCGGATTTGCATCCGATTTTTATGTGTACTGCGAAAACTGAGTCGATTTATATATGTTTTGAATATTTCTGAGAAAAATATTTTTTGAAAAAACCCTGTACTCCCCCTCAGGGACGGCTTGGTCAATAGTGACAATTTTTTCGATAACTCAGCCATTTCTTGACGGATCCTTTTCATCTTCGAACTCGACTGAGGTATTGATGAGATCATTCTGTGTACAAAATTTCAAGACAATTGGATGAGGCTTTCAAGAGTTATCGTGTTAACGGCCGGACGGACACACTGACCGTATCTAGCGTGTACTCACTTTTTTGAGTACACAAAAAAAAATATTAATCGATAGTATATCATCAACTATATATATATATATATTGTCTATTGAAAAAGAGAAAATAAATTGAATTTTTAGATTACGAAGAAAAACAACAAATGTTCAATAGGTGTTAAATTACAGAAAATAAGAGATAGAACTAAAGCCATATACTAATACGCTTGTGCTTATCGCATGAGTAAGAAAAGTTATGTAGTTGTGTATTTTGTTCAAGCCATTCTCGTGTGAGGAATTTACTATATATAGTAGGAGTTATATTAACACGATGTTCTAACACTACATTTGATACTGTCATTGATATATTATTCAGAAAAACAGATAGATTAGATATATCATCATGCATAAAATGAATTTGTTTTGCATGGCTGAATGAGCGAAAAAGTGCACCAATCTCGTTCAGTGTTAAGTCGTACTTTGTTACAATTCCACCCTCATATTGATCAAAAATTTTTAGAATGCTAATGTTTGCCCAATGATAAATACAAAGTAACTTAAGAAGAGTAATTGAAGCACCAATAATACGTAGATGAGATATACGACATACCAACCGAATGAATATGTCGATATTTATTTCCGTATAATAGTTAGCAATGATAAATGTGATAATTGTTGATAGATCAAGATATGGGATAATATCAGCAAGCATCATGCAAAAACTCTTTTCAGAATCATTCACATACAATTGTTGAACATGTGTAAATCGACGTATAAGTTCGTTATTCATAGGTGACTTCCAATAAACCCTCAACTGGTTAATGTTCGAGAATGAAAAATCTTGTGGTCCAGTTGATTCTATTATGATATCACCTTTAATTTGAGAATATGGATATGTATTCATAAAATAAGGAATTGAATGAAACAATGAAAACTCAGTAACAGTACATCGATTATACATAACATACCATTTTTCTTCTCAAGCCAGAATGGTGTACGAAATGAGTCGAGTCTGATTGACTTTTTAGTCCAAACACTATCGTCAAACATAAATGAGAACTTGAATGTGATTATTTTACTTAATATTCGTTCCCATGCGATTCCATCGACTACGTCATTGAAGATCTTACAGGCAGCAATAGCGAAATGAATTAGTTTTGTCGTTAAGTCAAGTAATTGTTCGATAAACCTAAAAGAAAAATAATTTCCATCAATTGATAAATTTTTTAAGTAACTTACGTAGGTAGATAAAATTGATTGGTGACAGTGGAAATGCAACGATATGAAGTGACCATGGTATCAAGTGTACGTAAAGCAGGAGCGATAGAATATATATGTTCTAAGGCGATAATAATGTTGCTTAACTTTAAATGTTCAATTCAAGAAACTTGTTCTCCACGAAGATTGAAATCAGAAATGTCGATAGCATTAGGTTCACATCTTAGACAAAGGTATTTGAGTGATGATGAGATGTATAACAAATCCTTTAATATGTCTGATGTTAGCTGATTTTCCGGATCACCAGAGTAGCTGTCTAATTCGAGTTCGAATATAAATGGAGAAAATAAAAAAGTTAAACTAAAACTAAATCTAGGAAGAGATTTAATTTTAGTTTAACTTTCCGATATATGCGACATATGAATACATATATACCCTTCACCCGCACCCACATTTGAGCACTCCTCATTGGTATCCACACCCAAATTTTGGACATTATCGATTTTTTTTGTAATAGCAGAGCTTCGGAGATGTCAGATTCAAAATTGCCAAATTTTCCGTAATTTCCTTTTTTGGAAATCTGAACACTGCTGTGCAGAAAACAAATCGTATTTCAATTTGCTTACGATGCTAATGTAGAGCCTCTGTATATTGCCCTGCATAGCATGTGATTGACTCGATGTGTTTTGAACTATTAATTAATGTTTGCACCTGTAAACACAGAAAATTTCTCGAGATACCAAATTAAAACCTTGGGAATGATCAAAATATATATTCTTGAGAAAGGAATGTGCAAATAGCCTGCGCCGAACAAAACTTTGCATAAGACAACTGAATTTAGAATTTGAGATGCCATTGAGTTTAGCGACTTTTACTGAACGACGCTAGATGTCAGGTTATTCTATTGCATTGGTTTATTCTAACGACTAATTGATGATAAAATCAACAAATCAGAGTAAACATCCGTTTATAGCTAGCTGACATTTCTGTTCTCCATGACCGTGAAAAAAACCATTAACGATATAAGAATTGCATCATAGTGGATAAATGTAAGTTTTATTTTTTAGATGAAAACCATGATCTAGTAGTAAGAAAAAAGAAAGAAATGGCTTCGCCTAATAAAGGATTTTCACCTCAGAAATCGCTTGAAATAAAGACGAAATCAATTGAAACAACACTTGTACCACTTGTTACACAAATTTCAACCTTAGTTCATTTTAAAGAAAAACCTCGATGCTCATCAACAACCAATGAAAAAACTCTCTATGCTATCAATCGTGTCGGAGAAGTAGTCAATACGGCTGTTGAACGTTTTGTTTCAGTTGGTAAGTTAAAAGAAAAATATATAAAAAAAACTGGAATCATAGATAGAGAATCTAACGTAATTTGTAGTTTAAATTTTAAAACACTATTTTTTCTTTGTTTAGGAGAATCGATTGGCAATGAAAATCCTGAAATAAAATCTGATTTAATTGATGCATGTCGTGAAGCTCGATCGGCTGGTAAATCAATTCTTTTTTCTCGACTATTTTTCGAACTTGTCACTCATAGGTGGAGCAATCAAACGAATAACTTGTGTTGAACATGATAGTTTAGGCAAACCAATTTGTGTAACTGATCGACAAAGCATGGTACAAGCAGCTCGAGGTCTACTTACAGCAGTGACACGTGTTTTACTTCTTGCCGATATAGTTATTGTTAAACAAATCATTTCTGTTAAGAAAAAAGTAAAGAATTTTCTTAGAAATAAAACTCTATTGCTACTTTTCTATCAAAGGTAACGTCAACATTAAATCGTCTTGAAGGTGTAATATCATTTCCTGAATTTGTTAAATTATTTGGAGTCTACGGTACACAAATGATTGATTTAGCACATCTTACTGGAGATCGACAAAATGTAAGCGATAGAAATTCTATCAATCAGAATCTAAATTTTTTTTATATCTTTAGGATCTGAAAGATGAGCGTCGACGGTCTCAGCTTTCAGCATCACGAACAATTTTAGAGAAATCTACAATGCTGATATTAACATCATCTAAAGTAAATAACGGAACAAGTTTTTGCTTGATAGTGACAGGAAATGTAATTATGAATGACACACGCTGTTATTTTAGACATATCTTCGTCATAATGAATGTTTACATGCACGGAAATGCCGAGATCTTGTCTATGGTCAAGTTCGGCATGCTCTTGATATTGTACAATTGATTGTGTATGACTCAGGCTCAACATCATTAAATAATACGTCAACGCTCACACTTCTTCTTGCTAAGAATGAAATTAATTTCGTTAAATCTTTAAGACAATTCGAAGTAATATTTTTTCTGAAATTTCAAATTCAATCGTATTTACTTCTTTTCTTCTAGTACGCGATTGAAATGTTAAATGTTTCATCGACATCAACAACAAAAGAACAACTTGAACAACTATACAATACAACGATTGACAATAGTCAAGATTTTACTGATTCAATTTATATTAGCATTGAACAACGTGAAAAAGTTCTTCAATGTCATAAAAAATTACAAGAACAACTTGCAGATATCATCAAACTTATGTTCGATGTTCGTTTTGCTCTCGTTGAAACTGTAATGATAATAATAATAACTATTTATTTCTAGGACCAAAATGATGTATTTACTACAGCTATTCAAACAATTCAGGAAACTGCACGAGAATTTCGACAACAAGTAACGACTTTTCCTCCTTAAAGAATTTTCGATTTAGATCATATGTTTTATTTTTAAGCTTGAACAAATGGCAATCTTTCGTGCATCGGAATTTTTTCGTACGCACGATGAAAATATTTTACTCAATGAATTAAAATCATATTCATTATCAAATAGAACTGATTTATTACAAGAATCTATCGATCGATTTCATGAACAAGCTGAAATCGCTATTGAAGTTTGTTAGAATGATTCAAATTTAGAAACTATAGTTTTCTATTTATAGTTGAGCAAACTGTTAAGACATATTAGTTCATGTGATCAATTGCAAGTATCAAGCGAATATCATGACATGATTTTTCAGAATTTATCTAATATGGTATGTTGAATATGAGCACATGAAATAAAATAATAAAAAACTTAAGTTTGTTTTCTTTAATAACATCAGTAAGCGTTTGTTTATTTATTTGTCATAGAAATGAGTACATTCTTCGTTGCAATAGAAGACCTTCTCAGTGAAACGTTTATGTAGAGTATTTATATTAAAATATACCTCATTTTTATGATTTCTCAAACGTCATTTGTCACAGTTAGATTAAACTCATAGATACTAAAGTTGAACGGATTTGTTCCTATTAGAAAATTCCATAGTAACAGAAATTATTCTTGTCTTGTGTTTAATTTAGATCGTATCGTCATCTCAATCACTTGCAGCACATCCAAATAGTCGAGTGGGAAAAGAAAATTTGGATGCTCTGTGTCGCTGTTGGGAAGAACAAATCAATGATTTTTCAATTCTTGTTAAAGAAATTCAAGATTTTATTGAAGGTCGGCGAGAAAAAACTGTTTATTTATCATTGCCAAGACCTGGCAAACATGGAACAACATCAAAATGTATGATTGTAGGTGTGTTTTTTTTTGTTTGAAAATTATTTTCTTTAGCTGGTTGTAAACCAACAAAACTCGATTCTGATGAACAAGCTAAAATAGCTAAAGTCGGCCTTGAAATGAAATTAGTTACATCGGAAATGGATGCGGAAGCTGAAAAATGGGATGAACCACAAAATGAAATAGCCAAAGTTTGTTAATTTGTCTTCGAGAGAAATCTATTAATTTCATTTTGTTTTTGTATAAACATTATTAGCGCGCGAAAAACATGTCGTCCATGGCATTTTCCATGTATTTATTTACGCGAGGCGAAGGAACATTACGTACAACTCAAGATTTATTTACGCAAGCTTACTATTTCGTTGAAGAAGGTTCTCGTTTAGCTTCGATTGTTCGAGAATTTGCCAATCAAGTAATTCATAAAAATGAAGATTCTTTTTTCTGTAAACAAAAATTTGGAATTGATTTCAGATACCAAATAAAACTACACGACAAGAAATCCTACTACAATTAGATCAAATACCGTTAATGTGTCATCAATTAAAATTAAAATTAAAAAATCCTGTTCTAGGAAAAAGTTCAACATTTTCAAAAGTAAACCTTAATTCAGTATGAAATTTTGTTCTCATTGAAGTATTCATTTAGGTTGATGCGGCCATATCTGAAACTAGAGATTTGATGAATGCAGTCACACGTTTATGCACTACTGTTTTTGCTTGTCAGTCAAAGGTAATTTCATAATTAATTGTCTCACAGTTTACAACTATTCTGTCACGCATTATATTATGTTAGAATTTTGACTTTCGTATGAACAGACACAATCTGTCTAAATATTTACACTGAGCTACGGGTTAATTCCTATTGATTGAACGTGTAGTGTCTTTTTAAAGCTATTCGCATACAAGATTCAACTCATAGAAAAAGAAAACAGCGGATATGAAAATATTCTACCTGGAGTTTTACATCATTCATTCGAGCTATGTGTCATATAACTCGTTTCTTCAAGTCTCAGTTTTTACAAAATAATGATATTGTTTTAGTATAAAATAATTGATTCACGTCCGACTCCACCATCAAACAACATAGCCTATTCTCGGCCTCCATTGTCATCATCAAAACGATCGTTACTCTATCGTACAACATCGATTGAACATGATGATCGTATAGAAACAGCTTCTGAACGTTCGTTACGATCATCATCTTTACAACGTCCGTCAAGTTATTTACCAGCACTAGATCATATTTAATTTTTTTGTTTGTTTTTATTTCTTTTATCGGGATTCTTATTATTTATAATACCTTTGTTGTGTGTGCTACATTAATTTCTATACTAATATTAGTCATTTTTATCATCTCACAAATGTACATCGATATTTTGTAGATTTGTTTCTTGTTCTTTTGTGTATAGGGCGTTTTTATTTGTTTTTGCCTTGTTGTTCTCGAAAACAGTTTGTATGTTACAAAATACGTTATAACAATGACAATGTAGAATAGAAGATATTGATAAACTATTTTCCCATTTTGCCTTCGTACTGAAATGAAAGAAAATGTAAAACATAGAATGAACTTGAAGTTGTATTACTTTCTTAACAATCCATTGAAAATCTTGATAAAGCTTTTGAACTACTTCATTGATACGTTGAGGATCTACTTCATCGACATGCGCACGAAAATTCTAGAATACAGATATTGCCGAGCCCAAAATTAACAAATTTTCAAAACAAAATACGTACACCTTTCACATAATTGCGATAATAAGGCTGACTTGCAACAGGTAACTTTGGAATTTGACGTAATAAATATTTATAGAGTTGAATAGGTGTTTGCGGTATTGCTTTCATTATTATTTATTATGTAAATACTGTAAATAGTAGCATAACATCTTCGAGCGCTATGTGCGATGCTGGATGAACGAATGATGATTGGTGTTTTGGACGGTGCCTATCGGAATAGAATCGAATAATCTTTTTTTCAACGAGTAACACCGCCCACAGAAACTACTTGAAGTCGAATAATCTTTTTTTCAACGAGTAACACCGCGAACAGAAACTACTTGAAGTCGAATAGCTAGCTCATATTTACAATTTGGAAAGAAAACAATATTCTGTCGTGTATTTCGCCCGAAAAAAAAATACCTAGTGGGGATGCTCGATAAGGTAAAATAATCCACTTAGCTTATTCTTTTTACGACGATATAAAAATTACTCTTTCTTAGACATGTATTGAAATTTCAGGTGAGATTACGAAGGTTTTTTTCTATACATCGAATTGAATTCCTGATCTTCAGGCAGCTGTGTTAATAGTATTTACTTTGATTGAATTGTGTTTATTCAATTCGAAAGAAGGCTGTTAAAGTAAAAATTAATTCGGAGAAGTGTGAGTTAAAAATATTCAAATAAATATGTAAAATTGATGTTATTTTTCCATTTATTTATTTATCATTCTATATTTAGTGTGAATATTGATAGCTACAGCACTCGTTTTTTTCCGTCTAGAATGAAGTACTAATAGGTACATTTGTTTCTCACAATTTTATTGAAAATCTCGATGAAAACGATCGTTTGAAATACAAACGATTAAAAACGCACGATCAATCTTTCAAGTTAAATGCAAATATGGAGTATTCTAAAGTTCTAAAAGAAATAAACACAGCTTCAGACATTTTTCAGTCTCGACTTGTTCAAGATCTTCCATAAGACAAGTGATATAGCAAATCACTTAGATGAATACGAAAACGAAAGCAAATATCTTACTGATCATCATGAAATCTGAAGTCTCCTCTATATACTTGAATGAAAACGGGAAAAAATGCCCATTCTGTTAATTGACAAGGTTATGAAAATTCTGCAAGCTATAGTTCGTATATAGATCAAGTATTATTACTCTTTCATAGACTTGTCCCATTCTCGAAGTCTATGCCATTCAATCATCATTTAATATAGTCTTATTGTTTACACAAATCAGCAAATCTTTGATTAGTTTAACACTTTTTTTGTTGGTATCAGCAAATGCAACATTCGGAGTATAAGTTGATTTAACCGTAATAACTCGCATTATTAAGTTAATCATAATTAGATATTATCAAACAACAAACCATTATCTTCCAGTCGACCTTAGTCAATGCTTATTTGAACAGCACATATTGATTAATTTCTTGTTGACAAGATTTCATTTGTTCAGCAAATAGTATCCAACAAAACAAAAACAAGAAAATAATTATATTCATGAAAGAATCAGACATTCTTTATGACAAATACCATTTATTTTAAGTAACAAAAGAAAGAAAATGATTAATGTCTGTTGCCTTCTAATAAATTTCCCGTCTATTTGTTTCTATATGAATGTGCACCAATAGACGTTGATCAGATATCTCGGCTTCGTGTAATTGTTACATACTGACACGCAGGGACAAAGGTTCATTAAAGTATTGAAATACAAGGCTACAAATAAAACATAGTTTGACAGAATGACTGTCTCAATGTTACAACATGCGCAATTATCAGTACTTCGTATTCCACCGGAACATGTGTCAATTGCTTATTTTCATCACTTTTGAACAGTTATCTTCAAACATTAATGATTTCGTTTTCGTATATCCCTCTGTCTAACTACAACAATGTTTTTTTCTTCTTGTTCTGTTCAATGAATGATTCTATAGCAATTAATTGTTATATAAACTTGATATCAATTTTGAGTATATCAAGAAGGCAATCTTATCCTAGTTTTTTTCTTTTACAAAAACTAACACAGGTTTGTTGATATTGAATGATAATACGAATGAATACTTATGTTTCTGATAAGACAACGTAGTGCTCTCGCTAGGGTGCCCGACTTGTCTGTCACCTTCACTTTTACTTAAACAAATATATATTTTCAGTTCGATCTCTCATTTCTGACACTATCTTGTGTAATTATATTTATGTAAGTATTTTCGTTTAATTATTGTCGCCTCCTCTTTCGCTCTATTCTATTGGTAACCTTGATACTCCTGCTATGGTAGTATAAGCATGTCAAGATTATCGACGTCTAAATTATTAATCGATGAATGTGAAAAGAGAAGAAAAAAACAGGGAATCATGCTAAAATTGGATATCACAGACTATAAGGTGTTGAAAGCATGAAGGCTAAATATTTAATCGATATTATGTAAAGGAATAATATAAAAGATTGCACACATGCTAACTTGATCAATCACAAGTATGTGGGCCTAGAAAAAAAAATGTAACATTTATCAATTAAGTTCTTGCTCTTTCTATCTGCTCATAGACAAAAAAGTGCAAGAGATTTAGCCACTTATTCATTATTCATGGTTAGTATGACAAGAGTGCAACAGAAGCAATTCTCGATATGGCTAAGACCTTTTTTGCTCGAAGATTTAGGCAACACTTTATTGATAGACACTCCGCATCTGATCTTCATTTGCACTCGCAATGCCTCGGAATAATCTAACGACATTTTGGATATGATGTGATGTGATATGATGTGATATGATGTGATATGCTTTTCTTTTTCGACATCAATCTGTCAGTTAGTTATTCTTGTACGACGTTACATGAATAAAAGAATGTTTGCTTTTCCTAGAAGGAAAAACTATCGAACTCATAGAAATAAACGTGAATTACCACTATTAATCTTTCGAGCCGTTGTATTCACCTAACTAAAATGACAAACTTATCGATTGAAATCTAAGCTATGTGATGTTTGTATATGCATATATGCCACAGCTGACCTTGTCTTTCTTGATTGGCGGTGGTATGGCAGCAGGCGTTTACATATCATGTCAACTAAATAAACGAATGTACAAAATGTAATGCATGATACTTATCTTGTTGTTAGACTCATATTTCAAGAAGAGAGATAAAAATCATCAACACATTCATCTTTGTCAGTTAACGAAAAGTAAATATAATGTAAATTAAGTATAGTTATTAATGTTCTTTCTTGGTTTATCTTGAAATAAAAATATTTTCATCGATATAAACATATAAAGAACTGTTTGATAATTACATTATAATCTTTATCTCTCTTTCATCGGGGATCACTACTCGATTAATACTCAAAATTAATACCGAAATCTTAAAACAAACTTGATTAGGTCTAACATTATCGTTAGACCATATATCACAACATACGAAACATTAATGAAAAAGAAAACAACAAATAATCAATACTTTTTTCTTATTTAATAATAAATCCATAAAAATTTTCTTTTCTTTTCTTTTCTTTTTATATTTTTATTCATTGGAAAGAAAAACATTCAGCATTTGTTGGTATGTCAGCAAAAACGAGCGAGGGAGACAGAGAGAGCGACGAAGGGGGAGAAAAAGAGAGTAGTGAGGCAAAGGAAGAGACGAAGAAAGTACGCGGTATAAAATGTAAGCAAAAATGATGATTGTGGTGGATAATTAATTGGTGCTTAGGAAAAAAGAGAGAAAAAAACTGCGAAAAAATAAAAGTCATTGCTGAATATAGGATAGGCATCTGAGTGTACACATATATACGTATACGTGTGTGTGACTTAATGCGCTGAGAGATTTGTACGATTGCGGCGAATCTTTTTTTTCCCATATACTCAATGATGTTCATTTATGAAGCGTAGCGAGCATAAAGGCTGCTATGTGCGCTTGTCAATGAAAGATAGATAGTATCAGACTAGCTTTAATTTTTTCTTTTACTCTATACAGTGACAAGCTTCTTGACACTTGTCTCTTGTCTCTTTCTTTTTTTAGTAGCTATAATCGTAGTTGTATTCTTATCATTTAATAGTATTTATTTTCGTTCTTTCTTTTTTGAATAAGATTGACTTCGAATGCTTATTGTATGGTTAGAGACCCTATTCAAACATGTGCATATTCCATTGTCAGTAAACAAACATTAGCGAAAAAGAAAACGAACAACAGTAGTTTTTGTTGTATTCTCTGTTCTCGCTGTCTAGGGTTATTTCTTTTTTTCATATTTTGCATTTTCCCCCCCTCTCTCGTTTTCTCCTACTATCGCTCTCTTTCTATTTTACACAAAATTGTCTCCTTGTTTTCTTTTTTCTTCTTCTCCCTGTCTCTCTGTCTCTCTCTCTCTCTCTCTCTCTCAAGGGAGTGACGATTATTGCTTTTGCTTGACTAATATTCGTCAATTTTGTTTATTGTATCGAAATCATCATATCACAGTGGGTCCATTTTTAGTCATACTACAAATAATAACAGTAAGTCAAGAGGCAACATTATTCTTAAATAGTACACATGTTTTCGAAATCGTTAATTCTAATATGTAAGGTAGATTGTATTTAGATCCGACTGTTCTCGTTTTTTTTTCTCTATTTTTACGGATAAACGTACAACCAAAACTATTCTTTTTCTCTTTTTATTAAATGCCATTTTCGTAATCACGCTTTTCAAATTGACGACGTAATCTGTTTTTAATAATTCTTTCATTTCTAGTTCGATAATGACAAGATTATTACTAGTAACTATTCTTCTGTCACTATTAAATATCATTGATTGCCGTTATGCAGAATGGGAAGAAATAAAACCGTATTGTGCTGCTCGTCCAAATCCTCAATGCTGCACTAGTCGTGATGATGATTGTTTTATGCCCTACTATGATTCTCGTTGCTATTGCGATTCATTTTGTTTTCGTGGCATCGACAATCATGATTGTTGTCCAGATCATGACGCTGTGTGTGAAGGTAAAGTCCCTGAATTGCCAACAACTCCACGTACAATAGAAGAATCACGTGGTGCATGTTATGATTCAGCAACTGGTCGACAATATTCATTAGGTGAATCATTTTTAAGCGATTGTAATTTATGTCGATGTATTACACTTGGCTATCAAACAACATTATCATGCGAAGAAGATCTTTGTGTTAATAGTCCAGATCTTTTATCGTATGTTAGCAAGCAACAGCCTTATATTGGTTGGACAGGAACAACCTATGATAAGTTCAATGGTGTTAAAGTTAAAGATGCATTAAAAAATTATCTTGGCACAATACCAGATCGTAGTCTACGCAATATGGTTGATAATGCACCTGATGATCCAAATGAGTATTATCGTATGGATGACGTTGACTCATTTGATGCACGAACACATTCAAATTTTGCCGGTAAAATTCTTGGTATCCGTGATCAAGGTAAATGTGGTATCTCATGGGCACTTTCAACTGTTGATGTTGCCTCTGATCGTCTCGCACTCGTTCAAAATATTCACCGACGAAACGAACCATTAAGTGTACAAAATGTTTTATCATGTACAGATCGCGAAGCTAAAGATAATTGTGATGGTGGCCGTGTCGCATACGCTTGGGGCTTTATAAAAGATCGTGGTGTTGTTACAGAAGGTTGTTACCCATATGAAAGTGGTACAATAGGTAATATAACTGAATGTCAACTTCATTTAAGCGATAGTGAATTACAAAGTATTGCACAACATCGTAAATTATCAAATATTCGGTGTCCATCACGAGCTAGCGGTGAACACTTCAATTTTGGTCCCGCTTATCGCGTTCGTGATGAAGCACGTTCAATTAAATATGAAATACATTTTCGTGGACCTGTACAAGCAACAATGCGTGTTACACCTGAATTCTTCTTATATAAATCTGGTGTTTATCGTTGCGGTGGTTCAAGTTATGATCGTCAAAATCCACGTTATGCTAATTTGGCTGCTTACCATTCAATTCGTTTACTTGGTTGGGGCACAAGTATCGATCCACGTACACAACAACAAGAAAGCTATTGGATCGCAGCTAATTCATGGGGTACAGGATGGGGTGAAAATGGTTACTTTCATATTCGTTTTGGCGAATGTGAAATCGAAGAAACAATCATTGCAACATATGGTAAATCAACTGAGGTTTTTAAGCAAAAGAATAAACGTCAATAAAACAATATATATGCAACAAAATAAACTTTTCTCCCTTCTTTCTTTTCTTATTTTTTATTCGATTTCATTTGTGCAGTGATGCTTTGAACAGTCAATATATATGTGTGTATTGTAGTGGAAATTCTGTCCTCTTATAGTTAGCTTTTGATATAAACAAGTTTTATTCTCATACATATACATATATTATGCATATATACAATATACATAAATAATACATTGCGATTGTTTTCTATTACTTGATTTTGTATACATTTAGTTTCGCTGTTGATTAAGGCCTTGAATATATATATATATATACGACATAGTTCGATGAATGATATCATTAGTTTGATCAATACATGGGGCAGACAACTTGTTTTTCTTTCTCGATTAAACGAAATAATATTCTATTTTAGGCTTTTTTTCTCATTTCGAATGAAAAATCGACTACTATGATCATCAGTAATGATAGAACATATCTTTGCCGATTATCTATCATTCCATCGTAAAATGAGGAGGAGTGCTAGTTCTCATGTTTCTTTCGACTTAGTTACATGTGTGCATGTCTGAGTGCATGATATGGTAAGATTAATTTCATAATGTCGAAAGCAACTTGTTGTTGTTATTTGTTATGCATATGTTTATGTCCGTCCTTCTTTTTCTTTTTTCTCTTTTTATTTGATTCTATCGCCATCTTCTATAGTGATTCAATCGACCTTGTTATATTTGCCATCCATTATTTGTGTTAATTCCGTTTCGCTCATTTGATACGCACAAAGGTAGCATTTTCAATGACAGATTGACGTTTCGACAGAAGTACCTTTTTTTTTAAATTGAAAAATAAGAGAAAAAGAAAATTGCTTATGGACGAGCTTAACTATACGAAAAAAAGGTTTTACATTTAAACTAGCATTAATTCAAGGTAAACATAAGTTTTATTTGTCGACTATGCTTCTATGAATAGGGCACATGATCATTGGCATAGTGATTAAAATAATGAAACCCCTGCAAAAAATGCCATGTGTCTAACAAGACATGTTATCCGTTTTAAGTCTTATTCAGACGCAAAAATATCTTGTTTTTAGACATGTAGTGACTACAGACAGGAAAGCGTCTTAAGTTCCTCTTTCTCGTAAAACATCGTTATATCTATTGACCAATAGATCAATTTTTTTACTATCTTTCATAGCTATGGAAATTTATTTTCGTATGTTAAACAAAGAGTTTTATTCGATTTCTTGAAAATATTTAGGATTTCACTCTTTCCAGAACGAGTTTTTCCGATGACTTTTCTGCCGTGAACTACTTCACCTTTTAACTCGAGTTGAGGATACTCGCGTTTTTGAAGAGATCCGTATTTCTTGATTCGATATCTAAAGTGAAGCAGCTTTAAAAATATGCAAATCATTTTACCGAAATTTCTTTTTTATTTATTTCTAATATATTTTCAAGTTTTTTATTTGTTTTCTAGATGATAGAAAAATTATCAAAAATAACTGATTACAGTTATATTTTAATATTGTATATTTAAAAAATACTTAAGACTTTTATTTTTTCGTTTTAGCCCTGTGTTGCATGAGTTTTNTTTGTTTTCTAGATGATAGAAAAATTATCAAAAATAACTGATTACAGTTATATTTTAATATTGTATATTTAAAAAATACTTAAGACTTTTATTTTTTCGTTTTAGACTTGTGTTGCATGAGTTTTCCCAGACGCTTCTATCAATCTATGGTTCACTAATTCCAGAATTCATATTTTTATATGAACATTAGATATTAGAATAAATATTTTCAATGAAATAATATTTTTTACACTTTACCTGAGTTAAAATTATATTTAAAAACTAGAGAAATTATTTTAAAATATCTTATATATATTTTTTAGTGTTTAATGAAATTCATCAAAAATGAGACTTACTCGAATAAAATATTTTTGAAGATATTATTTTATTACACAAGAATATCACCTTCGAGGAATTTCATTAAACATCAAAAAGTATACATAAACAAATTTTAAAATAATTTCTCTAGCTTTTAAATATAATTTTAACTCAGATAAAGTGTAAAAAAAATTATTTCATTGAAAATATTTATTCTAATATCTAATGTTCATATAAAAATATGAATTCTGGAATTAGTGAACCATAGATTGATAGAAGCGTCTAAAAAAAGACTGCTGTGAGACGCTTAAATGCATTGGTTTAAATACTCCAAATCAGGATCGATTAAGACACGTACGTGTCCCAAATCGGTTTTCTGCGGCCACTTGAAATGTCTTGTTTAGACGAACGAATTGCGTCTTGTTTATACACTTCACGTGCCTTGGTTTTTTAAAGTGACCTTGACTTGATCAGACCCAAGAACGTTTGAATGTATTCAATCGATCAACTGAATTAGATTTTTTAAAGCATGTATATTCAGAATACGACGTAAAAACAAAGAAAGAAGAAAAAAAAGAATGCAATTGAAAATGAAAAAGAAACTCTTCAACGTTTTTTAAAAAGAAAAAAAGAAAATAATTGAAAACATATTTTTTTTTCAAAATTCAAGTATGCATTATTAAAATAATAGAAATCACCGTTACTGATTAATCATCCAGTTGACAAAGGGCAGCAACACCACGATTTATCCAATGTCGTTTTGTTTTATCGATGGAAGTTCAATTAGGAGTACGAAATTCGTTGAATGACCTGTTGTACTAAGTACACCACGTCTAGCACTTGTCTTTATAGAAAGAAAAAAAATGAAACAAATTAGAATAAGAGAAAGAAACAAAAGAAAAGATTTGTTCCATACCTTATACACAGGACACGAATATGTATTAACTGTTGCAAAATTTTCTGTTATACCCGGTCTTAACCAGATTATAGGTAAAGCATCAAATAAAACTTTCGGTAGAGATTCATCAATAACACGAGTTGTTTTATTCCAACGAGCGCCTTCAAGGAAAAGACCTTTTATATAAGCGCCATCATCTGGTTTATTAGGCATATCATTATCTTCTTGAAGTACATCAAATTCAAAAGCTAGTTTATCAATTGGAATCGTATATTTTCGAGCATAGTTTTGAAGAACACCTTAAGATAAAAACTTTTGCTTTTGAATATTCAAAACAAATGAATTTTCTTTTGAAATCAATTTACCGGTTAAAAACGATTGCGTAAAAAAGAATCCACTTATCCAGAATACAAACGGTGGTCCATTTTGAATCCAATTTTGTAAAAATTTCAATCTAGCAATAGAAAATTTCAATTAAAAGTGTTTCTACTATAAATAATTATTTTATCTACCGAGCCATCAAATCATTTAAATAACTTCCTAATGGTTTTAATGATGGATACGATTTAGCTGCCCATGCATTTGGAACTTTGCCAATAAACATTGCATTAAATACTTCTTCAAGTTCAGATGACATTAATACTAGACCTTTAATTGCTTTACGTAAATCAGCTAAAGTCTTGCGAACTTCAGATGTTAAACGGTTATAACGAATTATTTCTTGTCGCAATACGGTATTCATTGATTCATTGTAAAGAACAGGATATTTTTTACCAATCTATAAAATATTAAAATTTATACAAAAAAAGAGTTGTACACGCATTATATATACATACAGCTTCTGTATCAAAATCAGCTGGTAGTTTACTGAGAATATCAGCTGCTAATTCGTCCATAACAACAGATGGTGTTCGTCCCTCACCCCCTGTTGTTTGTTTTGGTAATGTTAGAAGAATACTGTCAAAAAGCTAAACAATAAAACAAGTTTTGCTTTTTGTTGGAATTTTAAAATTAATTTTATACGAACTGTTTGTGTTTCTTGTTGATCTTTTGTAATATCAGCATTGGAATGAAAACCATAAACTTCTGGTAATGGATTTAATGGCAATGTTCGAATATAGTCAACATAGTTTTGATGTGGACCATCTGTTGGAACATAATAAGTACCACTTTCTGAAAATCTAAATACAAATATTCAAAGTAAGTTTTGTTTTTTTTATTTAAATTTGCTCATTTTATTCTTTGTCAAATGAAAGGATTTTTTTATTTATGTCTTATTGAAAGAAAGAAAAAAATTGTTTCTTTTTAACCGATTTGAGCCCATGATGGTCGTTTTCTAATTAGCATGAATGATCGTTTTCCAATGGTAGCCCAACTCGGACGTTTGAACCGTCTACGAGTTGTTGATAAACTTTTTCTTTGACGAATTAATGGATATAAATTTGCCATTTTTTGATATTTATTTGTCGATGGAATACTATCAGCAATTTGTACAATATAATCTTCCGTGCTATTATCATTCATAAATGAACTTATCGGTGATAAATCTGTATTTGGTATTGTTGGATTTTCATTAACAACTAACTCACATGGGCACCGATTTGCCGTTGTTAATGAAAATAGAATTAAAATAACTGTCAAAACTATGTATGTTTGCCGAATCATTATTATACTTTCTATTGTATGATCAATCCAGCAAATGATAGCAATGAATGCGTGAAGAAATATTTAAATGAGAAAAAATGAAGATTATTAATTATACGTAAGTGCACAAGAGCGGCAAACAGGTCGTCTGGCAATTGCATGTTCAGAACCATCGATAATATTTAAAATGTTGTCACGTTATGTGGTTGGGAATGGATTTTTTTTGTTAATGAATTGTCCTCGAGAAATCTATGTGAATTAATTTTCATCAGACTATATAAACATGAACTATGATGACAATAAACAGATACTCCACATTTTATTTATTTCAATCAACTTCCTTTTCTAGACTAGCTATTTTTTCTGCGCTCTTGAATATCTTATGTTCATTTTCTCCCTCATTAATATGTTCTCTTTTTAAATAATTACGCATTTTTACTTACTGATATTTATCCATATAGACGACTTCAGCATTTATACAAACAGATAATAATGACATAAGCAAACGACGATCTTTATCATCTGTGACACGACCACCATAGTTACATTCACCAAATAAATATAGAATCTAAAAAAGTGAGCATGAAAAAACAAAGTGTTTTCTATGAATAAACCTACAGCTTCTAATGGTAAATCTTCATAATCATTGAGAAACATTTGAAGTTGCCGTAAAGAAATTCGAAGATCAGATTCACTGAAAAAAAAGAATACTTAGTTGCAATGAGTTTAATTTTTTTTGTTTTTAACTTACTCAAAGAAATATGGAATGTTCCCTTGAAAAGAAAAACAAAAAGTAAAATCATAGAATTTTATTCAACATGGATGCTTACATCCTAATGGACCAAACTGTCGTCGTTCTTGTACAAGACCATGAAAGAAACATAGACCAAATAGAAATTTTCTCCATTTTTCTGGTTTATTACAACCATTAAAAAATGTTTGATCATTTACTGGATCATTCAAATACGAACGAAGTAAGTTAGCTCGTAATCCTTTTGGACTTTCATTGGTCATTTTAATACCATTCTGTAATATAGTAACAGGAAACAGATCGGATGGATAAGATGTTAACCAGAGTCGGAACTCATTATTAACTTTGCCTGGTACCAAAAGTTCTTCACATATTCGTTCTAATTTCGGCATCCAACTTGCGGCTAAATGGCAGTTTTGTAATATAACCCAAGTGCCTTTTTGTACGCCTTCTGTTATTAATGATTGTGCGTAAGGACCCTAAGAAAAAAAAGCATGCTTTTAAATCTAAGAAAAAATATTGTATTTTATCGTCATCATACTTGTCCTTGACCAAGTGAAACTGTTTTAATTCGTTCATCGAAAACTCCCATAGTTTCACCAAACTTAAGTAAAGCCATCATTGGATCTGCACCTGGCGATAGAACAAAGATAAGTGGTGTAACTGCAGATGAATCCGCATATGATCCTGGTAAATCAAATGTTGGTGGTTCAACAAATTGATGTCCCATTTGTTTGATAATATACTGTTGTACAGCCGGTACTATTTTATCTGGTCGAAATAGACGTAAGACAAGCAGTCTAAAGGAGACGAAGAAAAAGTTTTTAGTAAAATCCTTGTGGTATTGAAACATGAAATATAATATATAGCTATTCAGTTTTCTAGAAATTCAAAAAGAAAAATCATAGAATAAGATATTTGATGATCGTATATCAATGATTCTCATAGTCCGAGACCGATGAGTACTGAGTACAATTAGAATTCAAACAGCATTAATGATTCTGTATGGGTGTGACATGAAAAAATGAATGTTGCTAACGTGTCAATGATACAAAATAAATCAATATTCAAACCTTTCTAATGAACTAAGATTATTAAAATCATCTGGATATGATTGTTCATGTGGTGTTGGTGAATCATAGAGTGTTTTCCATTTATTTGGATTTTCTTTGACATGAGCCATTAGACCTCGAAGAGCTGGTAAATCCGATCCTCGAACAATTTCTGACCACGATTTATCATTTAACCAATCAGAAGCAGGATTAGGATATGGATTATCTAGACCCACACCACCAGTCAATAGAAAACGCCATATATTATCATCTACTTCTCCTCGGCCTTTTCCTATTTGTACACATAATATGAATGAAAACAAAAGTTTGTGACGTTCTAATAATGATCGACACACATTTCGATAAATTGATTCAGTAAAATGAGCATTTAATTTTTGAATACGTTCTTGTAAATCTGCGGATTTTTGGCTGTTTTCAATTGACATCACATATAAATTAATAAACCAAACAAGAGAATATTGATACATCTAAATAGAAGAACACTTGAATACAAGAAAAAAAAACTCTGCATTTCTATTACGTACCGGATCGATATTGGCTAAATCTGATATACAGAAAAATAAAATTGTTGAATGTTTAGCAACCGGTAGATATCCTTGACGAGTAAATTCAATCTCTTTTTGTGTTTCTTCAGCTATTTTTTGTTTTGCTTCGATTTCCTCGGAGATTTTCTTTGATGATGATAATATTTGTATAGCCGTTTCATTTTCAAGTAAATTACCCTAAATAAAAATAAATAAATGATTTTCAAAGAAAAATAATTTCATAGAAATTCACCGCTGATGATGATAAAACTTCAAGAATGGTATCTTCAATTTCTTTTTGTTTACGTTTATTTTCCGCTGATTGAATAATTAATGTATTTTTTTGTTCTTCAAGTTCAGGTTTTTCTTTAGCAGCAACGATACTCAATAGTTGATCTTGCAAACCTTCAGCTGTAATCATAAAGTTGATTAATGTGACCTTAACGGATGCTTCTGGTAAATAATGTGGATTACGTAATTTTGTTGTTATATAAAATCGAAAATCACGTGAATATTCAATAACATTTTCACCAAATTTGATATACTAAAATAAATTCAATTATATTAATAAAATCCAAAGATGTTCAGTAATGTGAGAAAGAATTTTTTTTCGAAACATTGATCAAGAGATTTTCAAGCTAACGAGACAAATTGATAACACCTGTTCGACTTGGCTGATATCATGGCTACTCAAATATTCTTCAACTCAATTGAATTTAGTGCTATTTTTATCTCACAAATTTCTAATCAAAGAAAAGAACATACACTTGAGCGGCAAGTATAGATTAGAAATGTTTTGTCGTAGGAATTAATATTATAAGAAATCATTTTTTTTTGTAATCTATAGCGAATTCAAGCATATAATTAATCCGTATTGTGTCTGTTATTGACGTTGACAGGTCGATCTTGAGTACTTGAAAGGCAGTTTATTAATCAACCATTTTTTTTTTAATAAAATATAATAAGAGTCAGTTTTTTCATCGACGGGTTAAAGGACTTTTCTTCCCTACACTATACATTTCAATCTCACACATTCATCTTTGAGATAGTTCACAACCGCAAATGGCTACAACATGACATTCATTTCTATTGATCGATTCAAAATAACTAGTAACGAGAAATACTTGAGACCGCTTACAGCCCAGAGTTGTATAGATCAACTTGAAAACTCAATAGAATATGTGTCCCTTACAAAAACTCATCTATTTTTAAACAAATAAATTGATCATACTTCAACTCCTTGTTGTTTAAACGTTGCCTTCAGTAGAACATTATCCAAAACAGGATCTAATTCTTCATTAATATTTTCTAACAAAACTGGGGTACCAAATTGAATAGCATTTTCTAATGTTCTTGCATAATTTGGATCTTGCAATTTAACAACAGCCAAACGATTGTCTCTTTCCATATTTTTAATCCATTTATTTGCTTGTGATTGAGGATCGATACAAAGTGGCCAACGACGTGCATTTGTTGATATAATACCATTATCAACGGAAAATGAATCAACAGGTAAACCAGCTATTTGCCATGCACGAATTTTAACGGCATCTCCAAGTGTTGTATTCAGAGAAAATACATCGGAACATGGAATTCGTTTTGATTTGCATAGATCAACCCATTGACGAATACAATCCTACAAAAACAAATGAACCATCAAAAGCAGAAACGAATTATTCGTAACTCACCACACGATAATTAACAGTAAATGGTCCGAGATAAGCAACAACACCAGCACTTAAAAGAATATCACCCGTTAATTTTGTATAACGTTCACCTAGTTTTCGTGCTTGATCGGTCCAACGATCTTTTTCTCCACCGAGACCTTCAATGAGTTGTACGGCTCGTGTTAATTTCTTTTCGCACAGATTTCTTTGATCTTCTAGTTCATTCTTTTTCTGAACATTTGTTTCATATTCATCAGTTAAAGCTTTTAGACGAGCTTCTAATTCTTGAACTTGTCGCTGTTTTTCTTGTAATTTAATCATTTGTTCAGATAGAGCTTCTTCGGCTTCTTCTAGTTTCATGCGTTTTGGCTGAACGACTTTTATTACACGGTCATATTTTTCAAGAGCCAAGACCCATTTACATAGACCTTCACAAGCACCTGAAACTTTTGCTATTTCAGTTGCTGTAAATGCGGGATTCTGAACAAAACGATCGCGGATTTGCTTGATAACTTGCGATTTAATATTATCTTTGTCATAGGTTTGTAAATTCTTGAAAAAAAAGTGAAATGATTTGTTTTGTTTTTTTTCTATGAAAGAAAACTAACTTTACGAAAGTCCATATCAGCTAAAAGTCGAACTGATGTTGGCCAATAGTCTAAGACAGGTTTTTGTGTCGATGGATCAATTTTACGTTCAGGTGCTTTTTCAAGCATAATGCACACCGCTTCCATGACAAGTTTGACACCGTTAGGTGGATTTTTCATTGCTTTGACAATAACCAATTCATTTGGTTTAAGAGTATCTTTAAATTAGAAAAAAAGTACGTAAAATAATGTTACAGTTAATCATTTTTCTTGCGAATTGAAAATATCAATAATTAGACAAGAACTGTGGAGTGATTTTAGTAGGAATATAAACAAAATCGATCTTCAAATTGAAAATGGGTATCGAGAAAGAGAGATTTTTATAAGAATCCTTGTTTGTGATAGTTTCAAATCTATTGATAGACTCTTATCCTGAAATCTGAAAATTGAATCTATATCTTTGTTGTTTAGTTTGGAAGCCTTGGCAAAAAACATTCAATAGAATCTGAGAATATATTGTATTTTCACGAATACGAGTATATCAATATCGCTACAATTTCTCTCTGTGGAAATTTTTCGACTGAAGAATCAATTTTCTCGATGAAGATCGAACAATTAAAGTCTTCAAATGTCTTTACAGTGATAAGTTGTGTGTTCCGTTCGTTTTTCATCGGATCAGTAAAGTTCTGGTTTCTTTTCTAATAGTTTTACAGGAATCTTAGATCGAACTAAAACTTACTAAGTGCTTCTTCAGCTTCTTTAAGAGCTGGTAAGGCTTCCATAAGTTCATTTTCGCATTCATCTTTGATTGATTGAGACTTAGCTGCTGCTTCATTAGCAACAGCTTCATCAGCAGCGACAATTTCTTTACGTGCTTCAACTTCAGCTGTTTCTTGCTCAATACGAACCTATTGATAATAAATAACAACAAAATTTATAAGATTCTATTCAATGAAATCTTATTTCTTACCATTAAATTTTCAACCACAATGGCTGTTTCTTTTAATTTCGGTTGTAATTCAGTTAATTCTTTCTTCATCGCATCAATAGCAACACGTGCATAATCGAGTTGTTTGAGACCATTCAAATAATTATCTTTTAATGTTTGAACTTCATTACGTTTTGTTCTTAGTAAATCTATGTATTTTTACAAATAAATATTTCATAAATAGAATTCATTTTTAATTACCTTTAAATGTTAAAATCAATTCAAGATAAGATGTTGGTGTAACATAATTATGTCGTGATAGTTGCTGAAGAAATAATTCTGATAGTACACGAATATTTTCATGGAACGTTTTACACATAAGCTAAGAACAAAAGAAAAGTCAAATATAGAATATTTTACCGGCTTAAAAAAAAAGCGTAATTCAATCTTACAACACAATTTGATCGAACTTCATCTTCTAATTCAACTTCTTCTAAAAATTTCTTTGCTACCATTTCGAGTGCATCTTCGGGCCATGATGTAAACCAATCAATTGTGCAACAATTAATTAATGATGGAAACATACGAAGACGATTACGAAAAGCATCACCAACTGGTGAAAATGCAAGAACGACATGAAGAGCTGATCGGACACGTTCGATAAAATAGTTATATAGAGCCATTGGCGTTGAATCAACTTTACGGTTTAATTGTCGAGCTACACCTTGCATTTTCTCGCAAATTTCAGCTCGTTCGTCGCCAGGAAATAAATTTGGAATGTCAGCTGTATTTAACATCATATTGATATCTTCTATAAACGATTCATCTTTCTAGAAAAACAAAAGCAAAGAATTGAAAGAGTTTAAAATTTAAGCAAAAAAACTAATAAAAGATCTTACGATTTGAGAATCATTGAAGAGAAAGACAGTGCTTTTGCCTAGAAAATCGAAATAGAGATTGTAAAATTATTTATAAATCCTAACCGAAAAGAAGATCAATTAAATAATGCTCAAATCTTCGTGTGTTTGAGCTTTAAAAATTCTTCTGAATCAAATTTAGACTTCAGATCATTTGCTTTTACCGCAAGAAATTGTATCCCTACAATTCTGTTAAGTATATAGTCCGGTGTTCATCGAATCGATAAACCAAGTGATGACCAATAAGTCAAGTGAAAAAAGGGAATATTATTTTTCGACTCTATCTCCATAAAGTTGTTTGACAACTTTTTTTCCTGGTCATTCAACACTCGACATTTCGTCTATGAATTGATTAAAATAAATATCACCTGAAAGTGGCGAAAAAGTAAATCATCAGTGAGTGTCGAACATTCAGAAAGAATGTTTGAAGGAAAACATCTCTTACAGAGCTTATATTCTCTCAATAATTGCAAGAAAGTAGAATGAACATTGATACTTGTACAGTGTGTGCGAGTGTGTGTGTGTGTGAGCGTGCGTGCTGTCGAAGTGGTATCGATTATTTCGATTTTCGATAAGGTAATTTTATTCGGTAAAAGTGAGAATGAACGAATTTATGACAAAAACAAAAACATGAACATGCATATTATAATGCAAAACGACAATGGCGCGCATATGGACATCGATACTCGCACCTACCCTTTTTCAAACGTTGTACAGTCGTATTGGTGATGCCTGTTAATTAGTATATTATAGAGAAAAGGCTGAATACTCAGTTACTAGTCTAGTAAGTTCAGCATTACTAGTTATTCAGTAATACTTTACTAATAAAAGAAAAATTCGAAGTTTCGAATTTTCTTCAGATTAATTATTTTTTCGTTGCCATAATAAAATATATAGTATCTTACATGTCTCCATACCAGAAAAAAAAAGAAAGAAAACCTCTATATTAGTTTACCTTCAATTCCACTTTTTCTAAACAATTTTCTAACATCATCTCTCCATTCATTTTTTCCATAGGTTCTTGTTATTTCAATTTGAAATAGTTCATAGTCTGCCATAAATGCTGCCATTTTACACGAGGAACTCTACAATGAAACAATTCAATCGCTGCAAATATTCAAAACACAAAATTCAAATTCGTACTCGTCCACTTCCACCAATGCCAACAAGTAAGGCATGACCTTGATCTTGTTTAAGTACACGCGATACACGCGATATATGTTCAATCGCAAATTGAAACATGACAAGGTGCATCGGACTTTTACTAATAGCATTATATTCTTCTAAGTACGATTCCATCACTTTTTGTAATTGTTTTAAATCAATTATTTCATCGTATGGCTTTATTTCAGCATCAGGTTTAATGTAATCTCCAAACATGAGCGCACGAATCTAAACAATAGTAAGCATATAAATCAATTCAGATATAGCAATCCGAGTAGATGATCGTTGCCGCGATTCTCAGACTTCTGCTATCTATTACAGTTGAGGATAAAATTTAACTAAACAATTGATATCCTGAGAAGATCTCTAGTCATCATCATACGTACATGTTCATCGCGAAGTTGTCTTGGTTCATTTTCTGGTATGAGATGTTCAAGTAGTCTATTCATATCTTGTTTCAATATTTCATTCATAACTTCTTTAACCATTGAATAGAATGTTGATCGATCCTCATCATCAATAAGTCGATCGTAAAAGACACGATAGACTTCATGTACCCATAAACGATACAGTTTTCTTTCTTCTTTTAGATTAGTTTGCGGCACAAGTAAGACTCCTCGAATAACACGTGAAAAATCACGTAAATTAAACAGATAATGAGACTTTTGTGGTGTCGGTAAAAATTGTTCACAAGCCTTTTTATATATTTGCATTGTTGCTTGAATAAGTAAACGTCCAACACGTTGAAATGTTGCTTCGAAGCCGCGTCCAAAATGCCAATCAACAATCGACGTAAAAATTTTTTGCATAGTCTCATCACTAAATGAATCTATCGATATTATATTACAATGACGTGCGAATCGACCAGTTATAGTATTACGGCCACCGCCTGGTGGACCCATTGCACCAAGAAATAGCTAAAATGAGGAGAGCAATAATTAGTATAAAACAAAGTAAAGATGGGATTTATTTTTACTTACTAGATCAAGAAGTGTTATCATTGATGTATCCTTGCGATCAAACCAATAACCTTGATCAAGCCATTGACGAAGTAATTCAATGGGCGGTTGACTGCCATATTTTTCTTTTGCTGGCATATTTAAATCGTCAACAAAGATAATACATTTTTTGCCCATTGGTGGCCCGTAAACACCTTTGCGACGTCTGAAAATATGTTTTGTGTGAATTTAGTTTTGAATATTTCCGAGAGGACTATTTACCGATCGAGTTTACTCATGATTGTATCCATGGTTTGATTGGATGAAGTTCGAGCAGAGAAATTAACAACATTAGCAACAAATCTAAATTAGAAAATTGCAAGTTATATCTTACAGTATATTATTAGAAAGAAAATCATGCAAATTGTATGTTGACCGTCTTATTGTTTCAGGTCAATGCTTGATTTGCTCTGATTTAATTTCAATTTGAAAAATCTCTATGACTACCTGAACCTAAAGTAAAAATGTCGTTTTTTTGTTTGTTAGACTTACTTTTCTTTTGGTAATCGAACTAGAAAATAATTATTGATTGCCGATTTACCAGTACCTTAATAGAAGAAAAATTCTATAGAAGAAAACGTATATATTTCACTATTTCTTTTACCAGTAGGTCCGACCAATAAAAGTGGGACATTATGTGAAACAAATGTTTCCAAGAAGAATGCTTGTCGAGCTGTTTCATCAGTCTGTATAATTACATCGACAACTTTGACACCCTCTGGAATAGCTAAGTCTTCTCTTGCTATCATATCAGGCCATTCACGCCAATGACCAGCAGCTTTCTTTTCAAAATAAAAATCGAAACATGTATTTCGTTCAGGAAAAATATTTGCCTAAAAATAAACATAAAAGTAAAAACGCCTTTTTCTTAGTTATGGAATTTTACTTTTGAAAATTTAATCGATTTTGGTTTTGGATATTCTTCGAGAGCACCCGTTAAAAAGTCTCGTAGAAATGTATCGAATTTCTTTCGGCTATCACCTGTTATTGTACCAGCTAAACCCCATATAAGTGAAAATAAAAATAAGCCTTGCAACCAGAGTAACATCTAAATTACAGAAAAATGCGAGTTAGTTTTTGGGGGAAAATATTAAGATTAAATAAAAGGAAGAATATAATTAAGGCTACAGCATCTAACATGCATTCTAAATTACAAACCTGGAGCATATTTAATTGTGCCTAAGAATAAGAATTATTTAATGAATCACATAGAAATAAGAAGAAATCGATTAGGAGCGAGCGAATTTACTGAGCAATTTGGCTGAATCATTTTTTTATTTTGGTATTATCTTACAGTTGCTGGTCGTATAACTGTTCGTTGAGGGTGCAATAACTCAACAAGCCATCTCGGCTGAAAGTTGGTTTTTTTTTCATTTTCTTATTTATTTTCTTTTTTTCTACTTACTGTATTCGCGTTAAGCTCAGGATACGCTTTACCATCAGAACCGGTCGTACCGGAACCAGCTATTTCATCCATTAAACATGTGTATAGACGCATAAGACTAAATGTTAAATGTATGGGAGATGTTGATAATTGAAATTTACAATTAGCACGAAGATATTCAAGGCATGGGTCAACCATCCATTCAAATAGATCATTTATTAATTCACGAGCTTCTTTTGGTAATGACACGGGCAATTCATATTGTACATACGAATCTTTAAATACACGCCAACCAAGCTGATTTGGATCCATATAGATCATACCACAACGTGAAACTGTAGCCGGTGAAGCTTGTTCGAGATCTTCCGGCTCAAAGATTAAATTCATTTGAGCACTCATTTGAATAATTTCACCACTCATTAGACAAAGCTAGAAAAGATTTATTCAGAATTATTTTATTCTAAGAAATTCAATTCAACACGAATTAGCTGAAGTATTTTTTTTATCTAAGACTTTCAAAAATGATATTAACTAGTCAGTAGGCCATTTATTTTTAGGAATCCTTCTGAATGGCTGCTTATGAAATTGTTTTCAACAGCCTTGAAATTTTACACAAACCTTCTTATTATCATCAAGTACAGTGTTCATATTTTCAATCCAGACGGCATCAACAGGTCCTAAAAGATGGAAATAAGCCATTGCAAGAAAAGTATTATTCATTCAATAGTAATTTTACCATCGAAAATAATCCATTTTCTATCCAATGTTTGACTAGATGCATATTCTCGAAAGGTTGTAGCCAACACACCTAATCACAAAAAATAAAATGTCTAACTCCTCTGATTTCAATTCATTTACCATCAGTCCATTCATGTGAAACCTCTGCAAAACAAAAAAAAACAAACGCCAATAAAATTTCGTTTACTCTTCAATAAATCTTACTGTCGAATTCTCCATAAAGTTGTCCGATAGTAATCGATTTTGGATTAATAACTTTATAAACAACTTTATGTTCGTCCATCATTCCTGCAGCTTCTAAATCTGCTAAGGCACCAGCTAAGACTTTGTATGCTGCTGATTTGGCACCCATAAATGGTCCGACAATCATAAAACCATGACGAACCAACATCATTTCATAGATCTTTAAGAAAAAAATCAAAATCTTCTCTATTTTATTTTTTTCATCCAAAAATTTACTTGGATAATTTTATCAACAAAGAATTGTACTGGTTGTAATTTCAAGTGTTTGGAATTATTGTGAATAGCTTCCAGAAAAACTGCATAGTCAGGTGTTGGCAGCACAACACCTGGAAATAGATCACTAATAATACCTTCAAAAAGTGGAACATCCTATGACAAAAGCGGAAGAGTTATTTTGATCATAAAGAAAAAGTTCGTTTTTCTTTACTTGAGCAAGAAATTTCGGTAGATTAACATCTTTAATGGCACGTAAAACTAAGATCGATTCGTCTTCATCAAGATATTTTTGTTTTAAATTTCCTGATGCTGTTAAAACGGATTTTACAGCACGCATACCATAATCATAATGGTGTTGAGATGATAATTGTTCTGAACATAATTTATATGTTGCTACAATTTTTCCTGACAGAGAACGAGCATCAATAAAACCCATGGAATATAAACTAATTTCACCAATCATAGCCTTAGAAAGAGTACAGTTCATTAGAGCTGCAAGTTTGTTGATTCGCTAACTTACATAATCCGGTACCATCATAGCTACAGTACGAAAGAGTACTTTTAAATTATCGGGCAATTCTGATCGACCAGCATAACCAGGATTCTATAGAAAAAGATAGTTTTTTGTTTGTTTTAAATTGAAGTAAATAAATAGAAATAGAAAATACCATTGTAATGAAGACAGAACATGTTGGATTGAGTTCAAGCTCAGTATCTTCAAAAACAAATCGTTTTTGACGAGCAGCTATTGCTCGTTGAATTGACTGAATTTGTTGAGCTACGACTGATAAGACTTCTAATTCGATACGATTAAATCTATTTTTATCAAAAAATAAAAAAATACGTCAGATTCAAAGAAAAGAAAAGCTTACTCATCAAAACAGGCCCAAGCACCTAAAATGAAAATAGATTAGACGAATTATTTTATTACATAATTTTCCTTAAATTTCTTTAGCTTATCATAGGATCGAACTGCTGTAACTTTTGCTCTTAATGACATGATTTTTCGATCACGGTAAACACAGTAGTCAGTTATTATATAAGTTTTTAATTTGATTTCAATATCTTACCCGATTGAGCTAATCCTTTAAAAAATTTTGACATTGCTTTATAATCCAAACTATCTGAACAATTGAATACGATACATTGTTTTGCAACAGCTTTAGCTAAATCTTTGGTTGTTTCTGTTTTTCCTGTACCAGCTGGACCTTCAGGTGCACCACCCAAATTTAATTTTAATGCGCCCATTAATGTCCTAATAAACAAAACAAAAGTCATTTTATTTTGTTCATGATATTCAACACTGAAGAAAAAAATTCTTTTTTTAATATATTTACCTGTAACATCGATCTGTTAATGGTGTAATAACCAAACGAGATGTATTACCCAAATATTCATATGCATATTCAAGTTCAGTAGCTAAAACAATTCAACAGCAAAACTTTTAAAAATAACAATGGTACAAATATAATTCATACTAATCATATGAACCATAAGTCTTTCTTCTTCTGTTTTCCAATAATATCTTAATTGTGAAATCCAAATGAATTCTGTTATTTTACTAATTTTTGTTTCAATTAAATTAGTAACAACGTCTCGTGCATGGACATCAATGACAATCAACGCTTCTAGTGTTCTTCTTGGTCCCATATCTAATTTTCCTCGTACTAAATTAACTGTATCTTTAATTTGTTCGTTTGATTTCAAGAGAAATTCTGGTAGAGCATTATTTAAAATTATTTCTTCAACTTCTTTCGTCCAATAGACTTGACTGGAACAAATAACAACTTGACCTGGCCACTCCAAAACCCATTGTTTACGATCGCGAGTAGCATATGCAACTAGAGATTCTTTGATAATCATTCGTATTGATAGAAGCATTTGATCTTCAACTTGTATCAGCCATTTTTCGACCATACCACGTGCTTTACTTGGATTGATGGTTGCTTTAAATTGAACAATTTCTCTTTCAACCGATATCATAGCTGTTATTTCCTGTTGTTCATTAAATTCCAAACGATTGATACCTTCGAAACATTTCTTTAGATGCGGTTGAACACGTAATGGATCTTTTGTTTCCGATAAGATTTCAAGTAGTTCTTCGTTCGATAGAAAAAAGAATCTAGTGGAAATAAAAACAACATGTAGATTTTATTTATGAATACAATGATTAGATTTACCGTGGAAAAAACAGTCGTTTCTTTTCTAAATAATTATTAAGACCTTTCTGAATTTCTTCAAGTAAACGAAAACCTTCACGCAGTTTTTCTAACATTCCTGGCTGATCTGTTGCTACAAGTACATGAGCATCTTTAACAGAGTTTATCATAATTTCTTTCCAATGATTATCGACAGTGGCTGAAAAGAAATGGTTACACGTTCGAAATAATTTAAAAGAAAATCTTCACAAAAATATTTACCGAATTTTCGTCCTTCTTCCGGCATTTGATTAACAATATCATCGGAACTAAAGATTGGCTCAAGATAAAGCCATGATGCTTGAACTTTAAGCCAAATATCAATAATATCTTGTAATAAAGTAAGTCGATCGCACCAAGCACGCATCTCCTCTTCCAATGGTTTAATAAATGGACTACCTAACATTGTTTGTGCTTTTATGATATGATCATCTAACATCAATTGTATATCATCGACAGCCGATAATATATATGCCGATGTATCACGATATTTAACAAATGTAAATATCATGTCATTCCATTCGTCTTTCATTTTCGTCATGGCTTTTTCGAGTGAATATTCTTTTGATGCACTGCCACCAATTTCATCTAATTTTTCAACGAATTTAGCTAAACCAAGTTCAATTAAATCACTCAACGATGCAGTTTCATCATGTGGCAAGACAAGACCAACTAGTTGACTCATCTGTTGCCAATGACGCTCTTTTAAGCCGGGATTACATGTAACTTGTAGTAATGGTATATGAACTTTAAATTTATCTATACGATTCTTTATCATATCAGCAACACGACGTGGGCCCACTTGATCAGTTAAAGATTTTTGTAGTTTATGAATTGTACGCCACATATTTTGAACCTATTTTCAGAAGACAATTATTATTGACTCTTTCGTGGTTGAAACTGATGCAAGAGTATTATCGGCATATCATGAGACAATTTTTATTGATTATCTTAACTAATTTACATTTTTTTTCTCTTTAGACTGACCCTCAAGAAATTCGTTTGTTTCTTAATACAACTTGATGCCCCCTAATAAGTCAAAATTTGGCAGTTAAAAGCCATGAACTACTTTATCAGATGATTTGCATTGCTACTTTGAGCTTATGCAAATAGATTGACCTTCTACTTCATCGAGAAGGATATAACCTTCAAGTTGGGCTTCTATTGTCTTCGAGGTTTTATTGATAAATCATTATGCAATTCTTCAAGGAATATTTCGACGCTTAGAAAACTTTAACTATGCGCCTAGTCATGCACGATCAAGAATTTTAAAAAAAACTTACTTCATCATTTATAGTTTCAGCATTGAGACCTAAAAATGGTCCATTCATCCATCGTTCATAGGATGTATAAAATTGCCATGCTGTATTCCATAATTTTTCGTATGGATCTTTGGCAGCCATTATTTCTTGTAGTTTTGGGAATGGAGTTACTTCCCATGCCAGTAATGCTTGATCCCGATTAATTAACTCACCTTGTGCTCTATATTCTTCTACAAGTTTATTAATATCAGCTAATTTTTCAACATTTGTACGCATTTCATCAGTACTCAAAACCTACATAGAGAACAACACAGTTTCTTTAACAAAATTCATACTATTTAGCTTACATCTTTTCGTTTGAATAGATCAACATCCTTGTGTAAATCGTCCAGTTTCTTTTCAAATTTAAGAATATGATCACGCAAACGTTCTTCAGCTCGCTCACTAAAATATTAAGGTTCGAAAAATAAAAACAAAATTACTATCCTACCGTAAAGCTGCTAATCGACCTTGATTTAGTTCCAAAATATTCATTATATTTTCCGGCCAATGAAATACTTGTGCATTCAGTTTTAAATCTTCCGCTGTACACAAAACGGAAATTGATAAAAACAAAAATCAATTGATATTTTTTTTTCGCTGAAACTTACGTGACATAATAGCATGGTCTAATAGAAACATTAATCGATCTTTTGCTTCTCCAATCTTATAAGCTAATTTATAAACGGAAACTTCTAATGCTTTATTAAGATATTCTGCTGTTTTAACTAATTCTTCAGTTTCATCAGCTGGGACACTAACAGTCGCAGCTATTTCATCGTATTCTTTAACAATTTCTTTATTTAATTTCGAATTATCATCAATACAATATTGAACTAATTTACTTCGTAATTTGTGTACTATTTTAATTAAATGGTCATTAAGATCTCGACAATCTAAATTGAATAAATTCAATGGTGCCCATATGCGTTTAAGCATGATTTCATTAGCTAATTCTGTTCGCTGTTTAAGTTCGGCTTCGAATTCATCAAGGGCATGTGTTTGATGAAGAAATTGAACTGTTTCCGATTCGGATTTATTATTCAATAGATTTTGATAAGCATCGTATTCATGTAAATATAGTTGTGGCCCGGGAATATTTTTTGTTAAAGCGTATAATACACGTTGTGTGGTATTTTCAACAATTTCTTCATCATTCCGTACATGACGGATAAGCAATTTTGTTTTTGAATCAAATAAATGTGATTCAATGCGTTGAATGTTAGCAGCAGCATTAACAATATGTTTTATACAACGTTGAAGCATTGAACGAATATCTTGATTTGTTGGATCAAACGCTAGTTTTGGTCCATCAGCATAGAGTCGCTGTGTAAATATAGGTTTTCGTGTGAAATCCATAACATGATATTGTGATTCGGGATTTTTTGTTTTAAAATCATTTCCATCGGAATATTCTTCGAAAAATCGTGCAAAATCTTCAAGCGAAGCATTAACAAGTTGACGGATATGTGCAGCCATACGGGCAGCAACTGTATTAAAAAATGATTCAACTAAGTCCGTACTGGCATCATCTTCCATGGGAACCATATTTTCCCAATGTTGACGATTTTCAGCAACTATTCGACTACAACTATTAAGCCATCTAAACGCAAACACAATGATTGAAGATTGAAAACTAAATACTAAGTTAAATCCTTCTGCGTTGCCTGTTATAGAATTTTTAGATCGCATGCAAAGTCGAATTTTCATGGTTATTCTTCGGAAATTATATCAGTTTCTCAGAGTGCTACTGAAAATGAATTTGCAACAGGAAAAAAACTCGCTAAACTTACTGTGAAATAAGTGTTTGTCTCATTTGATTAACACGTTGTTCAATAAATTTTTCGAAATCATGTGGTATCATTGGTAACGACGCTTGCGCAAGATCTTGAAAGCCAACGAATCGTTGATGTGCATAGGATTCATCCCAAAGTGTTTGCAGGAAAGTCATGATTGGATTATTCATATGTAATGTTGAAAGTAAATCTCTTTTTGTTTCGTCCATGGTATCATGCCATGCGATTGGTGCACGTATTGTACGTAAATTGAATCGTTTTGGTATATGTTGAATTTTTACACGTTGTCGTTCATTTGGATCGAGCAAAATATAATCAACTATTGCTTTTCGAAGAGCAAGATCATAATCATTATGAATCTCAGTTTTTAATTCGTCGTGTAACTTTTTCAGTGATGGTTGCACAAGTTTTGGCGGAAGATGTAAACAAAATTTATTATATTGATCAGCAGGTTCAGTAGCTATCATGCGTGATTGAACTCCTTTGGAGATGTAATACCAATAGCGCTGTAAAAAAAAAGATAAATTAGAATAGAATAAAGTGAGCAAGTTTTCATTTACTTCGACTTCTTCTTTTTTCGGCTCGGGAATATGCCGCGATTCTTCTTCGTTGAACCATGAAAGCATAGTTAGTTGTTCTGTTGGTGATATCGGGCGAGATGAAGGCATTACCCATTTATCAGCTCTATAATAAATAGTATATTTAAAGGACAGCTGTTGAAAATATTGATAAATGGTGCTACTACAAGACTCAAATAGGCCTGATTTACATATTTATAGATTGTAGCTGCGAGTTACTATACTCATTCGTGTATCCCTGAGATCAAGTTACAAAACGTTTAATAAACATTTTCAATAGTAAACAATATTACAATGAAATATTATTCTTTTTGTTTTGTAAACATTTCTATAAGACGATTTTTTATGAGCTAAGTAGATCAACACCTCTTGCTGTGAAGGCCATATTTCAAGATACATAAACACATTGATATGTTTATTCAAATACACGTTTTTTTCTTCTGTGTAGTGAAGAAATTGAACTCAACAAACAAAAACAAAGCACTAACTGTATTTTATCTTATTATCGAAACTTTCGGTTGTCTTATGATTATATGTTGCTATGCAAATTTTCATTGTGTATTCTGTTTAGTGATCCCATTGGTATCAATAAGATGAAAATTCGTTTTCTTACTTTTCTTTTCGAAAATCTTGTGCTCGTTTTTGTTTCTTTTGTATCCAATTTGGTGCTCCTGGTTCATCGCGTGTTCGTTTTAAAAATTCATCAACTAAAAAATATGGCACCAAAATCAGTATCAAATTGTATCGTATTACGTAATAACTAGCAAAGCTATGCAAGTAAGAGAAGCAAATATGAATAACCGTTACTTACCATTAGCTGTAAAAGTACAAAAAAAACAAAGATACAAGTGATGTTAAGTGAGTGATAGTATAAAAACATGTTTTCAAGTACACAATTTTAATAGACAACAGAACAACAATTAATTTACCCTTCTCTAGAAAATGATCAATATGAAACTGTATATTTTATAATCTCGTGAGGGACCTGAGAGATTCTTACCTCCTCGATAATAACCATCACCAGGATATGGTATCGTTTGTTTAGATTGTGGTAATTTTCGTATATCTAAACGTTGAGCTTGTGGGCTAAAATTATTGGCAATCGATTCGACAGCGGTGCGAACATGTTTTTGTTCTTTGAATGGTGCAGCTACTGTCCACGAATCGTTTTGAACAAGTGGGGGGTGAGTATTATGATGGAGAACAACCTAAATAAAAAAATGATTCTTATATATTTGTATTTAGCATCTAGAAGATCAATCTTACTTTATACAATTCCGACACTTCACCTTGATCCCGAGGCCAGGGCGCTAAAGGTCTAGCGACACTGCTTGGATAAGATGATGCAACTAATGTCTTCAATAGAGAGTATTATTAATATTTACTCAATATATCGTATGACATGTTTACCTTAGCTTTGTCAACAGGTTTTGTCTTCGCAACAGTCCCATGTTGGTTAGTTGCATGGGATCGACCGTTGTTCATTATTTTCGAAGTTCTATTTCATACATTCGACATAAAAAATAAATCTAGAAATCAATGATTAGGAAACTTGGATTTCTGTTTTCTTCTTTCAGAAAATTTCTCAATATATCATAGATGAATAAAATAATAAAAAAATGGCAACCGATGTGAATACTTGAAAATAAGTGTTTTTGTTCAGGGTTGATGCAATAGAATTTTTTTTCGATCATACTGCCATTGATATACAAAGTTGCTTAACAACGATCTCTTTGTTGGCAAATGTAATCATAAATAGCGCCATCTGGTTAGTAACAACCAATATTGAAGATAAGATTTGACTTACCTTGAAAAGTATTTCAGTCGAAATGTGTTCTTCTTGTAACCTTATATTGTTTTTGATTGCTCTGAGTGGCACACGAGGAAATTCAAATAGATAGCCGAGAGTGAGGCGGAAAAAACTTTCACGTTGTATCCGTCAACATTTGCTAGTCGTGTTTTTTTTCTCCAAGTATTTTTGTCGATGATTGACAATCGAGCACAAGTTTTCTTTTTATCGTCGTCAATGCGAATAAAACAGCACGATGAAATGAAAATAAAAACTCATTTAAAGAAACATCGGGAATTACTTATTTCATAATACTAAAAGAATAATGAGCTACCCGTTATATTTCAGTTCTTTCTTCCCTTTTTTTTTATTATTACAAAGATTGACTTTCAATGTATATTGCTGCTACATATACAATACAAGAATCCTTTTAAAAATTTGTACTTCCATTCAAAAAGTAAATTGACTTTTCTGTTTCACAATCATTTCTGTATATATTATATACCTCAATGAATACCAAACTTGTTCTAATGAATCAGCATTGCTTTGTAAAACAAGAAAATTACATATCATAGCTCGAATCAGTTGATAAGGAAAGATATATATGCACCGGGTCTTTTATTTTTATTGCTTTACACTTGCGTAATACTCTTATCGTTTATGGCAAGACCCTACCAATCAGTCGGTACTGTTCATTTAGAAAAGGCATGGTCACTTTTAAATGAATATAACGATTTTCGTGGTTTGGCACGCCATCGAAAAAAAATCGAAGCACAATTGCGAGATGCTAATATACCGTTGACATATGTTCCATGGGAAGCAATGGTTCGTGCCGTACTTTGTCGTAGTTTATTTAGTGATAAACAGTTGAAAGAAATGAATAGTAATACTGTCCAATGTTGTACCCTGACTGATATTGCTTCGAGTCAAGCTATTATTGATTTTCTTCTTGAGAATGATCGAGAAGATGAAAGAAGCCTCACTGAAACTTGGTTTGCAATGGATGAATTGAAAGAACGTTTTCAACAAGCTAACAACATACTACCAGCTGGTCAGCGTGCGAAGAAAGAAATGCTACACAAATTACTAGGTTATCCGATAGGTAAATAAAATAAAATTGATCCTTTTTTTTCTCTTGTATTCATATTTATTTTCTATAGGATATGTTGAAGACGAAACGGACTATCACCAAAGCGAAAATAATCATGAATTATTCGATTTAACAAACGTTCTATCGGTTGATGAGCAGCGACAAATGTGTACCGGTGATCTGATTGAATTCAGTGGCAATCGATTACATGATGCATTTTATATCTATCGTTTACCGGAAAAGGGTATTTGGACTCAAATTCAACAAATGTGGTTCAAACATCAAATTACAGATTTTAAATTCAATGCTATAGAAAGTCAGTCCAAACAAGAAGAGTTGATTCTCGTGCCAGCAATGGATGAATACGGATATGGTGTTCCTTATTTGTTTGCTACACGACCAACTCAATCATTGCCTGAAGGTGCCTGTCATAAATATGTTGATATTAATTGTCCGCTTGTATCTATGCATCACGAAAATCCAACCATTGCACTTGTGCAACAGCATCTCAATGAACGTTTAGCAAATCCTGTATATCAAGATAAATACATGGACATCGAAATGGCTGTAAAATCAGATCGATTTCCACAAGAATATGTAGCCTACGTGACAATAAATGATGGACCAAATGATAATGTCTTATGGACACAATGTCGCCATTACAATGGCAAGGAAGTTGCTCGAGATTTAAATGATAATTTAGAAATATTTTTCTCACGTCGTATCCTGGAATGCGAAGAACAATATAAACAGAAACTAATCGGCCTCTCATCAGCTTAAATAAATTGATGGATTTTAAACAAAAACCAGCAAGCACTTTCGTTTTTCGATAGTAAACATAGACAACAGAACTTTTTCCACCTAGAATAAGTTGAATAATGTACATTACTCTTCAGTTCAAGCTCATTTTTTTCCAATAATTAAAACTAGTGTAAAAGAGAAAAAATCTCCGCCAATGACTTTTCGATGAATTTCGATTGAATCAAGTTAGTTTTGCTGGAGTATATTAATCTTGATCGAAATAGATGAAATAATACGCGCACACTCAAGTATATGTTTTTTTTTACAATTAAAATATAAACAGAAGAAAATGAGTTCTTTCAAAAACCATATTTAGCTTGAGTTTGTCGTTTTGTTAATTTCTGTTCGCTCCACATATTTTTCAATTGAAGGTCATCGTGTTGAGCCTAGCATTAAATAGGATAGAAATATGAAGAAAAAAAAATGTGAAGTTGACTTACTTTAGCAATAAGATAAGTAATTTGTGCTCGTTTTCTCGTTTCTCCTTTCGGTACATGAATTGCTGCTTGTGCCAACATAGTTTCACGTTCGGCAGTGCGATTTTTAAGTAACTGTATTTTTGCACTGTCACCAAGCATTGCATCAATATGTACATGTTTAATTTCCTTATAACGTTCATTTTTTGGTAGAAATTGTAAAAGCTAAAGAGGAAATGTTAAACATGAAAATGATTTTCAAAGTAATTTACTTCATCATCATCTTGCATGATTTGTTGATTATTTCCATCATCATTAGTATCAAGATCGTCGAAATCAACTGGTGGATTTGGTAATGATGGTTGTTCTATAACAGTTGATCGAGCTTTCGGAAATGTTTCACGTAAAACACTTTCAACATCAGTATTTGTTACTTCAATTTGGTTAGATTTCGTTAAACCAAGAAAATCTGCTTGATTATCATCATCATCATCATCATCATCATCATCTTTTTCATTATCGCTGCCATTTGCTGAAGTTGAGATGGCTGTTGAAGATTTCTTTTGTTGTTGTTGTTTTTTTTTATTAATTGTATAGGGAATAAATAAACCTGTTGAGCTTATTTGAGGAGTTTTTGTTGTTGCTGTTGAAGGATTTTTAACTGTAGGTAGACTTGTTGTTGGCATATCTTCATCATAGACTGGAGGAGGAAGTGAATTTAATAGTGCACAATTCTATAAAAAATAATTGATGAATCTTCTATAGGTATGTTACTTTCCTGTCTGAAGTTTTGTTTTTTTAGCGAGAAAATTCCAACATGGTAAACTCTATAATTCGCTCTGAACAGAAATGGCTTACTCGTGTAGAAGTTATTTGTTTTCGTTTTGGCTTCTGTTCTTCGTCTGAATCCTGAAATGAGAAAAGAAATGTATTCAGAAAAAAAAACCTAGGAAAGAGCTCGTACATGTTCAATGGTTGGAATAAAAATTTTAACCGGTCCATCACGTCTTCGTTTGGTTGGTTTTGGTAATGAAGGAATATTTTTAGCATATTCTTTATTATTTCCACGAACAATATCTTCTAATTCACCTTCAATCAATTCAGTTGAATTGATATTTACATTTGAAGAAGAGCTATCTTGAGGTTTAGGAAGATTCGCCAATAGATTAGACGAGGATTTTGTATTTGTTTCTATTGCGAATTCATCGTCATCATCTTCGATGGTTATCTTCGATGAAGTTTGTGAAGGAGTTGGCAGGTGAATTCGACGAGATGCAGATGGTTTCAAGTTTATTGTCGGCTGAGTATTATTATCTTCTTCTTCGTCGCTTGAATCGCCTTCGTAATTTACAAGTGACATTTTTGTTTTTATTCTATCTAAAATATCTGAATGAAAATTTCTAAACTGCATTTTAATAACAAAGTTTCCTGAGACAAAAAAAACAACAAATTATTATGCATCTTCTTGTTTTTCTTCTTCCTCTTTTTTTTCTGGATATCTTAAACGATTTTCAGCTATTTTTCGTGCTCGATACGCATCAACATAATCGGCAGGATCAACAGGAAAAAAACCATAACGTCCTAATTGAAGAGAAGCAGAAATAGTACTTTATTTTAATTCACAGAAAACTGGACGTTTCTTTTTACCGAGTAGCTTTTGCACCCATGGATTAATTACGACTCCTTCAGTACCAATCCAATAGCGTAGCCGTTTTAAATTGAGTGCAATTAAAACTTCGTTTTTATCATTGGGTATTGGATCATATGAACCAAGATTTTCAATAATTTCATCTGCATTCGGTGAATGTTTCATTCTTTGAACAACAATTCGATCAAATCGACGATTTGTACAACCAATGTTTTGTAAACGAATTTCATATGGACCTAAATCTTCGACTGGCTTAATATCAGGAGGTGGCCTTGTAATACAAATGAGAAAAGTTACTTTTTCAAAGTTGCAAAAAAGTAATACACATACCCATGTCTAAATGTAAATACTTCTCCTGTTGAATCGATCGCAGTTTTCTCTTCTTTCATTACCGATGATGACACTTCAGTAGAAGCCGAATGATTGACTGGTGGTGCTGTACGTACATAACGTTTACAAATGGAGACAAAACATGTCAATTGTGCCGGTCGAATAAGAAGAAATTTATCTAACATCTTAAAGAATAAACAATTTCTTTTGAATACGACTTAAAACGTGAAATTATTACGATTTTCTTGTTAAAAAACCAGCTGAGCTATTATGCGATCTTCAACAAAGATTAAACCTTTCTAGAGAAAACTGAAAATGCGTTTTACGTAAGCCTAATTTCATAGAAATATGAATAAGGAGAAAATAATACACAACTAAAATGTTTTGAATAGTTGTACTATCTGGAAAGTATTCTCATTGGTGAAAAAGAATCCCTTTGCAGATGTCGCACCTAATCATTGCATCCTGTTTTACTGAGTGAAACTATGAGGGAACTGGCGGTCAGTTCTGATTTCGTTGAGGAAATGTTATAGCGTTCACGATAGTCTCTTCTTCATTTTAGGAATTCCCATTAATCAGCTCTTGGGCACTGCTGAAAATTCTTCTGCACACAACAAAATAGCTGCACATCGAATAAAGCCAAACAAATATACTTTAAATCATTAAAAAAAAATCAAATCGATTATTCAAGCAGACAAAAGAGAAATGCTAAAATCAACAAGTCTGTAAAAGAATGGATAAACTATCTGTGCCTCCATTGGCCACGGCTAAATCCAACTTTCTATCGTTGTTGTAGTCACCAACCAGAACCGAAAATGAACAAACTTCGTAACCTAATGGCACCAGAATGACAGTTGCAAAAATGCCATTCCCATATCCAAGGAATATTCCCAAATCATTACTGTTTTGATTCACGACAACAATGTCTACAATGGCATCATTGTTGAAATCTCCAACAGCTACGAAGTAAGGATAACAGTCAGGTCCTGTTGAATAGACTAGTTGACTTGCAAAAGAACCATTGCCATATACAATAAAAATACTAATACTTCCAGAGTCATAATTAGCAACCACAACATCTAGTTGAGTATCGTTATTGAAATCACCAGCGGCTACAGATTGTGGTTGAGAACCAACTGAAAACTTTATTTGATCTGCAACAGAGCCATTGCCATATCCAAATAGGGCACTCACATCGTCACTATCTGAATTGGTCACAGCGATATTCAGTAAGGTGTCATCGTTTAAATCATCAACCGCCACTAATATTGGAGAAATATCAGTTGAAAACATGCTTTCACCTGCAAATCAGCCGTTACCATATCCAAGAAGGGCAACCACACTGTTGGCGTCATAAGTAGCGACAACGATATCCAGTCGAGCATCGTTATTGAAATCATCAACTGCTACAGAGTATAGTAGACTAGCAGTTGAAAACGTCATTTTATTTACAAAACGATACGTCTTTAAATGTAACAAGAATATCTACATTGCCATTTTCATCGAATACGACACCAATTTCAGATAGCCCATCACCGTTGAGATCACCGGCGGCGATAGCCACTGCGACAGATGCAAAAAGAATTTGACCGCTTTTCTCCAGTGAAAACTATCGCTTTCCAGTTCCAAGCAAAATCTTTGCATCCATAGTTCCATCACAAGACACCGTAAAATCTAGCTCATTGTCACCTTTAAAGCTGCCAATAGCTATCGATGGGTGTGGGTGTAACTCTTCTTTTGACGCGCACCCATACCCACGAATAACAACAATCTGTGTAAAGAACTGTTAAATGTATATAAATCTTCTCTGTTGTTATTTCTGTGTTAACCTTTATCGAATCGCAAAGATCTTGTTTATGTGATGTTTTATTAGCAAAGTTTCACATTTTTACAATTAAAACGAAGAAAAAGCGAGGAAGTAATAAAGCAATAAAATTTGCTTTTGGAACCAAATCCTCTCGAAGAATTAAATGAACCATAATATGGTGGTACGCCTGTTACATACCAATCTTACCATAAATAAATCATCTTCAAATTGCAAGGATTAATCAAAATTTGAACTTGATGAGCGTGTCATCGATCACCAATTAGAGAGCTGCAGATCTAAAAGGAATCCGTTGCAAATGTTTATTTTTTCTCAAGTTCAGGCTGAACCGAGAAAAGCATAGAAACATGCTCATCTTTAAATACAGTTAGTTTTTCTTGGATATTTCAAAAAATGTCCGATACAAATATAAAATATGAGATGATAATAGAATTCATAAGCTTGACAGAATCATCTTAGTTGAAAGAATGATGTCTTAATTTGATGATTCTTATCATGTTTCTTCTGAAAATACAGATAAGGTTTTAATTTTGATTTTATACATAACACAAAGTAAGAGAGGACTGGTTGATAGAGAGAATAGTGTTATTTATTATTATCATTTGAATTACGAATATATATATATATGCTATTTCTTAAAATCGATTGCATACAAAATAATGGTGGACTTTGTTGAAGAGCTCTACCTCTTAATTGTAATTTATTTAAATTCAAAAATGTTGCCTATGTGTTCGAGTCCGATAAAGATATCATTATTTTTAGTCGTTTCTGTTTGTGGTTGTCAAATTGCCTGTTCGCAAAAATAAATGCTAAATCAAAAGATGGCTTTCGATGTCAGAGGAATTGAAAATAAATACTAGACTTAAAAATTTATTCCATATACAGAAAACAACTATCTAGCAATATAGGAAAAGCAGACTACCAAAGTGAGCTTAAACACCGATAAATGCTTCTTCTGCAGTTCTTCACTGAAAAATCATTCTGTATAAGCTTATGATCCATCGAGTTACATCCAAACAAAATATGGATTTTCTCCGTTTAGGCTTAATTTGTGTGGGAGCTCAATGTTTTATAATATCTAAAAGTTTAATTCAAGAGACTGATAAATGAATGACCATTCTATCATGAGTATTGCTCTATTAACCGTACTGCTCTTTGATTTCCACTCTAAATATTTTTTAACTAAATACAATTGTAATTCCTGGTTCAAATTCTCAGTTCTAACTAGTTCTTCAATTGGATAGGATTTTGTTTTTCTTTACGTTTGGGTTTGATGCAATTTGAAATAGGCATATGCATACTTGATACTAAACCAAGAACAAAATATCAAAGAGAAAGCGATAAGTTTATAGTTTTTTTTTCGCAATCTTAGTCAAGTTTATTTTAAAAGAAAAGGAAACTGTTTCATTTATGATGTTTGACATTGACTTGAACTAAGGTTTGGTTTTCCGTTTATTGGAACATAGACGACAACTTCACATTTTGTTACACTACCGAGTTGAGCATTGGTGGGTTGAGCAGTAAACCCAATTTTATAATTCATACCATTGACAACTTGAGTTTGAACGGCGGTAACTTGGAGGTTTCTAAGAAAAAGATTTTGTGATTGAGATAATGCTTCAGCAGCAAAAACCACCAAGCCTTGAATGAAGTCAGTATTAATTAATTCTGGTTTGTTCGAAAAGCCACCAGGAAGACCAAATTGTCCATGGCAGACAGCTACTAATAGGATAAGAGCAACAGCAACTTTAAACATTTTTCTTCTTGTCAGAAATAAGACGTAATCGATAAAAGTACAATTGATAATATGAATGCATTTGTCGATGCTGGATATCGTCTTTTATAGAAGAAAATGATCGAAGCTTGTTTGAATAGGAATTACTAGCATAGAATAAAACAGTGGTGCTATTATTAAACAAGAGAACAATAACAATAATATTACAATTTATCCTATGATCTTACGGTCAATATAATAGAAGCAATTAGAAGGGCAAATACAGTGATAAAAAGTAAATATCAAAATTCAGAGGGATAACCTTGAACATGATATGAAGCTGAGGCTGTTTTGCCAATATAATTTTAATTGAATTTTAAGATTCACATAAAAGCCAAGTAAATATTTATCATAGATAGATTTTTATGAAAATAAAAATAAAAATACTTTTACGATAAAGTTATGAGTGAGAAACAACGAATAACATTTGAATCTAATTTAATTTACACATTTTGTCTAGATGCATAGAGGAGACGACTAACGTTTTATCTTTTATCGTTCATCATAGATTTTAATTTTACTAAGATTAAACAATTCTCTGCAATACCCTTCATAATATTCTAGATCAAGATAGTTCTAAAATTGAATTTGTGACGATACAGGTTCGATATGTTCTGGATTTCTCTTTCTCATAAAATATCAACATACACTCGTTAGGATAATTTTGTTAAAATTGCTGATCAGAATTAGCCAATGTGAAACCTAGTAGGTGCTGAATTTTTGAAGAAAATTCATTTCGAAACTATTTTGCTTCTTAACGATCTTTTATCACAATCTACTTATTTTTAGTTTTGAATTTTTAGGTATCATCCTAATTAGAGGTAACACCATTTGCAATTACTGCAGATAATAGTATTTTACTTGTATCTGTGCTTGAGCGCAAAAGACCTATTTAGTATTTTTAGTTGACCTAGAATTATAATAAATTTTGTGTGCGAAATGTTGACTATCGCTGATAAAGTTTTTAAAATAAATGACATACTCTTCGAATGAACAGCCGAAACGCAGGTAACTAACGCACAGACGTTATTTCAACTTCGAACGATTGTATCTAGATAATGGTAAAAGAAAAAAGCTTGTAAATTTCAACACTTATGTAAGTCGACAACTTCTATAATGCCTGAAAGTTTGAGCCTCAGTCGTTGAGCAGTTTAGATTTTATAGGTGAAATACTGGTCGGTAACGCACAGACACGAATTTTTTCAACAAAAAGCCTTGATATAAAATATTACTCCGATTTTGGAATATGATAAGAAGAAAAAAAGAGCGTTTTTACGACATATTTTCACGAAAATATTGATTTTTGGCTGGCAACTACCAGCCCTTATGGTAATTATTAAAAAGAAATTGCATAGATCGACGCAGAATATATGAAAACCTATATAGTAAATTAAATGAGTAAGATTGGTTGTTTTGCGTCCGAGAATTTGAGTGCTCAACTTCAATCACACTAGTTGACCGTTAGCCGTTTTTGGCTGTGAAATTACAATTTTCACAGTAAAACTACATCAACTGATCATTAAACCATTGTCAAAAATTCATATTCAATAAAGTACAAAAATATTTATCACAAACTACGGATCCGAGTACTGTCCTCCGAGTCCTTATTCGAACCAGTGCACTTTGTATTTGTTGATTGTTCTTTTAGTGCTATATTAAGATCAGAGGCTTAAGAAAAAACAAAATACGCGGCTTGAACCATAACCTTTGACAAATATTATAATGAATACTATTCAAGAAAGTTGTTGGCATAGAGGTTTACTCGAAGAAACATGAAATCTTAGAGTCAACGAATATCAATGTGCTGAAAATGCTATTGTATAAAGCTCAACGTTAACGTAAAATTCGACCTTACGCTGGCAGATATGAATCACTTGATTTTTTCAAATTTATCATCTTATTTTAAAGTATTATCTTCAAGTAACCGCAAAAGATAATTCGCAATTTTGAAATATAAATGAATCATTGAACAATATCATTTAATAGCGTTCATTTCTATATGAAGACAATTAGTATTTTTCAAATAACAAAGTTATTGCAAGAGAGCCATATTCAACTCTTATTTGAAAAACAAGAATGTATCAAGAGTAACTTTCCCCATTGTGAATGATGGAGCATTTCGGTTGATAAAAAGTACCCGAAATCACGTCTTCATTGATGTTCTTATTGTAAATTTTTCTTTCTATCAATACAAACATGAAATAATATTTCTTGTCGTTGCACGGTTTTCTTCACTGGGAAGAACATCCATTTTTAATTGAAAAAATATCAATCATAAAAGACCAACGATGAAATTTGCTCGATAATAGTTATGAATTTTTATTAATGTTTCTCGGAGCAAAAGAAGAATTTTGTCAATATTATCAAAAATATTTAACAATAACAATCGAAACGCTTTCATCATGAAAAACAATTAATTCAAACTGTAAAAAGTTCGCAAAATCAGTCTTAATTGTATTGTATAGATCCATGATCGCGTGAACTCGTGTTTTAAAAAGCAATACTTCAGATATCCCATTCTCCGCGCAGAAGAAACGAAATTTTTGACTTCCATCGAACTCGGCACATAGTTGCCATTTAGTTTTTCATCCAAAATCACCAAATTTACTCTGTTTACCACTTAATCCGAAATAAGAAAAGCTGTTTTTCTTTTTATTCATTTACATAATGTTACAATTTTGCTTTTACTTTATAAAGACAACACGAATACAGGTGACGACATCGTTTCTCACACCCATAGAAAATTCACAGATCACTCAAATCTTTTTTTCTCTTCTGTTATTATTTAACCAAACGAATGACGTACAAGAAAAAAAATACTGTCAACAAAAGTATTTTTGTTAGCTTTTTCATTAAAGAAATAATTGACCGTTTTTTTTCTTCTCCTGTTGCAACATAAGATTTTCGTCATTTTTTTAAAATTATACCAAAACGAAACGTCTTAGCGTACGCTTCCAAAATTGAAACGAATGGCTGTAATCTCCTCAAAAACTTTAATCAGTCTTTTATTCTTATCAATCTTATATTTCAATTTGGGTATGAAACTTTTATTTTCTAATATACAGAAGGCAAGTCTTGATTGAATGTAGCTTCGGCTCAACTATTGTGTTGGCAATGTAATCCATGTCCCGACCCTTTTGATAACTCATCGTCATCAGTTTCAATTGCTACATGTACATCATCACAAACCATTTGTGTGGTATGCTTATTGATCATAGATTTAAAAAATAAAAAAAAACACAAAAAAATTATGCTTTTCTGTAGAAAAACGCAGTTAGTACACCCAGCAGTACTCAAATATCTAAAGGATGCGTGTCAAGTTGCACGCCGAGTCGATCAACTTCATTTGGTAGTGGTGTTTCCGTTGATTGTTGTAATACAAACTATTGTAATTTATCGACAAAAAATGAATTGTCATTAACGATTTGCATACTATTTATGCCTCTCTACTGGTTGATTGGTTATCTTCGTCAATATATATAGACATTTGAATTTTTCGATCGAACTCATCATCTACATTATCAAAGAACTCTTGCAAAATAATCTATATTTCATTTGTGTTTTTTTTCTCCAAACAACGTGATTAAGTACTCAATACGATTATTCAAATAAAAATTTGAAACTTATAAAGTATAGAAGATCGCCATTCAATGCATTTAGCAGCGACTCATGTGTAATGTTGTAATAAACATGGATTTCGAAGTTTCTTCAATCTATTATTGGCCATCGATCAAGAAACAAAAGTATCGCACAAATTACCATCGTATAATCTACATAAGTTCAACGCCAATATAATCAGATTAGAAAAAAAATATATTATAATTTTGTCGTTTAGCAAATATTTTCGGCGCAAATTCACTGCCAAACTAGGAGAGCAATTCCATGACAGCTTTCTTTATATAATCTGCTGATCATTGAACTGGTCTTCCTGTATTGTACAGCTAATTAATAAACAATTCTAAGCCCGTAAATCGAGAAAATCAATCGATGATCTGAAAGGGAGAAAGAAGAGAGCAATCCCCATGACAATTTATCGCTTATGTGTAATCTAATTATCAAGAAGAGCTCTCTCCTCTACTCTCAAAAGCAACACCTTTCATCATACTTTTTAAAAAGAAAAGACATACCATATTCGTATTGTTTGAACACAATGTCTATACAACTAGTAAGTAGGTGTCGAGTGCCTACATATATATATATATATGCATATGAGGAGGATAGAAACAATGTATCATAAATGAAAAATGATGTTAACGGAACATTCTCAAATGTTTTATTCACTTGATGCCGTCTCTTCTTTTTTTTTCTAATACGAGAAGACGTATCTATTTCACGTTATCATTTGATGAGCTTGTGTTCAATTGCGGAACGGATGATAGTATTTGTGTATACGTATATATCAAAAGCAAATAATAAATACCACAGTGCAATCAACGAATATAAAATAGGTGAGGAAGAAAACGAAGAACAAAAAAGAAGAGATGAATTCGTATTCGTTCGCTCTTCTGTCTTTTTTCTCCTTTTTTTTTGAAAGAACCTTTCGTGTTCTTCTAATTTACTCCTCCTCACAACATGTACTGACATTTTGAAACTAAACGAACAATAACAACATGCACATACATATATATATATATATATGCATCTTGTTGTTGATGATTAATCAAATCTATCAATAGCAAACGAATAAGAGAGAAAGAGAGCGAATGAAAACGAGAAGCTTTTCATGGATGATGCCATTTCCAATTTGATGCCGTTTGAACTTTATATATTCGATGCTTATACATATAAATCATGAAGTCTAGCGAGAAGAGCTAATTGAAATCGTATGATACCTACGATAAGGCGTTTCATAGTTGTTGCTTCTTTTTTTCTTCCGCACCATTTTTTATACCTCTATCATCGCGTAACGATAAAATGAAAGCGAACACTTCTATTCCCTTCATGTCTTCAACTGTTCGATTACGTCAATAATAACGAGAAACAAAACTCGCATGAATTTGCACCATCAAATACTTGATAGTTCGTGTTTTATGATTTTATAGCATGCGAAGTGTAGAAGTTTATTCCAAAAACAAACCAATGAAAAGAAAAGAACAAAAAAAATCACAACTCTCTAACACTTGGCTAAACAAACTAACAAACTGGATTTCCATTTTGGATCGATGATTAACATAGGTTCAGGTTTATAGACTTTCATTTTTTCAAAATATCCTTTCCGATATTCAGTCTCCTCATGTAACATTAATTTTAACCAAATCATATCCGAATATTTTTCTGTTAATAACATTAATTGTTCGTATGCATGATCAGCTAATTGGTCGACTTGTAAATATTGAAAAAGAATTAAAACAATTCTCTCCATGTCTTCAATATTAACTGTGATTGCATTTAGTATTGAGCCAATGTTTGTTAGAAGACATTTCGTATAGCGATATTCAAGTTGCTTCGACGATGATATTAAACGATTATTTTCAAGATGCTGAATAAGTATCGGTAGAATATCTTGTCGAATACGACGATCAACAAAATCTGAACATATCCGGCATAGACATTGTATTGTAGATAAACAACGCATACGAATATTAAAATCTTTATCATAAAGACGATGAATAAGACCAGGCCAAAGTTTGTGTACCAATGGTAGAAATAGATTCTCGTCGATCGTTGAAAGTAATTGTGCTAATGATGGAAATGCATCGAGTACATAGGAACGTACATGAATATTTGAATGTGATATAAAATGTTGAAAAACATCAACGATCGATACTAGCATTTTATGCCATGGATGTTTTTCTTCTTGTTTTTCATTTTCATCATTGATTTGTTCATTCGAAGGATTCGGCGGAGCATATTGTTGTTGTAAATCAAGAGTAAAATCAATTAAGGATTTCGTCTGAGGAGGTAATAATGTTGATTTTACTTTTTTCTCGCCAACTATATCAAAGACTTGTTGGCAGAAAACATGTAAAAATTGAAACGTTAATTCAATACATTCAATCGGTGGAAGACACGATAATTCGAGTAAGAGTTGTTCAATAACATGTGTCATTATAGGTAGATTAATAACTTTTGTATTACCTAATCGAATAAATTCAATTAAAATAAAATAACCATCATAGGATGATGTTTGTAGTTTTTTAAGTGAACTATCGATTATATATTCCGATTGTGTCACAAGAAATGAAGGTATATTATTTGATAATGATGTTAAACAATACAATGATGTTTGGTGAACGATGGTATATTTTGATGAATGGCAAAGAAGAAGTAATGGAATATAATCAATAAGATATTCAACTTGATCAATACGAGTTATTGTACGAATAAATTCAAGAAGAAAATAGATCGTTAAATTTCGCATTGATATGGGCTCTTCTAAAATTCAATAGAGACAAAAAAAATAGTATGTATATATATATATATATATGTTGAAATCCTCGAAAGTATTTTTTTAAAGACACGAAATGATTTCTATCATTCATTCGATCACCTGCGAAACGTACTCAAATTTAGTTTAACTTTCTTGGCCGAAAAATCGCTACGAGTTTAAATTTTCAATGAAAATTATACCTTTCTTTGGACGATTTCTTTTTCTTCTTTTTGCTTGTTGTTTTCGATAATCATCATCACATATTAATTGAATAAGTAATGATAAAAGTAGTTGATAGTCTTCGAGATTATCAAAATTTTTCTCTTCAAATATAATTGAAAGGAGATAAAATGTTTTCAGATTGTTTTCGTCTATAATTCTTTTTGAATTAATCTTTTCAAATAAGTAATTAAGAAATTTCGAATGTGATGATATAAATAATTTAAGTATTTGCTGAATTTCATCGTGTACATCTGATTTAAAATGTTTATAAATTGAACGATATTCATCTTCTTTGAAATTTATCGTATTATGATCTGATAATGAACTTTCATTGAGTAGATTAAGATTACTTCGTATGATTGTATCGAAATCAAGTGCATTTAAAATAAAACGTAATAATTTCTCCGTAAATGAATCCATATCAAACAGAAAATCAACATGCTGATGAATAAATGTATAATAACCGATAAATAATTGCAAGCGCCATCGACGATCAGTTAATAACGTTGATGAAGGCTTTTGCTGTTGATCAAGTAATTGAAATAAATCAGATTGACATTCGATTAATAGATGATCAGGTAGAATTATATTCGATGCATTGAGAATTTCATTTAGAAATTCAGTTTCATATAGATGAAAAGATGATTCGGTTAATACTGTTTGAGATGATACAACAGGCATTGATTCGATTGGTACTAAAATTAATTAAATTCTAGTTTTGCCTAATGAAAAAAAATCATGATTAGGACACTTCACAAATTATGTTTTACCCAAACTGCAGAAGGAACGTTTACTTTTGGAGATAGAGATCCGCGTCTTGTCCTACAGTAAAGACTCACAAGATGGATTGCAATTAGGAAGTTGAGGACTCTATTTTTTGTGAATTCAATCGAATCTCACGAGGTATCAATATATCAGTCATTTTTGGGCTCCTATTACAAAATAATTGGTCCACAGCCGAAACACTGTGTCTAGATGTGTAACACTTGTACGTATTCAATAAAATTACGACTCACATTTAAATAATTTTTTCAATAAAACTTTCATTAGAATGATTTCATCTTCATCATTATTTGTTGATGAAATCAATACCAACATTGTTTTCAATGCAATCTTTGCCGATACTTTTAACCAGGCTGAACAACAGCATAGTATTGTTAACATAAAATTTGCTAGTGCTCGACGAACACTTAAGCTTTCATGATTAACACAATCAGTTGTTAATCGTTGTAATACTGGTCCTAAATGTGTATCAACAATACATAACCATTGTTCATTTCGTTCAACAACCATATCGCGAAGTTCATCTTTCATTGATTTAAGTTCATCATTATATTTTGGTGATAGATTAACACTGAGTCGAACGATATAACTTAATAGAATAAGACTAGCTTGAACAAGACGTTGATGAATTGAATTAATATCTTGTGCAAATGTTTTTAATATACCGGGCAGAAAACAAGCTAAGACTTGTCCAATAATTGATTTATATTCATTCTCATTTTTATCTTTTGTGACATATATCAATGACCATAGTGCATCCATAATGTTGAGTCGATAATCGAGTGAATTAATTTTTTCATACAATTGAAGTAAACATGAAAGATAATGTCCGACAATTGGTAGATTTTGACTGAAATCTCCTAGAAAGCCTTTATAAAATAACTTCGAATTGATTTTTATTGATAAAATAAATGCACGAAAAAATCGAATAAATAAATCTTGTTGAACATCATCGTTTGTTGTCATAATACGTTTGGTAAGAATAATACTAATAATACAAAGTAGATCATCGAGAGTCTTTTTTGTTGAAATCGGTATTAATTTAAATAGGGATATAAATTTTTCTAGGAGTTTATCAAATGTTGATGGACTTTGAAAACGATTAAATTGGCGTAAAATTAATATAGCAGGAACATATAAACTGTCGTCTTGCACTGATTTGTCTTCTTCAAAACGACGAAAATGGCATTGTTCAATAAGGGAAAAACACAATTCGACATTGTTTATTGTGGGCTGTGTGAGAACATCACGAAGAGTCGAATCAAGTTTAAGAATAAGTTGAGATCTTATATCGGAAGACATTTTATTCGTTGGAATTATTAGTTGATGAGACTTGCCGAGCTTCTTCACGTAGACGTCGTTGTTCAAGAGCTCGTATACGCGCTTCAGCTTCTTTTTCGGCCAATTCTACAAAAACGTCTAAAGAAAAAAAATAAACAAAGAAATTTCAAATTGTTTAGTTTTAGTTTCTAATATCGATTTTTATTGTTCAATTCAATATCAAGATAATAACAGTGATTTCAAATTCGTTACGATCATAAATCTAAACATTGGACTCAAGCGTTTCGATAAAATTCTCAAAGGTTCAGATTTCATGACTAGAAAAGAATTTTATAGAACTCTGTAGACTAATTCAGGATTGTATCTCTATTCAAGTAGAGTCCTGCAGGTCAACCTTGTCCTACCCTACCCTACCCTGCCCTGCAGGGCAGGGTAGGGCAGGGCAGGGTAAGGTTACAAAAACAAAATATTTAGGGTATAAGTAGGGTGTAGCTCATACAAATAAAATTTTTCTAGAGTAGAACTTAATATATATTTTTGACATCTTTTTGATCAAAAACAGTGTAAAGAGTGATATCATAATCTAAATCGAATGGATAGAATAAAAACGAACGGAAAACAATGGCCTATTGTTTAGTACTATTTTATACATGAGCTGACGAGTTCAGTCACTTTTGATTATTTGTCGAGTAAATGTGCATGTAAATGTAATAAAAAATGTGTTCGAAATCATCTCGACATGAACGTATTTTTAGTACAAACGGGCGAGTTTTGGAAGAGAGAAGGCAAAATTTAAGTGGTGATGTTGTGAATGATATTTTATTTTTAAGCAACTTTCGAAAAATTTATTAATTTTGTATTTGATTCTCGTTGAAAATCAATAAATTATATTGAAACAAAGTGAAGAAAAACTTCATGCTGACTTTTACTTGGACCTGAAACTCAAATGATATGATAGGGTGTAAAATGAAAAATCTCTGTGATAGGGTAGGGTAAGGGTACAGAGCCCGTAGGGCAGGGTAGGGCAAGGTTACGAAGCTATAGGGCAGGGTAGGGCTAGGGTACGAAGTTTTACTATAGGGCAGGGTTAGGGTACAAAAAAGTCTTAACCTGCAGGACTCTATATTCAAGCTGTCGAACGAGTATAGAAATCAGTTAGAAATTTCTCTCGTTCGATTTTCACCGATAGCCTCTGTTTTATTTCTTTCCAAAAACTACCAAATCTTTTCTTCTCCGAATAAATACCCATAGAATACACTGAAAAATTCAATATTCATTAAATCTATCACATTTGACGTAATCACAACGAATTAATAGCATACGAATGGAGAATTTCATGAACTTCATTATATTGATCAACGTCTTACCTATTTTCTCTGTTTCACCGGTATTTAAATCCCACTTGGTAATGTATCTACTGCCTGTTTGTTTCGCAACTTGTAGACTATGCGGAATGCCTGTTTCCTTTGCTGTTTTATCGGCTCTATTAGCTATAAAATAGCCTGCGTATCCCCAAACAACAAAAAATGCAATCGTATTAACAACACCACGTGCTTTTTGTAAATTTTTGAAATTGTTTCGTTTAAAATACGTAATCTGTTTACGCCACTCGTGTAATAGAAAACGCATTTAGTCTGAAAACAAAACTAATTACGCAATTATAGCAATGAGAAAGAAAAGTCACACACAAAAATCTTATATTTAATAATTGCTTCAGTAAAAGATATTTTTAATTCATGTCGAAAAAAAATGAAAGCATCTACGCATGCACAGATTACTGTCGTTTGTCCAAAGGGACGAGAAAAGAAATAAAAATAGGCGCAAACACCGAGTAGTTTTCAAGAAGAACAATCTGACATGTTTTACGATTGCACAATAACCATAGGATTCGATCGTGTTGTTGATTCAGTATTCGTCGTTTGTTTTTGTGTTGATAAAAAGAATATATTTTGAAAGAATTCCTCAGAATTATCTGTTCGATTTTGATATTTTTCAATTATTTTCGTTATTCGAGTTTTTCGTAATGAATAAGCAGTTTGAGAACTGTAACAACAAAAAGAAATATTTCTTTGTGATTTTATTTCTCTAAGAATTATAAATTAACAAACCTTTGGCTATCTTCTAGACGTTTTCGACGACTTAATGTATTTACAGCTTGCCGAAGAAAAAATGATAAAATATTCAGTGGTACAACCATTCCGTCAATTAGTGGGATACTAGCACATGCTGATTGCATTCTAAAAATAGGGGAAAAGAAAAAGGTGTCTATTGTACTCTGTAAATCAGTGTTGCACTTACCGTTGAGCGTTTGCATTCAGTGATATACGAAATAAATGATTTTTTAGAGGATGAATACCAATAATGGATATGTCGCGAAATTTCGACGATGGTTCTTGAGCTGAAATGAAAACGTATGAGCTAGTTGTAACATATACAGATGGAGATAAAGAATCTTTCATCCAAATTCGAAAGCCGATCTTTGCTTTTATGTGATACTGTTAATCAAAAGAGTTCGGATGATGATTGTGTATATTATCTCGCTGTGATGAACTCACACACTGTCAATCTGGTCGGATTCGAAAAGGAAATCGAGACCTAGTCGAGTCAAATAGAAAAACCTGCAAACCTGGTAGAACTGAATCCAGATCATCGCGAAATTCTTCGAGCCAAACAATTAATATTCGCATTTCTGGACTAGGATGATTCACTAGAATATAAATAGAATGTCTACAAAAAGAAAAGATCATTGAGAAAACGAATTTACTAGAAAAATTATGCGGCAAGTAAAAAGCCATCTCTGTTGTTAAATCCACCCAATATAGAATGCTATCATAACCATCAATTTCACATATTGTTTTTGTCTGTGGATTCGTATCTAATTTGAATGAGAATTGCTTTCAGAAAAGATTCATTTGATTTTTTTTTAATTACTTGAATGCGAACTGGAAACTGTTTTCCAACTTGTTTCTGAACTTCCTGTCCAACCACAATGACGTTTAACTTCAACAACGGAACCAAATTGTGAAACCATTTTTAGAAAAGCCGGATTTAATTCTTCTGGTGTTTCCTATAAGAAAATTATATAAATAAATTGAGTTCAGTTAATGTCATCATTTTTATATTACCATATTTTCAAATGATTCTAAAATAGTATATTGATGTTTTTTCAAATAAAAAATTTGTCCTGTACAATAAAGTATTGGCGATGTTTTATCCAGTTTTTTTATGTCATCGAAGAAATTCTCTGCAGTAGAATCAAGTAATTGAATTCGTGTTTGAAAACGATCAAATGGTTTAGAATCGTTCTAAAAATTTAACAAAAATCATTTTTCATTATAAAGTCCACGAAATATGTTTTTCGCACATGATTCATAAATGAATCCGAACGCAAGACTACATAGAAATACAATTATTTCTGAAATAAATCATCTTTCTTAGGTTTTTCTCTTCTCAAAATATGTGCTATTAAAACTTCCTGTTTGCATCTTTTATTTACCCAATGTTTGCCATTTTTAAGATAGTCCATAGAATCCAATGAACAAAATCCATGATGCGATAGAAATAAACGAATACTTTCAAAACTATCTTGACTTCTAATAAAACAAAAAACTAATTAATACAACATTCACTAGCGAATCAAACGAATTTACTCAAGTGGTTTGCATTCTGGTGATAATTTTTCATCATAAATATGAGAACGTTCAATGGCTTGTTCTTCAACAGGAATTTGTTTTACTTTTAATGCCCGAAATAAATTTAAATTTTCTTCATCCCGTTTAATAATTGAATTTAACGTTGGAATACTCAATTCACTAAAACAAAAAAAAAGAGAAGTTCGAATTAACTTTTTGTCTTATAATTTAAAATTTGGTTGGTTTATCACAACAAAATCAACAGATATGTGTTTAATAATTATTTTGTAACACAAAAGATTAATTATCACCAAACAATAGAAAAAGCTGAGACGAAAATTATGCCTATATTTTACTTACGACGAATGATGAAAACTGAAAGGAAAAACTAAGTTTTATAAAAAAAAGACAAAAGAGATCATATAAGAAAGCCCTGCAATATACGTAGCTTAGGAGGGAGGATCACCAAGTGTTCAATCGCTTTTGCGTTGAAACTACTTACATTATGTAGCTTCTGATGAGTTATGAATACGCTAAAACTATTTTGGGCGGATAGCTTATTGTGACGAAACTAGGGCATTTCTAAGGTATGAGCTTTTTTGAGTGCCTGCGATCCGCCCGCCCCCCAGGGACATTAAAAAAATTGATGTTCGAATTTTGACTTGAAACTTTTCATAGAAAGACTTGCTAAGGAGAACAACTTCTTGTGAACGTTTCAGACTTTTCTACTATTCATATCGTTAGACACGGATATTGTGAAATTTTTATTGTACATCTTTCAAATGAAGTAGCAAATTTAATGAAACAAATAAATTCAATGATCAAAAGCATTCAAAAAACACTACTCTCGTTGAGATGGATTGCTACATAAAATTGCAAGTTAAAATTCGAAAAACAATTTTCGAATGTTCCTGAAGGAGGCTACGGCAATAATTAAAAAATACAATAAAAATGGCCTATCGTCGTAACAGTAAGCTTTCCGCCCAAAATATTTTTAGCGTATTCATAACTCCGTGGGAGCTACGTAATCTAAATAGTTTCAATGCAAAAGTGATTGAACACTTGGTGGCCCTCCCTCGTTAGTATCATTACCCAACCGCTATATGCAAACGCATCACCGGACACGTTTAAAAAAAAATATTTACACAAATTTTCACACTTTACCTTTTTGCTCGTTCATTTTTAATGCCATGAGTTATGAGAATTTTTTCTTTTTGATCAGTATGGTTATTGCTGATACGTGGTGAAGAAGTTTTACCATTTTCACTTACTAATCGTTCACATGACTAGAATGAAAGGAGAATTTCTTTTTTCTGTTGAAAAAACAAATATTACTTTATTTAATTGTATCGATGGATTTGATATAGGGTCATGACGAAAATTCAATGTCCAAACATTTTTACCGAATAATCCACGACAAAGAAGGATAACTGCTGGTAGTCCTAAAGAAGGCGAAACAAAATCCTTGACTATCATGTTACAACTGTAATCAAAGTCATGTAAGATTAGAAGAGAGTAGATTCGGAGTCAGCGGTTATGGTCGTTTAATTGAAAGCAATATATTCGATCGTGTTGTAAACTTCAACAATGCCATTTTCGTTGCCTTGGAAAGCTTTTGTGAGTCTTACAAGGATGTTTTTCTTGTATATTTTTTTCTACGCCAGTATGTTTTCTCTCATGCGAATACGAATCCGAAAGAATGCCAAACTTTATTTGATATATTTCTAGCTAAATCTTTAAGAAAACAAAGAGCAACGAACCATTATTAAGATTGATTGGTAATTCATTCATAGCAAATAAAGTATTTCCATTGACGGCAAAATATTTAAATGGTGATGATTCCATTAGATTTTCAAATGTTGATTCATCCAATCCATTTCGACAGATATCATTTTTTAAATGCAATACTGCCTAAATAAATCAAACAGTTATCCTCTCTATCATTATAAATAAAATAAAATAAAAAAGGCAAACTTACTTTATGTTCAAATAGAACAAACATTAAATATTCTGCAGCTTCAGCTACACGTTGGGATGCTGGATGAAATTCTTTTTCTTTCTTAAATACAAGTCTATCACTTGACTGAAAGAGAACAAATATAATTCAATTTCTCGATTCTATCGTTTTTGCTCTGTTGTAGTACCTGTGCTTTTTCACCTGATATTCCTAATTCAATAATTTCACACAGTTTAAATAAATTTTCATAATCATCAAGTAATGTTGGCCGTTCAATAATTAATGTTATCAATGTATTATACGTCGCAACACATGTTGAATGCATTTCGCGCGTATGATCTTTTGGACTTCGATGCAGTTGTGTATCAATAAAAGTACATAGACGTTTCAGAACATTTTTCCATACATCAATTGCTAAAAGCAAACAAAATTATTCTATCTATATAATAGATAAACAAACTGCATACGTAATTTACAGATAGGATCTGTTACAATTGAGATTAAAGTATCGAGAGCAGCTAAGAATAATTGAGAATCATTGGTGCCTTTCTCACAAATTGAGAGAACTGCATGTCTTAAATATTGAGCTGCATGATCTAGAACAAAAAAATTAGTTTCATCGAATCCAGAAAATCTCATAATATTTATCACTCGCGAAAGTTTTTAACTTTTATATTGAATTTTAAACTGACTTGTTTTGTCTGTCCTTATTTTAGTAAATAAGAAGGTTAAAATTTTTTTTTCTTCGTCTTTTGAGCTCATACGATTAGCGTTCTGTGTTATAATTCTCTTATGTCTATTCGATTTTACCTTGATGACTATCATCAGTTTGATCTTGTTGTCTTTCGTGATGAGCAGTTAACGAGCACGCCAATCGAATGGTACCTATTCGAAATAAAAATTAATTTTTGTTACTCCATCAAAATTTCTAACCAAACAGATATTGTGCATTGACAACATCTTGTTCTGTTTGTAAAGCAATTAACAATAATGGAACTATTTTTAGACGATATTCTGAAAACGTTTTCTTTGTTGTTGTTTGTACATCATGAGATTTTTCCAAATAGTCTTCAAATAAATGCTGTTCAAGATGTTCATAATGAAATGGTAGACTAATAATTGACATAAGAATTTGAATCGATTTTAAACGAATACGTATGAAACGATCACGTATTATAGACGCATTATTTACTCCTTTGGTTAATCCAAGATTATTACTTATATAAGTTTGAACATCAATATTAAGATAATATTCAATAGGCTCCAGATACAGTGGAATAAGCATATTAATGCCACGTAAATTAATGCGGAATATATCTTCACTATGTAATAGTATCGATTCAATGATTGCTTGAGAGCGTTGCTAAAAACAGCAAATTTATTTTTCAAATTTTATGAATTCTTCGAGTGTTCGCGCTCGAGAGATTATCTTACTTCGTCTCCAGAATAAAATCGAAGACCCTGCTGTAGAACATAGTAGAATCGACTTAAATATTCAGGATGAATAAATTCATCACACTGTGCACTCGAAAATATTGTACATATTGTTGCAAATGATTTTGCAAATGCTTCATCCATTAAACGGTCATTCTATTTTAAATAAGAATAATTTTCAAATAATATTTACAGTTTTTTTGTTTGTTTATTTTACCTGAATATCTATAGTCTTCTCATTTTCACTTGCTCGAGAAGCTAAAACAAAAAACGTACAGACATATAATCACTTTTGCTGATGAAAAAATTCTCCATACTTAAACTTGTTAACAATTTATGTCTTCTAGTCATGAGTAACTTTTAAATCTTCAATGACGCACTCGAAATTCGAATGTGTACACTCATTGCTCAATGAACCGTAACAGACGATTGAGAGCGAGAAAATAAATACGAAAAATTTAGGTTTTTTTTTATTTGAAACAAAATAGTCTCTTTCTTTTTTTCATCCGTTCTTTGCGTGTATTTCATAAGATAAAGATAATAGGTCAATCACTCGTGTTATTTTATTTACTTAGGACTTAATCGACTTACTATCATTCATTGATGATCGTGCGCAACGATCTTTTATTTGTAATAAACAACAGTCGAATATCCACGAACCGTATAAGTGCATAAGACTATTTACAGTTGAATGATTTATGCGAGAAGTTTTCGAAAAGATTCTGTCGCATGGATTCGTTGTAGTTATTAATTGATTCATTGTTGAAGAACTTAGACTAGAAGATAAATTAACTAGAGAGAAAGAAGAAAATAAGATATTGCGACTTGAATATAATTTTATTGGTTTTGACTTTTAATACTTTTTCGATTGTCAAGTTGCGATTTACTTGATTTTAATGTTGAAGGCGTTTGAGTTGGTTGAGCTCCGCGAATTGGTTGTGTAGGCGGACGAGACGATTGAGAACTATTTGCTGTTGGTGGTATACTATCATTGATTGTTACTTGAGAAGTATTCGAAGGTTTTGGACTATATAAACAAGATGGATCAATTTCTTTGCCTAAAAAATAAACAAGGAAATTTTCTTATCAAACGAAATCTCTCATCTTACCTAACCAGATATCAACAAACATTCCAATTGCTTTTGTGACATTAACAAATATACGTGGTAATTCTTGTAAAGACGTAAAATCTTTTAGTTTTAAATTTGGATTTGACTGTAATTGACTAGAATATTGTGGCATTCGAATAAAAACCTGAAAATATATCGATTTAATTTCTCTTCGTGTGTGTTTTTATTTGAATTTTTAAATTACCGATATATCACCACATTCCGATGGATTTTGTAGAATAGTTAAAAATTGAATCCATGTCACAACAAGTTTATCTAACGGGAGAGAATCTATTAGTTTCTGAGTATATTCACTTTGATCTGTTTCTGTACCTAGACAAATAAAATGTAAGGTGCCAATAATAAAAAAAAAATGCAAATCATTCATTAATTACAATTATATTGCAATGGTATTAAATCAGACCACCATAATTTATGTACAACAGTCGATGCAAGAACACATGTAATTTGAGCCCAATCTAAATAGAAAATCATATGAAATCATATACATATGGATATTTTATCTAACCATATATAACCGCAGGTCGATGACGCCATGTTCGAGCATAATCACGAAATGTTCTCCACAATCCTGGCGGAATATCGATTTTATCAATAGCCGACATAAAAACTTGATAGATCGATGGTACAAGACGGTGACTCATTACGGCACTACATTCTTCATTTGCTATTAAATAAAAATATGCCTATATAATTAAGTCATTCGGAGAAAATATTCCATAGACTCTTCTGTAACTATTGAATAGAGTACGTTGAGTTATGCGTATAAGTTATTTTTTTAGCATATTCAGAAAAATTTTTATAGCGAAAATTGATTGAAATATACTAAACGAGAAAGACTAAATATTTATAGGAGATTTTTTCTAAAAATCCCGGTTTTTTTCAAAAATAAAATACGATTACTTATTGTTACTAAGTAACTCGGCAAGGCTTATAGAATTATGTAAAAAGTTTTTGTAGGCTTAATTGTAATTCTTGAACAAAAATAATATAAACATACTTCGATAAGGTGGAGATAGTACGGTATCGCCAATTGCTAGAAAGACTTGAAGTAAAATATTCCATAAATCAAAGCTTAATTCTGTTTGACTAATCATTATTTGTAATTGACGTAGAACTTTATGAGTGTACATTCGTTTTGTTAATAAATCCGCTGTTTTTTCTAGTTAATAAAGAAACACAACCTTCAGATTCAATAGCTATTTTTTGTTTTCTTTTACCATCATGTACAACAAATAAATGATAAAGATGCCAAAACATCTGTGACCAATAAAATTCTATTTTTTCACGTAAAATGGGTGGTATCGAATTTGAATTAGCTGATGTTAATTCAAATACTTTAAGCCATTCGACGTAGACATTTGCACATAATTGATATATTGCACTTTCTTCACATGTAAAGCCAAATGAAAATATTTCGAGCGTCCATTTAAAATCTTTATCTGTTGTTACTGAAAACGGACGATTACTTATTATTAATTCATAGATATGTGATAAATAAGGCATGGCAATTTTCTCGGCCACCGATGTCGGTATATTCGTTGATAATGGTGAATTACATATCGTATGTCGTTGAATTTCGCTATCATACGATGAATATCCATTATACATGAACATCTAAAACAAAGATTCGTTTTTTCTAATTTTATTTATTAAAATTTTAAAGTGATTGAACAAATGAATATTTAATAAGTACAAAAATTTCTGTAGTAGTACGAATAATAAAACGTTGATGTTCGCTCATCGGAATTATATTTCTTATTTCATTAGAATCAAATACACGAGCAGACCCGAGACCATTGATATTTAAATCAAAACAACTCCCAGGATATATGCCTCGAATAAGCCAACCACCATTTCCATTTGAACAAATCCATTGTCGTTCAATTCGATCATCGATGATTATTTTATATAGATAACCATCAGTCAGAGATGATGTTGAATAAACTAATATATAATTTTTTTCATCATTTGTAATGACTAATAAAGCTAAAGAATCATTTGTTTTATTATCAAGTGTGATTCGTCGGGGAAAATATCCATCAGCAATTGGATATTGATCTGCTTGATGAGTTAATAGAAAATCTTTATTATATTTATATAATGTTGATTGTTTTACTAAATAGAATATACAACGTTGATTATCTATTGCACCACAGATAGAACCAATGTCTGTATCGATAATATCACAGCGTGTTGTTCGATAGTCTAACAAACAGATATGTTTGTCAGTAATAACCAAACACTTCGATAGCCAATCAACATAACATAAATCATGAATAATAGAATTTCTATCCAATTGTTTAATAGCAGCATGTTGTGGATTTAGAAGTGGAACTATGACTAATTCATTTGAATTTTGACAATAAATAAGAATATTATTTTCACAAATACTCATGGCAATATCATTAGATGAGCCGGATAAATATGCTAATGTTTCAAATGTAAAATCTCGAACGATATCAATTAAATTCAATGACATTTTTCTATCCGTACGTGATCGAAGTTGAGATGATGATTTTATTTTATCAATAAAAATCTCGACATTTGGTTTTTCTTTTTCTTTATGGCATTCATCATTTATTGTTGGCGAAGATAAAGCTGACATTGAACCAATCGAATGACTTTTTATTGTGGTTGTAGTCGAAGATTTATTATGTAAAATGTCTAAAGATTGTTTGAATCGGTGAGAACATTTAAGACGTTTTTGTCCACCTAAAATAAATAATCGAATAAATCATGTTTAATTGTCACCAAGGCTAACACAATCTACTTTGATATTCATCGAATGCATTTAAAATCAATTGACCAGCTGTTCGAACTCGGTGTTCGAGTTTTTCTAGAAATTGTAAACGCCATTGATCAATAAATTTCAAAGCATTCAAACGTAGATTAATAGCTTCCGATTGATTCGAGCAATGATGTATGCGATGAATATAATTATAAATATCTTGATCAAAATCATCGGTATCAAAATTATCAGATGTTTCCATTGTATAGGTTGATAAATGCATATGTGGTGTAGTTCGAACAATATTCTCTGTACCCATTAGAATACTTTGATTAAAAACAAATGAATCAAACATAGGAGATTTATGCTATTTTCTTTTTACGTGAGTGAATGTTTGTTGTGAAAAGGAGAACGGAAAATTTAAGAAAGATTTGTTTCGACGCCGAATTCAATTGTATAGTATGCCTCATATTGAGTAAAGGAAGATTTGACAAATATGTATACTTATCCTCTCTGCTTGAGTATATAAAAAAAGAAGCTAATTATCGAACACGCACACTGGCCTACATATTTTTTTCTCGCCAAAATTATTAACAATAATACAGTAAGTGAGCTATACATTTGCACGTGCTATCAAAACAGAAAAATGTATATGCACTTAGCTAGAAAGTAAGAATTCCATAATATTTTAAAAAAACAATCGATATAGAAAGACAGTTTCAAATTTTTGTATGTTACTTTTCAATGTATCAACAGACAGAGTTATAGAAAAGATATGCTTAAAAAGAATGATATAGAAAAAAAATATATAGATCAATATTGTCAAGTTTTTACTCTCAAATTATTAATGTCCACTGGTTGATTCATTCATTGCATCATCGCATAATTTACATACACGTACAGGTGTTAACCAATCTCGTTCTGGTACAGGACGTTTGTTTGGTGAACATTTTTCACACACAGCATCACCACAATTTCGACTAGAAAAATGAGCAAAGTATTAATTAATTATTACAAAAAAAGAAAACGAAATTGATAATATCACATACCAATGATGTAATCGATTTGTTGTACTATTGAATGGTTGCTTACAAACGCAACACGCTCGACATTCATTATCAGGTCTCCAATAATTAGGTCGAGCACTTTCTTTGATAAGTTCTATATGAAAACAAAAGTAATTTAATGTTTAAGAATAGATTGATTCTCTTTCAAATACTAACCGATAGGATAATTGGCACCTATTTTTTCAAGTCCACTTTTAACTGATTCAAAAACACGTCTAGTTGCAGGAATGTCGATTGAGACTGGACCTTTGTAGGAAAAGAAAAAAAGGAACAAATAAATAAATGCTTGAATAGAAAATAATAAAAAAATGCATATTCATTTTAAACGTGGCACATCATGCATAGAGGAGCATTAAAATAAAATAAAACAAAAGACAAGACATTCGCATAATATCAATTAGCAAATGTAGGACAAAACGGACCCTTTTTTCATACCTGCTCCTGGGTGCTCGATATCGAAAATATCAGATGGAGATAGACATAGATCGCTGAGATGCTCACCGGATGAGGCAGTGCTTGCAGAATCACCACTACTACCAGCATCATAACCATTATGTTTCGTTCGTTGACTATCAGATTTTTCCTTTTCTGTTGTTGATGATGATGATGATGATGATGATGAACTTGACATTGTTGAAGGTGGACGTAATTGTGAATTAGCATAACATTTATCACATACGCGAACAGCTTTTTCAGTATCAATCCATGCAACAACACGACGATGCATTGTGCATGTATCACAAAACACATGACCACATGCTAAATATTTGGAAAAAACAACAGCATGTTAAAAAATACAACAGACATCCATCTATTTTTTCTTTTGATAGAGTAAAATCTGTTTAATGTAAAATCATTGGAACAACTCTAAAGTGGTCAACATTCGGAAATTTTCTGCTTGTTTGTCCTCAGTTACTTTTGAAATTCAAGTATTTAAACTGAGATTAATCAGTACAAAAAATATCAAGTGTAACATGAAGTATTGCTCATTAGTGTGTTTTTTCTTTTCAATGCTCACAAGTATTCTATAATCTTCAAGTATAGAAATATGTATATAATAATATACTATTTAAAATGCAATGGAAGTGAGGCAGAGAGGTTTAACTGTATAGTTAAATCGACGTGAACTTTTTTAGATACAAACCTCGACAGTGATGTTTCGAATGATCTGAACCAAAAACAAGTTTACATGTTGAGCATTCCTAAACGAAACGTAAAAGTGAATTAATCAAATTCGATCGAATAAGCAATCTTCTTACGTGAACATCTTTATTAGGAACCCAATACGACGGTGCTACTTGATCTGCTACCATTTCTGTTAACATTTTCGTTGGAGCTGATAAATAACTATGATACAAGAGAATCAATTAAATTTTTCTTTAATACGAAATTTCAATCGAACCTTCCAGCATAGACCACCATTTCAATAAATTTTCTAGGTGTGACATCACTAGCTACTCGATTATTGTCTTCTCCTGGC